CAAATGCTACTACGCGTTCGGTAGCCGGGACAAGTCAGTTGCACCCCCAGATTTTGATGCGCAGATATCGGTCAGTTCGAAAAGGATGGGGATTTTTGTTCAGAAGTATTGTACACATGGCTTCAGTACGCTCGTGTATTGGATCGGCAATGAAACTGTTCTTGCGCATTGATTAGCGGCTTTCTATCTGGTCTTACGATTACGCCTGCATAAAGGAATGCCATACCACCGACTTCAATGACAGTCCAATATAGTTAAGACAAATATGATACATGAAGGAAGGGTGGAAGAACAAACGTACGCTTCCAAGCTTTAAGGGCCGCACATTTCTGCCACGGTATCGCCAACGACTGGCTGTGCGCCTGGCACAAGCGTCACCAATGCCGTTCGCTTCTTTAAATCCAGGACATCGGAACTTGTCTAGGTTGAGATCGCTAATCTAGTGAGAGCAACATGAAAGCATTCATTGCATTGTAGAACCTCGATAGATAACGGCCCTACGTTTTGCCCTAGGTCGATGACGTCTATTTTGCAATAGTACAACAAGCACTTCTGAATGTGGAGATGTGTACACGTCATGAAACTGGCAACATTACTAGAAGAAGATAAAACATACCACATCCATGGCTGAGTCCATGAGTTCATGGTCACTCGAAAGTGGTGCAGATGAAAAGGGCTTGATTTTCTCATCGCCTGAAAAGCCCCCGTCCCTATTACAAAACGGAACCTCGAGGATAAAAACGTGCTGTCTTCGAACCAAACACCGAGTATGAATAGAACTGGCTGATAATCCAGCGAGCGATGCGATAAACGCGAGTATGCTCGCCACGACTTGTGAAGTGGGCCAAAAGTCGAGTGGGAGCGCCATTGGTAGTCCTCTGTCGATGAAGCTTCGAAGATTGATGAGCGGTCGACTCGGAGTTCAAGTTGTTCCTGTGATGCTTTCTTCCTACGCCACCAAGGATCAGGCCGAAGGCTGTAGGGGGCTCCTCATGCCTTCGGACTCAAATCTTTGGATCATGATATGTTTAGAGCGATGTAAACGAATCAATGAGTATTTATGCTGCCACGGTTGGGACACCAAGAGATGGATGAACGAGGAGCACGAGTGAATGAACCGATGTAGCAATTTTAAGAAATCCAGGGTTTGCCTAGAGCGTTGACATAGGTCAATATTAGAATAGAAATGCTGTAAAGCGCATACATACATCTGCCTCCACATTAATCGCCACAATCAAGGCACTCTGCACACAAAAGATTAGAATTAAGCGGGAGGACCTTGCCATTCCCAGGACGTTCTAGTTGCCGGATAACTATAGAGTAAAGGTCAAGCCTGTACCGTCGCAGTTTTGCCGCTACTTGACGCAGCACAGGGTAAAAGCACAGACGAATCTTGGGCCATAAGAAGTCCGGGATACGGCAGACATGTATAAGCCAAGAGCGTGCTAAGTGTACAGCTGCTGTGATAGCATTCTTTATATACTCTTCAGTTCCAAAAACTAGGCCAAACTGCGGCAGGGCAAATATGGAAAGGCCTCACCTAGCTGTCACGGCACTCCCAGCGTTCCAGATATCGACCAAACGCGCCAGCTGATGGTCGTGTGTTGCAGTGTCGAGCAATGCATATAGCTGTAGTTTGTGTAAACAACGGAGAAATAGTAAACAGCCATGGAACCCACTGCGCATCTCCTTCGCTAACCACCATCACCACATACGACAACTATCATTTCATGCATTTCCTCGTCACCAAGCACGACGAGCACAGCATGAGCTATACGTACGAGCGGGTGCCTCGTCCATCAGTTTCTTCGTGGAAGGCTGCTCCGTGAAGGTGCTCGGTAGCCGATGACCACAAGTTCCAGGTCAGTCGTCGTCAGCCGTCGTCCCTGTCCGCGACGCCCGGCATCGTTCAGTACGTTGAGCACGATGCAAAAGGAGGGTGATCATGATGGAGATGGAGCAGATGGAGATCCGAAGGTCACGAAAAACGTGAGCCGAGTGACAGAAGAAGGGACTTGCCTTTGTTGTCCTTACCCTTCTACTCTGCCCACGCATGTCCTTCTAGCTGTAACGACAAAGTTTCTCTATCTGCCCCATCTGTGATCATCTGGCTTGTACAAAAGACCTTTGTCATCGTTGTGGGCCAGTCGACTCGCATCGATCCCGTGGTGAATCCTCTTTCTCACATCGAGTCAGCGCACAACTTACCCGCTACGTTCCAGCCGCTATGGACGATGGCGATGAAAGGATGACGATGGAGGATGACCAGTGGCAAATTATTGACGGTGATGACTGGTGGAGGACCTCGTATACGTCAGTTTCATGGGCCCCTTCCCCTACGGCAAGGAAGAAGGTCGCAGTTCTCCCACCACTCGCTGTCGATGACCCACCTGTCACCCATGAAGACACGGATCTGTCCCTCAGTTGTTCCCTGCCCGGTGTTCAGGGTGCTCTCGGTGCTCTTGACCGGTACGAGGCCGATGTTGGTTTTTACTACTCGCAGAGCAGCAAAACAACTTCGGTGTCTGATCTATGTCACTGTGACGGTATGAATAAAGGGAGATGGAACGAGCTCATTACAGATCTCTTTGGAGACATTCCAACGTATGCCGCGTCATCCTCCGCCTCGTCCCGTGGTACCCCATCACCATGCCCATCAGCGTCCACCTCATCAGTGTCCAGCTCTTCTGCCGCATCTACTTCCGCACCAAATACCCCCGCGAGCAAGCTGAATGCTTCGGCTAACTCGTTTGTTCCTACCTTTGTGTACCCCGTTCCTTCACAGAACCACAAGATCAAGATTACCAAGGACGAACAGGGTTTCTATATGGGGGTGGATGAGGAGGATGAAAGGGACGAAATAGAGGAAGAGATTCGGAACATCATCGGATCTTACGAAGGGAAGGCCAACATCGTCTTCGCACCTTTCGCTCCAGACGAGCGCAAGTCGCCAGACTCTGACGACGATGCATTCGTCGTCAAGATGCCCAAGCGCCGAGTACTGGAGGATGACGAGGGTTGGATTGGCTTTGGGGAAAAGGACAAGGTTCAGAGGAAGAAGGATCTCTTCGACGCTCTTACGCGCCGGTGTCGCTCGGCAGTACCGGACAAGACGTCGACAACTGAAGGGTGGATTGAACCTAAGCGTCAATCCTCCGTGGCGCCGGCAGCGACGTCGGCGGGCTGGATAGAACTCGAGAGTGCTAGTCCGCCTCGAGATCCCAAACCGCCTGTGAAGGAGTCTTCTTCCAAGCAGAGCCAATGGGGAAAGAGGTCAAGGCAGCCGCCAAAGACACATAAGCGAGGTGGATCATCAGTCTCCTCGTTCTCTTCAACGTCCTCGCGCTCGTCTTCCTTGCCTGCCCCTCTATACCCCCTTCCCACCCGGTCTGGCTACCCTTATCCCATGTTTAACCCCCAAGCATATGCGTATCCACAGATACGGCCGTACTTCTACGGACCGCATCCGGGATACTTCCAACCCATGGTGAATTACCGCGCCATGGCTGGGACGCGTATGTGGTGATCGATTCTGCATTTCATTCTTATTCGCATCATGCATCTATACATATCGCCACAGACCTGCATTTTCATGACTTTTTGATCCTTGTTTTGCGCTATTTTTCTTGTTGCTTTCTTGTGATATACTAACGAATATGCGAAAACCCATCCCTGCATCGATGTATTTTGTACGAATAATAAATAGTACTGACTATGTGAATTGAATTACTTATGTTATCCAGCTGGGTGCGAAGTTGCGAGCTGTAATAGATCGTGGGTACTACCGTATCGAATTACACGGATACAGTTCAGCATGGGCTCGTCCTGTGAAGAAAAATTACAAAATTCCATCGGTCCGCCAACCGAACGGGCCGGGACAAGTGGCACATAGCAAGCACAAGCAAATAATCGCGTCGCGTCTCCTTGACCTGTTACCACATCCTGCCCCCATCTAGTACCTGAAAGGTTCGCATATATCCAGCTGTTCTTACGTGGATAACGTTTTCTTTACTGCAGATGAATTACGCGCAAAGAATTGACAGCCTGGTCGACGTCTTCACCGAATCTGTCTTCAAAAATCTCGTTCACCACGATGATCCAGAAATCAGCCTCTCTCGAATACAACCCTGCGCGCGCTCTCAGCAGCAGGTCCAGCACAAAAGCCCTATATGCAACATTCCGCTCGAAATTTTGTCAGAAATTTTCGTCCAGTGCTGCACTTTTAGCGTCGCCATGAACCACACTCATCTCATTGAGCCCACCGCTCTCTATCTCTCGCAGATCTGCTCTGTATGGCGTAACATTGTCATTTCAATGCCTAAGCTCTGGTCTATGATCACAATTCATGGCGCCAACGTCCATAAGCGCCCTCTTCCCGCGAAACGTCTTCTCTGCACGTATCTCGCCCATGCAGGCCAAGCCCCGCTCAACATCAGACTTGTATGCGCATCAAGCATTCCCGGTCCAGAAGACGACTTATTCCTCGACTTCCTGCGCACTCTGCTCCATCAGTGCGAGCATCGCCGTGTGTCTCTAATAACTGACCTCAAGAGATCCAGAATCACGTTCATTGCGGCTTTCAACCTTCTATTCACTCCACACTCCTCAAACATCCAAAGCATCACACTGGTCCCAGGACTTGGGCTTTTCATCCTTTTTTATCCCGACCTGTCCCACCTCACAGTAACAAGACCCACATACTGGGACATGATTTCGCTCGCTTTGGCGAGTTCTGCGAGGAGCATCAGCCGACTTGATTTTGTGGACTGTTCAGTCGCGGATATATGCTCCATCGGCTCTGTGTTTCCCAAGCTAAACCACATAGTAATTCAAAATCCACTCCGCAGTGCCTCACCCGATAACGCACATATCCCGCTTCTCGTCTCTCTCACAATCACACTTCCCAAACCTCGTCTACAGCCGCTCAATAAAATATTCGAAACATTCTCTCTTCCCAATCTGACTTCGCTCACTATATACACCCCGGTTCTCCCCATTGATACGTTTATCGCTTTCCTGGAAAAGTCTCCCGCTCTGCGGACATTGACCGTGTCTTCATGCGTCTCAAACTTCAGCCTTTTCATCGCAGCATCGAAGAATCTTGCGGTGTTAGACATTTACGCGCATGAAGAGTGTTTGGATGAGATCTTCGATGTTATCGAAAGAAGTAGGCGGCCATCTGAGGCGATCGTACTGCGCATGGTCGAAAAGAAAGATGACGAAGACGAGGACGAAGTAAACGTGTCCTGCATCGAAGATAAAGGTTTTTCCGGGGGCAACCAAGACGATAATTCCGCCCACGTCGGCTCAACTACACAAGAAGATCATAACGACGACGACGAAGAGAGCGATTCCGAGGATGAACGGGACAGCAATGATGACTCGGAAGATGAAACAGAAAGTTCGGAAGAATCGGATGACGATGAAGTCGACGCCGCTTATAAGATGGCCCGTCCCGAAATTATTCAAGGCGCTCGTCTCAAATACCACAATCGAATGCGAAGATTCCGCGCTGCGGGGCGCAGGATTGCTATCTGCTGAAAATTTTTTAGATGCTTATACTCTCAATGACCGGTCACCGAAGGTATGTTAACGTCAATTTCTCCTCATGCGCCTCTTATGTATCGCAGCAACCAAGATGAAAATAGATTTGAGTGCTACGGAACAGCCTTACGCCATACGTTTTTCCGTCATCTCCAATGGTTCGCGCAGGGCTGACTGGCTCGAGCGTGAGCTAAAAACAAATTTCCCACGCCATCGAGTGTTGACTGAGTTCCATTTTGGGAAACCCCGATTCCTTTCGACCGTTCATCCACCAACAAAGGACTTAAGGTGCGCATTTCACTTCCTGCTCCTCTTCATGATGCTTTAGTAAAAGGGTCGAGCCTCTCGCCGCCTCCGTGGAAAGAACCTACGTTAGCTTTCGCTTGCCCGAACCCCATTCGTGTCTGAATTCCCAATACACTTTTCTTTGCGAGTTTGCAGAAGTGTATTGTAAAGGCTAGACCAACATTTCAGACTCTTTTTTCGCTATTGGCTGGCATGGTCTAGAGATTCATGACCTGCTAGTAAAGGCAGAGTCTTACATTCAGCCATTCCCTTCAGCCGAGCTCGTGCAGATGCAGGTCTCCTCTGCTTCGAGTGGTCACTAGATGTGGTTTCACTAGTTCTGGGATGGTATATTTCCTTGCAGGATATCAGCGCTCAAGGCAAAGACCAATCCTTGTTAGCGTGTGGTTCCGTGCATACACCTGTGGGTTCGGGCGATGTATGGAGCTTTCCCGGAGAAGAGTGTGCTGTGAGATCATCCGTAGTTTGCAACTGATGTTTCCTTTTTTTTTCTGAAATCTCCGTTTGAGATCTTACGCTGATTGGTTTTTTGTGATAGGCTTATCTTCGATAACGTACGCCTGTCGAGCCAGGTATCCACTACTATTTTACACTCCCTTGATGTACCGGTCCCGAATTCCAGTACTTGTTTCGACAGTTATGTTCGTTGGCCGAAGATATCGGCGCCACGCATGAGTCGAGCGCTCTGGCTTTGTGTTTACATGGTGATGTAATGCTCGAGTGTTATGAAAAATGTCAAGCTTTTCAATGGTATGCAACCTGCAAGATTAAGAATGACTGGGTACATGACGGAGAGTTTGCTGTGCGTATCCATATGGTTGGTCCGTTTCTTATGTACTTACTGCGTCAATAATGTAGCGTCCAATCGGCCGGATGTCATCATGGTCTGAGGACGACCATAGGAAACGTCTATCGCAGTTCTACGATGGCTCGCAAGCGACTTGCAACTTTTTCCGCCAAGCTCAAAGGCGCTCGAAAACCATCGTTACACCGACCAACTCCCGTCACCGCTCATACCCCAAATCAGGAACTTTCCCGTGGTTGCCACACTACGAGCGCAGTCCTATTTCCTTATCCTCAACACCGGAATCAGTTCGTCGCTACGCGATCTATTTCGGGTCGCGGCAATGGAAATTCTTGTCGTCGTTCTCTATTTCATAATGTGGTCGCGCAGAATACGTCTTCATCAATCTTCATTCACCACTTATACCACCACGATTCCTTGCTAGGGAGTTTTTCCCTATACCCGTCGAGATTCCCTCCCCGGCTGTATCTTTAGAGACTCGAAGCTCTAAGCTGACTGTCTCACCCCACACTCGTTAATTCATGGCGGCGGCGGTCCGCGCACAAAACCTGCTTCTCCTCCTGTGGCTCATTCTATGCCAGTTCTCTTATGTTCATGCTTATGTCGCGCCCGCTCCAGTTTTACTCCCTCGGAAAGCCATCGTCTCGAATTCATCTGGGACGGTTCAAGTGGTCGATTCGTCTACTCAGGACATAATCGCCCAGGGAGAAGCGACTGATGGGGCAGGGGCAAAGTTCTCTCCCCCAGCAATGCTGTGGATAGGGTGTTGCCTCCTGATCGGCGTGCCCATGTCGTTTGCTGGGATCAGAGGATGGAGACTCACGACCGGCGCCGGTATAGGCCTTTCAGCAGGGGTTTTATGTGAGTCGTGTAGTCCGTCGCACGAGCTTGTAACTGACGTTACTCTGACTCAAGCCTGGGCCGCTATCATAAACAGCATCAACAATGACGGCTTGTCTGACATCGTGCTCACGTCAATCATTCTTGGTTTTATCTTCCTGGGCTTTTGTTTGGGTGCATTCGAGTTTGCACGCCTTGGGGGGATCATCCTTATCGTCCTCAATGGTGGCCTGTCGTTTGGCATCAGAATTGTGTTGTTGAAGGAAGGGTTGCTAGGCGGGAGCTCGCTCCATGTCAACTGGGCGATCGTTATCGTGTTTCCCATACTTGCGGGGCTATCGATGATATGGAAGCAGAGGCCTCCTTTGGTACGTTTGTTGCAATTGATTCGATTCTATTGTACTAATTCGTTGCCGTCTTTTAGCTTTTTGGATGTGCGTCTGTCGGGATGTTCCTAATGCCTTTGGGCGTCGACCTTATAATTAACAAGCAAGACGGCATGAGTCGTGGACTTCGCTACTTGTTTGACCGCAACACGGCTCATCTGGCAGTACGTACGCCACTTTCAGATTTATGTCCTAGTGTAACAGTCGTTGACAGGACATAATGACTAACGGCTATCACCCCACATTATCGACACGAATAATTTTGATAGCGTCTCTGGTAGCAACGTACGTCTGTTTCTCCGTCATATCATACTGCCTGGTTTGACAGTCTCCACAGACCAATGCTTGCTACCGCCCAGCACTATATATTTCGAAAACCCTTCAATCGCCACAAGGGTCCACCGAGTGATGCGGAGCTCGCTATTAATTACCCAACTCCCTTCGAACAAAAGAAAGTTTCAGACTTCTTCATTGACATGTGGCACCGGGGGAGCGCTGTCTTGGAAAAACACGACAATGGTAGTCGATTCAGCCTATAGATTCTCTTCGTCCGCTCTTTTTATATCACTCTCGCTTTTCGACCTCAACTGTATCAACACGCATCATCAGCATCCCTCCTATTTCGCGTCCATAGAATTTTCTTTACAGATACCCGCGCCCTTTTTTTCTCGCCTGGGTCCCTCCAGGTGAGGGCATTGGCGAGGTCATTTGGCGCCGTATGGTACATACCTTCGAACATCTTTCGCATTACTACCGCAATGTTGTGATGGTCGGCCACCGTTATCTATCTAATCACAACCCCAATACACTGTGCCTGGCTTTCGCCCTGATTTTCTCCGCCTATTTATTTAACTATATTTAAGCGACGGCGCATTGCGTAGGCTCCTTCATACAAGGCAGATGCTAATGGGTTTCGATGGGGCCAGGATCCTTAACTTCAATACTTAAGTTTGCAATGCCCCGATGCATCGGGCCTAACATGTAATTCGAAGTTCAAAATCAGAATCATCAATACGTGTGACCCCCTGGCCTCCAGATTAGCAACGCCGAGGCACCTGCTCGTATTGGATTAGGGAGCGAGCACCACAGCATGAATTTAGTACAGTATGCTTGGTGACGCCACATTAGAAGATCGTGCCTGTCAATTAAGCATTGTACGACGAACCCAACGACCAGAGCCTAGCAAAGACATGTGGGAAGATCATCAAGGTTCGGATCTTCCTGGGAAAATGGAGCGTCTAATCAAAGAACCACGTCAGAAATAACCAAAACAAACCTGATGATACCATACGGCCCCAAGATACGACAAAGCAGAAAAGAGAAAGTGAGCGTTTCAAGGCCCGCTCGGGTCCGGAAAACAACAAGTAACCGGATTTGTTTGGTCCTGGCGCTAACAACCCAGCGCGAAAACAAGAGGACCCTGAAGGTACTCCCATCATCACCCATTTTTCAAGATTCATCTTATAAATACCAGCCCTCAATCATGCAAAAGGGTTCCGCTACTCGAGAGAGGCGGTCCTGGACAGAAGAAGAGGACCGTCTCCTTCGCGAGGCCGTTAAGAAAGGTACGCTGCTGCCCTCATTCGAAGCGGTACTCCGGCCCTAAACAATTGTTCGCTAGAGGACCCCGACAGCGCGAGCCCATCCAAGTGGTACGCGATCGCCAAACATGTCCCGGACCGAACAAACAAAGACTGCCGCAAACGCTGGTTCGCCAAAATGGCCTCGGACGTCGTCAAGGGTGGATGGTCTCCGGAAGAGGACGCGAGACTCGTCAAAGCGATCGAGCAGTGCGGCACGAGGTAAACAGACTTTATGCTTATGTTTCTTCTTCATGACATTGAATTTTTCCCCCCCTTGTCGCGTCCCACAGGTGGTCGATGGTGGCCGCGATGGTGCAGAGCAGGAATAGCGACCGTTTGTCGAATTTTTGTTATGTGGCGTTGAAGTCCTGACTGAAAGCTTGCTTATTCAGAGTGTGCAAAGCGCTGGACAGATACCTTGAATCCCGCGATCGACAGGACTACTTGGACACCGGAAGGGGTAAGTCAATTAAACTTGACATCTTGACGTCGCTTACCTTCGATACCTCAGGATGCTCTCCTCCTAAAGGCCGTCAGTGAGCACGGCAAAGTCTGGACAAAAATCGTCAAAACGTATTTCCCAGGGAGAACAGGTCTCTCGGCCAAGAATAGGTAACCTTTTCTAGTCCAGCTGTTTTCGATATAAACGTTAATCAATGTCTACCGTAGATACAACAGCATAACGCGGGGTAACATTGATTCGCGACGTAGCCAAGGTCACTCCGTGTCGGCGTCGGGTCCTGTACCATACGCCCAGAACCTCCAGCCTACGACGTCATCGTCGGGACCGGTAGTCGTGCACATGTCCCTTCCCCCGGCCCCGATACCGCAGCTCCCTCCCTCCATGTACAACAGCCCCTCCCAAGGAATGCGCTTGCCTTTCCCCATATCATAAGGCTGCAAATTACGACAACTATGGACACAACTTTTAGATGGAAACCCTACCACGAATGTAACTTAATCATCAAACGCGAATGTATGTTTGTATGTTGAAGAAATTGTAACATTGACACTTTCCCATCACAACCTGTGATGCAGAAGACTCGGTTTTTGATGATGGCTCCTTCTCCCGTGTCTCGGAGCGACTGGGTGCGATAGTGACAGCCGGACTGTAAGGCTCCAAGCGTGATCGTGTACTCTCCCATTATAGGCTATTGAAGCAACCACGGCTAAACGAGCTATGCGTCCGAGTCATAGGCCGCATGGTCTCAGCTTCGCTTGTGCTCAGCTTTTCTTATACTGTAAGTGTTCACTCGATTAAACCTCCCAGTCGATCAATGCCGGCGACAACAACCGCATTGCTAGCTTGACAGTGAAGGTGGGAGTGAAAGGTTGATGACCATGCATTGAAGGATGGTTTCATCATGTATAGCTGAATTATATGAACAAAATATTCACATTAACAACCAAATTATACAACTGTTACGCTACAATATATCTAGAACATAAAACAGAAGCCTCACGTATCCGCAAAATCTCTAATAATTTCACGTAATCCCACCTCATCTTAAACCATCATGAGCATTGAACATTTCCCATAGTAAAAGGTAAACCGACCTGTTGTCGAACTAATTCATCGTCCTGTCCTGATGACGTGCCGAAGACAGCATCAATCTCCTCCAACGATACATTCGCCGTCTCAGGAACGCTATATGTCGCCCACAAGTAAGCAAGAAAACACGCAGTCGAGAAGATCATAAATGTCCTGCTAGTGTAATCAAAACGTCAGCATATATGCGTCGCAAAGCAAGGTCAGCATTTACGCAGCAGAATACTCCACAAGTACCGGTGTCACCAGCCCGATAAGGACTACGTACAATTGTCAGCGAGCCAAACGCGGAGTATCGGGTAAGCAACTGACAGTTGTTGGTCCAGTTCGAGGCCGTGGACAGCGCGACGCCTTTACTCCGTATAGACAGCGGGAAGACTTCGCTTGGAAGCACCCATCCGATGGGACCGAAGGAGACACCGTAGGACGCAGTAAACGTACAAATACACCTGGTAACGGTGAGGTGGGAGCAAGGTCGTACAGTGGCGGAGACTTACGCTACCGCAAGCCAAGCTGCAATGGAATGCGACGACCAATCCGCGCCATACAGAAGGATCTGAAGCAGAGTTAACTGTTATAGATAAATCGAGAGAACAAAACTGACCAAAATGGCAATGGCAAAGTGCGAACATGCCATTACTGCGCCTCCGCCTAACTAAAATTGAGCTACTAGTTACTTAACAGCACCCCGCGCGCAACGCACCTCTCAACAGGGATTTCCTCCCTGAACTATATCAGCAGTGAGAAAGAATGGGAGCCTCTTGGATACATACCGATTCGATCAATCTGTGAGATGGCGGGTATGACTGCGAAGAATTGAACAACGCCAATGCCTCCGGAAACTAACAATGTGACTTTTTCTCCCGATAGTCCAATACTCTTGACAAGAATCGGACCATAATACAGTAATGCGTTGATGCCGCTCCATTCTGGAATGATTCTCGTTTCAGCTATCTCACAGACAAGATGTTCAGACTTACGCTGAAATACCATCATGAGCACGCCAACAGCTGTACGTGCTCGGTACTTCTTTGTGAAGAGCGCTCCCCAGGATCCAAGCTCTCCGAGGTTTCCATGAGGTTTCAAGTCGTCAGCATTGGGAGATATCCGCTGGAGGAGGGTAGCTTCAACGCGCATCTCTAAAAGTTCGATCTAGAACAATAATTATATTAGCTGATCAAGAAGAGAACGACGCTTGTTACCTGAATCAAAGGATCCCTCTTGGCTTCTATGGGTGTTCGCCGTCTCAGCTTCGCCAAACTGGCTAAAGCTTCTTCGTACCTGCCCTGAAGAACTAACAAGCGAGGTGATGCAGGAAGGAATAGACATCCGAACACATAAGATGATCCCAGGAACGATCTGAATACCTAATGGTACTGCGCCAAGATGCTGAGCTGGGTACTGGGATACGCCATGTACGTTAGTGAGGGCGAAGGCGGCGATGAATAAAAGCCTACTGGAACGTGTGAAGAACCCAATCCAAAATCCGCATACAACTCCCAAAACGATGGCAAACTGTTCCAAGGCCATGAGAGATCCACGCAACTCCGGAGGACTGATTTCTGCCATGTATAGGGGCGAAAGCATACTGCACATTTAACCAATGAGCTAGCAATCACCAAAGAGACGAAAGGTCAAGCAGACCTTAAGCTCCTACAGCGCCTAAATCCCCCAACGGCACGTCCAATGAATATATGATACAGTTTCCAAGCGCCGCATTGGAATACAGAACCTATGCAAAATACACTATACGGTATTAGTCAGAAATCGGCAGCCTATTGCAACATAGACACACGCATGCAACGAATATCGAAAGTCTCCGAGAGCACCGGTCCAGCAAAGATTCCTGATAACACAGAACCAGTCAATGCACCGAGCTCCAGAATAGCCGCTTCAACAAGTGTGAGATTCAAAACCGAGGAACAGAACGTGAAGCTCAACTCATAAGACCCTCCTGGAAGGGCGATATAGGCCAGCGCTCAGTAAAGTCCTTCATTACCAGGACATTAGCAATCTAACCGACATTAGTAAACCCAGAATAACAAAGACATTGGCACATACCACGCCCTGGTCATACCCGAAACTCAGGCCTCCAATGCTCGCAAATATCACACACCAAAGCGTGTACTGGTTGCTAAACAGTCCAGCTAGACCCTTCGGACCATAGGAATAGTTATACGAACGTCCATCAGGATGAACAGTCAAGCTTCCTCCATCTCGTAGTCGTGCCCATGGTTCCGGGTTAGGGTTAAGAGCCGCGTTTTCTGAATCGGACTCTGGGATGTTGGTGTAATCTTGATTGCTCGTCTGTCCGATGCCTAAGTCAGCCTCCTGCAATGTCGATGACAGGTTACTTACAGCGGTCATGCGATATCTGACGGGAAGGCGCTGTTGCTCCAGGTGGGGAGCTGGGGGTCCAGGTGACGGTAGGAATGTAAGTGACGTTGGCGGCGGCGACCACGTGCACAGAAACGCGACGGGCTAGTGGCTGTGCAGTGCGTGCTTGTTTTAGACTTCCAACAGACTTCGAACCTGATGGCCGCTCAAGCTTCCTATTCGTCTAGCAAGACGGCGAATATCCCGCTCTGAACTCCACTATGATACTTGATGCTGCTGGATGATCTTTGTATTGCTACCTGTTTCTGTTTGGGTTCTATTGTCAGAGAAAGGTAGCGCAACATCTGGGGGAAGGTCACTTCTATTATTTATCTACCTTCCGCTCGCTGTTTACTCACATTCCTTCTGGCTCATTTGTATAAAGGATCTCTTTGTCGCTGCTTCTTTGTTGATATACTTACCCAAGTCTCGTTCGACTACTTCATCCCGCAGGTCGCCTTCCGGCACGAGGACAACGAATTCATACGCCAGTTCTATTTCAGCCTCAAGCTGAACTTCTTCCTCTGCAGCTTGACGCTCTGCAGCCGAGTTTATCTTGATTCTCGGGGCATTACTAGTCTCTTCGGCAGTGCTGAGAAAAAACCCGCGAATTGTTCGTACGCGTAATCTCCCGGCATGTTCGTAGCTATGAGGCGCCTACTTATAGTTCTCGTGATCTGATCCTTGGACCCCAAATTTACAGTGCATCTCCAAATCCTACTGATACTTATATAAACTTTCGGGGGTATTACAGCCGGCTAAAAGGACATGCTGCGCATCACCTACTAATAATCTTGGTGGTTATTGTCGGATAAAAGCAACCTATCTGGACAGTTAGTTACGCTGGGCCAGTCGATACTGGGGTCTCGACATGAGTTAGTGTCTGAAGACCCGGCAGCTTCCTCCAGATGAATTCTCGATCAAGGATGTTTTCGGTCTTCGGTCTCGACGAACATCATCATTACACGGCACAGTACCACTTGGGCACGCCGGACGCAAGTATACAAGACGTGGCACTATGACATCCCTTCATCCAGTGCTAAATTCGTCGCCGCTCCATGATAATCTATTCAATGCGTAGCCCTCATCATACATTTTCAAGCCGGGACGCGCGTCCTTAGATAGCTTACGAACTCGAGAAGGGCTTGGCTAGGAGTTGAGTTCTTTCTTTAGATGGCTATCCAACAAACTAGATATGAGAGCCACTATCATGCGATAACCTGTACACAGATCACTTTCACTCAGTACACATCAACTCGGAACTTCCAATGGCTGCAGTACTCAACAAGACCCTCCCTCCCACCACCCTCGCCGACTGGGAGCGATCCGACAAATACCATAACTCCCACCTGTTGCAGAACGACGAGACTCTCGAAGCTGCTCTCCAGAATAGCGAGGCAAACGGGTTGCCAGTCATTTCTGTCAGCCCTGCTCAAGGAAAATTCTTGTACCTGTTGGCCAAGTCCATTGGCGCAAAGAGGATCTTGGAAGTTGGTACTCTTGGAGGGTTGGTTGTCTATATTTTCGTCCTCGAGGGAGTCGCTCAAAGTTCTGCCAGATATTCCGCTATCCACTTTGCGAGAGCGCTTCCAGACGACGGAAAGGTTACGACTTTAGAGTTGGAAGAGCGATATGCCAAGGTAAGTGGTTTCGTTCTTGAAATTCATGGACCCAGTCACACACCATGTTTTCTAGGTTGCCACCGAGAATATTAAAAAAGCAGGAGTGGCCTCCAAGATTCAAATCATTGTCGGCCCCGCCCTTGACTCACTTCAAAAAATGCCCTCGGAACCGAAGTTTGACTTTGCCTTCCTTGACGCCGACGGGGCGAATTGCCTGAACTATTTCATCGAATCTAAACGGCTTGTGCGTAAAGGAGGGATTATCGTACGTCAATTTCTTCGTTTCTTCGTTTTCCCCGCTCAAGCACAAGCACAGTACGTGGACAACGTTGTTCGTAGTGGGGGCGTCGCGAATCCTGCTGATAATAGTGAGATTCCTACTGGCGTGAGGAAGCTCATTTCTGCCTTGAAAGGCGACGATGAGGTCGAGGCAACTACCATTAGTACTGTTGGTGAAAAAGGATACGACGGTTTTTTTGTATGCTATCAGGAAGTAGAGTTTGGTATTACCGAAATTTAAATAGCAAGTCGCATGCCCAGGATGCGGCTTGACCATCGGAACACTGCATGGACTCCCGTGGCTTGCCTGAGTTACTATCATGTTCATGGATTACAGGAGGTGATTGCATCGTATTCCCTGGAAATTGCTTCACGTGGCACTTTCTTGCGCCATGCTTGTGATATTGCATGTATTTCCAGAAGCTGGGGCAGCCAACGACAGGATAAAAACCAAATGAAGCTGAAACACCCGATGCACTGGTGCTCTCGTCCCCATCCGTTCTAGTACGGTGCATCCACGGGGCTGATCCTTCCAAGCGTTGGCGAGGAGAAAGAGATGCATAAACACTTTTACGGGTGGGAACGATACTATGGCAGGCAGTTCGATGTATTCGTGGTATTACGGCCGGAAAAGGGTGCTGCGCTTTGCAACCGATGATCTTGCCTGTTATCTTCGTGGATCAAGGGTTATCAGATAAGTAGTGATATATTTAGCCTGGGTCCCTCGCCAAGTCGCGCTAATAAGCCGCGCCTGTCTCCCAGTTTGGGGCCAACTGGTAACAAATTCAAGTTTTAGCGGCGCACGCCATTTCCTTAGACTTTTAGCAATACACAGTCAGTACCCTGTTGCTTTCTAGTCTCCTTCTATGACAAACAATTGTGCTGCGGTTGCAAAAGATGGGTACCCCCAAGGTCCATAGTATTATTTTCGTCTTGACCCCCAGCGGCTTCTCAGCTTCGAAAACTACACACTTATAATTGAACATAGCTACAGTTAAAATGAATCTCTGACCAACTGCTTTGCCGATCTTCGGCTTGATGGAAAACGCACTACGTGGAGAATTCACTCGCGGCTTCGCTGCCCTCATCGAATGTTATCAGACCGCGACGCGCTAGCTGCGGAACTCGTAAAGAGTCTGACTAAGTGTCGAATTCTGGGTTCAATGAGCACATGATAGGTATTTGACGGACGGTATATAAAGGGGACTCTCGTGGATCAACTCCACCAGAACACATTCTACTAGTATCATTCAAGTTATCAGTATCCAATGGATCACCGACATGCTTTGCCAAAACCACCCCACCACAGAGAACGGCCCGCCACGACCGTTGCCGACTGGGAACGATCCGACAACTTCCATAACTCCCACCTGTTGCGGAAAGACGAGATACTCGACGCTGCAGTCCAGAACAGCCAGGCAAACGGCTTGCCTTCCATTTCTGTCAGCCCTGCTCAAGGGAAATTATTGTACTTGTTGGTAAAGTCCATTGGTGCGAAGAGAATCTTGGAAGTGGGTACACTTGGAGGGTCAGTGGTCTACATCTTGGTCCTTGATGGTATCATCTTAATCCTTGCTAGGTATTCTACCATCCACCTTGCAAGAGCGCTCCCGGATGACGGGAAGCTCATTACTTTAGAGCTGAATGAGCACCATGCTAAGGTAAGCAGGCTCGTATCAGGGAAGTCATAGACCCAACTCACATGGTATGTTCTCTAGACCGCGACAGAGAATATCGCTAGGGCAGGATTAGCCTCTAAAGTCGACGTCGTCGTGGGCCCCGCCCTTGACTCACTGCAAAAGATGGACTCGGAACCGAAATTCGACTTTGCCTTCATCGACGCCGATAAGAACAATTACTTGAACTATTTCATCGAGGCTAAGCGGCTTCTGCGTAAAGGAGGGGCTATCGTATGCCGATTTTTCTGTTCTTTTTTTTTTTCTTGGCTTAAGCGCTTTAACAGTACGTCGACAATGCTGTTCAAGGCGGACGTGTCGCGAATGCGAATCTGGATGATCCCAATGATTTTTCCGCTGGTATCAAGAAGCTCATTATTGCCTTGAAAGATGACGAGGAAGTAGAAGCAACTACAATTGGCACTGCTAATGGGAGGGGATATGACGGGTTTGTGTATGCTGTCAAGAAGTAGGGGTCGGCAAACGATCTGTAGGTCGTGTGCCGTTTGTAGTACTTGGATTCTTTCAGCTTGTTTTGATTGTTATCATGTACCTGATTTGCAGAGAAGGCAGTCAAATTGTATTGGATAGAAATTCGGTTTATGTGGCACTGTCTTGCTCGATACTCGCAATACTGCACGTATTTCCAGATGCTGTAGCGTCTGTGACCGTGAAGGGCTGCACCACGAACATGAGCATGATGACTACCGAGTAGTAGTAGAAGACGACCTACATAGCTTCCGAGATGCGGCCATGACCCACACCAACTCGATGCGGCAGTTGTAGCAGTGATCTTGACGTTACTATAGACGATCGGGCCGAAATCGAATGCAACGTCGTACAGCTGAGAGCGAAACGAATGAGAGGAAGAAGGGAAGAATAATACTAGTTACCTCGACAGCAAAGATAGCACTAGACGAAGGAAGAGGCGATGAGAAAAAGAGAGAAAGGAAAAGCGGAAAAGGAAATACTGCACCGATTCATAGTGTTTCCTGTTATGTCCAGTACAGTCGACGCCGAATTGGAGCCAGATGAGAGGGTGCACGTCCATTCGGTCCCGCTCTGCACAGGCAATGTTTATGCAGATGGATTCTGAGAGACATCTAAACTCACAACACTAAACTCAAAATGCACTGTATCTCCGGGATACACGTTGAATCCGTTACCCCAAGAGAGCGAGGGCGTGCCATAGAACCCGTCCCCAATCCACCATGTCCCGCTTCGCCCGTCCAGCACAGCTTGGAGGACGCCGTTGTTGGACTGCAATCCTGGCCAGACGTAGGGGGTACCTCCGGGTGTCGGCAGGTCGGGAACGAGCATATCACCCGACATCGCCGTGAAAGTGCTGAGGGAAACAGTCATCATTGGAATATGGCCGGATGAGATGGTAGTTGACATACGTGGCATCCCACTCGACTGTATACCAGTCGGCGGCAGCTGCTAGGGAGAGAAGATAGAAGACGAAAAAGAAGGAAAAAGTTCGCATCTTTTACTACCTGTCGCTTCGTTCATCCCCACTGACTTTATAGTGGATAAGACAAGCCCGGGCCGTCAGCCATATGCAACGACCATTTGTACGTGTGATGATATCGTGGTCGCACTCCTTTGGATATTCTTCGGAAAGATCAAAGATACATTGATTCGACGGAGAATCCGGAAGAAAAGTGCCAGGTCATTGTAGTCTTTCTTTATGCGCGAGTAAACACACCAAGCAGGTAAGGTTTACCGGAGATAGGCAGTTCTAATCCGAACCACGAGAGGAGCCACCAGTCCGCAACTAAGTATATAATGAGGACGGCTTGTCAGACTAAACCACGAGTGTCTACTGGACCTGGGACTCATGACCGTCGCGTCATCAGATAAACGGTTGCCCTAGTTCCGAGCGCCGACTGAAGAGCCTGGAGCATAGGTGAGCACAGAAATTATTCTGTCGTTATTAGAAGAAGATCAATGGTAAACATGGCGTCATAAACCCATCTGTGATGCTTGTGCATGGGGTACTTTCATTGTTTATGATTGCTTAAGTATACTGCTCGGAACTAGATCATCGAGTTAAATTATTGAATAAATAAATTGAATTGTTGTTATTCACCAAGGGTGTGACCGACAGAGATCTTCGCCGAGTGCTTATTCGTAGTATTGATATCAAGACTTTATGTTGTGAAGACCAATAGACCCAGTTTCTTCATCGGAGTCGTAAGTAGAAGTTGGAGTACGAAACGCCGTTCACTTGCTCGCTACTCCTTCATTGCAGAAGCAGCCACCGACGAAGACATGTAGCTGGAAGAAGATTGAAGTTGAAATCAAAAGAAAGTATCACCCGAACTGGAAAGGCGATCGCTCAGCTTTAGGGCCGGTTAAGAAAACAGCTGTCTGTTTTGCTGAATTCTATTCAGGCGAGGAAACTATTCCAGACCCAATTAACATCGAAGAACTATGCATATGCTATCTTTTATCTCAAACAAACAATTGCGCTGATTCTACTCAATTGATCTGTAGAAGCTATTCAAAACGGCTCTCCTAGGAACCAAACTATTGTGGTGCACTCCTAATTATATAAGGTCGAGAGAGCTTCAAGGTCACGGTCGATCTAGCTCCTTAGCGCGGTGGCATGGATAGTCTCTTGTCATATGAAGGATTCATACTTACACTTGCACTTCGTCCTTTTCCCAACGTCGAGGATACCGCAGATATCGATATATGCGGCTCAAGACGGGCGACACCATCGATCCGTGTGGGTGCGTCTAGACCACCAGTTATATTAGATTCTCAACAAAAATTTGCAAGACTACTCACCGAGGACGTATTCACTGAACCAGAAAATATTTTATCAAGCTCGCCCAGGACCAAACGAATATTATTCTTCGCTTCGTCGATTGCCTCGGGATTGAGAGGTTCGAACCCATGCATCGTCCATTTCTGCTGCTTGACGAAAAACTCGCCTCCGTCATCATGCAGTAAATCGCGCAATTTCCGGAGGCATTGATCCCAAGAAGGATCTGACGGTCGAAGACTTGCTAGTGCCCTTATGTCCGTACAGATATCTTCTGATAGTCGGGGTGGTGAAAATATGTCGGGTGATTCACCGCACGCGTTCCACCCGTTGGTGATTAGAATGCAACACGCCAAGAAGAAATTCTCGGGCTCATGAAGGTAGTCCGAATGTCGCTGGAGATCGATCGGTGTATCCAATGCCGCAAGTCCAGCAACGTATCCGTTAATAACAGTGACCAGCGATGGACGAAGGGAATGGTTTCCGAAAACTTCCAGACATCGCATATCGATAAAAATGTCGTACACAGTTTCCACACCATGCCTGAGTGGAAAAAAAGTAATTTTAGATTATAAAAATATGGCCCAGTCCTAAAATTTCACACATAGTGGTCGAAAGGCGCACGAATAATGGTATCAGCATCGTATAGTGCGTCGTACTGATTGATCATGGTTTCAACCAGTGGTTGTAAAGCGGGCCAAAAATTGTGCCTTGCAGATCGACCTGGCATCCGGACACCGACCATCCCTGAATACACGCCCAACAAAGATAACAAAGATGTTTGGGCGCTCGTCCATTCAGATCCGAGCTTGAAGACGGGGCTATGAACGACATGTTCCACGATTTGCAAGAGCGGCGATTTGTTCGTCAGGAAGATTCTTGAACGTGTAGCTCCGGAGGTCGTCAAGCTGGTCCACTAATATGGTACGTTGAATGTCGACATCGAAAGAAGATAGGGAGACACGATGAAGTAGATATCGAATGAAAGCTAGCGTAAGCTTAAAGGTCGAAGGAAAAGATGTTTTATCGGTCAATACATCAAACGCCGAAAGTATGTTCAGCAAGTTGGCTGCCAATTCGTCGTTGAAGTAGGCTGAAGCTGCATTTTCGAAGTAAAGGCATGATTCTGTGTCTTTAAATGTGCTCATTATGCGAGGAACGACGCGACTGCACAGATCCATAGGAAAGGAATCTAGTGAGTCGACGTCGATCGGAGCGAATGCGCCATCGTCTTTGGCAATTCGCATGAGCTTAAGCCAAATGGCTGGAGGTAGCTTCATTTCACTAGAACACGTCACTTGCTTAAAAATGCGGCGGGAGTAGGTGTATTGGATGGTTTGTATTGACTCCTCTGGAGATCATCGTTTGATTGAACGGCGACAGTGAGTCCCAAGTCGCCGTCGGCAATATCAACGTAAAACCGGCTACGTTCCAGGTGAAGCCAGAATGGGATGAACAACTCGAAACGAAGTAAGCGTTCGATCTTAGCTTCCATTCCTGGTTTTGGCTTTGAGGAGTGTAGTTGGATTTGCGTGGGATCCCAGAGTAGGTTCCTCTGAGCCGCACGAATGTTTGTCGCTTCCCCAAATACTTTCTTCACTGCATCCTTCGCCGACAGCGGCAGAACGCCGATAGACTGTACCACGATACTGTGTACCGTAGGATTCGACGAGGAAGAGAACAACCAATGTAACGCTTCCGCCGACAAGATTCCTGACCGTTCTTGCACCACTTCCCTTTCCAGATCATCCAACGAACTTATGCCCTTCGCTTCAGGCTTGTAAAAAACAGATTCATCATCCTTCTCTTCCACGAAGAGTGGTCGGATATGTTTAGGGAATAGGTCCTGTGTAATATAGCGATAGGGAAAGTATACGAGATCCGACAGCGGTGTGCGATAGGGGCATTGTGGGTATAGAATTGGTAGGAAGATGGTTATCAAATATGTCGCGTATGCAGCGACAGTGCCTATGCCGATGACCCAAGAAAGGCCAGGTCGGAGTGGTACCAGGAATATGACCAATCCGACAAAAAAGATCCCAAGTGCGAGGTGCATGAGGACGGGAAGAAGACCAATGATGACGAGAACATGCCACCTCTGGAATCCTCTGTATCGGTATTGGCGAACATGGCTTCGCTCCCGAGGCGTCCCTGAAGGAAGCGCGAGGTAATGGTGGAGCCACTGTTTCACGAGCACGGCGACCAGGGCAGTTGCTAGACTAAGGGAGAGGCTCGTGAACCATAGCCCGTTCACCCAGACGTCCGTAGTTGCAGGAGTGAATGCGGTATATGGATTGAGAGAAGACACTGGAACGTTGTCGAGAGAGGAACCGTTCGCAAGGGCACGCTGAACGAGGACTATTTCAAAGAGCAGGGATGCCGACACCTGAGTATAGTCCGCCTGTAGGCTCTGTGATGTTTGCGATACGAAGGTTGTCACCACTGCTGAGAAAAGACCAGCCTGAAACGTCTTCAGTGACGAAAAAAGTAAATACGGGCAGCTACTCACGAAAACAAGAAGCACATCGACACTATCCCTCGATTCCCCGACCATCCTGGCGTCGTAATTCGTACTCTCGTCCACGTATGTTCTCCATACTCTCGCATTCGGGGCTGTTTCTTCGTAGATATTATCTTCGGGGTACTTGTCCTCGTAGTTGAACGGGTCATTGCCTAAAGATAGCCTTCATTAGGCATAATTATAATAGCAGGGAACCGAAGCAAGAGCCACAATACCTGTCTTTAAACCAGCATCTGGTCTGGTCTTCTTCGCACCTCTATCACCCTCGACGCCGGCTTCTTCCTGTATTCCCGGGCTCGAAGATGGTTCGACCCCAATACTATCTGAATTGACGTGTTCCTTGCCAGTCTCCATTTTCTCTGGCTTCTTTTCGTTGTTTTGACGCAATTTCGAGGCATTATTCTGAGGCGACCCTTCTGGGCGGTCCTGTACATCGGAGATGCCTTCAGAAGAGCGTCTGCTGGATACTTCGTCGACTCGGTGCTGGTCAGACATGGCCGGTCGACGGCTGCCCGCTGACACGACGTTACAGATGGAGATGAAAAAACCCTGGTGGTCGACCCTGATCCGAGCACCTCTTTCCTGTTTAGCGCCGCGGCTGAGACTGAATGCAAGCGCCGTAAGCTGTGGTTCCTCCTTTGTACACGGAGCGCCGGCTGGATAACATGATGGTTAAAGAGAGAGGAATGCCTGCCGGCCAGGAAGGCTGTGTCTTTTGCGACGCGGTCACGTTCGTCCACTCATCCTCTTTCTTTTTCCAGTGTTCAGTGTCTCCCCCCACCAAAGCTCCACTTGGACTTGTTTTCATTATTCCCCTTCTTTGGAAATTCCATTTCATGACATATTATGTACACTAGGAGCTGACCCTTCGAAGACGTGCTGTAACGCGCCGCAGTACGCGCGAACCGCTTCTGTGTTCCGAATTTGCCGAGAATATGCATTGCCAGGTTCGTCCGTATCCATCTCTCTGCGGCCGAGAGTTTGAATTTTCTAGCATGTATCATTTTACCAGGTGAGCAATACCTGCCAACTGTATTAACCTGTCTAAAAAATCAATCAGTCTAGAAGATGTTCAAGCAGCGGATGCTCACGCTGTGGAACGTTCCGTATTCCTGATGCGCCTTCGTTTACTCTCGGCGACGTAACAGCACTGGCAACCCGAAGAACCAAACGCCAAGATATCCCCGTTTCTTCAGCGCATGCTGTAATAACCTAGCTTCAGGTGGCGTTCTTGTGTGCATTCATCTGGAGACCCTCACAGGGCACCCTTCTCCCCATCCCCACCTTTGCCAACATGGTTGCGCCTTACCCAGACAACCTGATCATCTACCCGCCTATCGAAAAGCCAACCTTGAAGGATATTATCATTGAGAGTGGCTGTAAGGTCCTCGCGGAGCTCACAGAAGCTAATTCCACGACCGACGTAACTTCCACCGGTTCTTTTGTGCAATGCCCATGATACTGACTCCGCGATCCCAGATACCACCAGTTCAGGAGAAACGTTCCCCGAAAGGTTTTGATAGACGGCGGTCGATAATGACAACCGGATCTCCCGGGAGGGACTCTTTTCAAAACAACTTTTGGCTGAGAAAGACGAAGGCAGTGATGAAGGAGATGAACACGGTGACACAGTGTATTCCATCGGCCGCGAGGGGATCATTACGCTTTCTGGACCTTGGGTGAGTTATTATCGAGATCTCACAGGTCGTTGTTCTGAACGGCCTCGTGTTTTTTTAAGGTGTTGTCCCGGCGGCTTTACTGCTTACATCCTCGAGAAGAACAAGATCGCCAGAGGACTTGGAATTTCTTTGCCTACAGAAGACGGTGGACACGCTTACTGCCTCGATAATCGTCTACGTCGGCAGACATTCGTTCCACACGATTTGACGAAATTCCAGCTCTCGTCATCAGGTCCGATTGCGGGCACAAACTTCAAAGCTGTCCCTCGGGATATTGAAAAGCGTCAATTCGACCTCGCCATCCTCGGTGCTAGTCCATTATCCAGCTGGCGCGGGAACCGAGACAGCGACCTTCTCCTTGTGTCACAGCTTGTCCTCGGCTTGCAGGGCGTCAAAACGGGCGGGACAATCATCGTGCTGCTACATAATCCCGAGTCATCCCAGACAGCGAGAGTGCTATATCTTCTTGATAAGATCTCGAAGAAACTCACTGTGCACAAACCGACGTCTGTGCACAGCGATCGCAGTTCATTCTATGCCATAGCGCAAGGGGTAGGGCTCGGCAAAGGAGAGGAGGTTACGAGGAACGCGTACCTTGATGGGATGAGAAGATTGTGGTCTGAGATGACTCGGGAAGGGAGAAAGATGGTGGAGGAGGATTTGGATTTTATCGTTACTATGGACGAGGTTTCAAGGTCCTGTATCGCATGGTTGGTGGAACTCTGTGGGAAGATATGGGAGATACAGCTGAAAGCGCTGGAAGTCGGTCTGGAAAGGGATCTATCCTTCTGATATTTTTGATTCGTTTGTGATATTTAAATGTTGTGCATACGTAGCAAGGGCAGCGGGATTAATTATTCAGGTATACGAGGATTTCCAGGCGCGGTAGGAGCAACAGATGAGCTTAAGTATTACTTTGTAACATAAGCGAAACGTAGCGTGTCCTATAATTTCACCTGTGAGCTCGGCGTCCATTATCTGAACCCGATACCGATTCTTTTCTCGGTTTTTGCTGTATGGTACGAGAAGGTAGGTTTAATTTTAGAGAGGAAATACTTATTTATTTAATTATGTTTGCTAATTTAATTTTGTGTATATATCACGTGCGCTGCAAGGTCTTCGACGCCGCCCACGCGTTCTGAAATTCAACATTTTTCTGATACTTCCTTTCATCTACGAATCTCTCCTAAGCATCTCTTTTATACCCTTTGTCTCGTATATCCATGTACTTACACTCAGCAAATAACCCCATGCCCAAGCCGACGGAGAACGTTCCAGTGTTCTTGTTCTGCTTCGAACAAAGAACCGTGTTCATGAAGCGTCGCGAGACTTATGAAGTGAGTCTCGAATTCTACGTTTATTTTCATTACCCTGCTCACTATAGACTGAAGGACATGATAACCGCCTTGCGAATCAAATTCGATATCCCAGATAACGTTAACCCAATTCTACGCGTTTCGACATTGGACATTTGTCATGAAAGAGAGATCGAAGTCGATGAGGATGCCTACGAAGCCATGGCGCCATTTCTGGATGAAATAAAGATCGTTCTTACTCCTCGAAGCAACGGTGCGCTGTACATTCATGATTGTACAATTTTCGACACTGATATCCTAATCAGATAAAGGAAAAGGGCGCTCTATTAGGAAGCATGCATCCCCAGCCCTCACCGCACGACGAATTCCCGCAAAAACGAAATCCGTGCTATCCGAATCGCGCACCCCGAAAGTTGTAAATGCAGCGGAACTATTCGCAAACGACGACCACTTGACGGATGAGGGAGGCCAAGACGATGAAGAAATAGATGCCACACAACCGCCAAGCTCGTCTTCGAGTCACGAAACTGGTCGCTCCTGGGAAGAGGTTGAAGAATCAGATACAGAGCGACGAAATGTGAGAAAGGGTGAGCCACTGTCTGTTGCCTGCAATCCAGAGATCTAACGGTAATCGTTTCAAGTGTTCGAAGCAGATAAAAGCATGATGATCGTCAAGCAAGAAATAGAGGAGATCGTGTCACCGAAGGCTTCTGGACCAAGTGGACTTAACACGTCGCCGGCGAAGAAAGAACGTTGTATGTGTTCTTATTCACTTGGATATCGCGCAGCCGCTAACAACACGTTGCAAGCTTCTGGCCCAGGAGTGAGGAATCCATCGCCTAGGAAAGAGCGCTGTATGTCCCTGATGTGATCCCGAACTCGACGCCCTTGACGTTCCATTTAGATGAAGAGCCAGGAGTTCAAGCCAGCGGCGAAGATGACCTCGACAAACACTTTGAAGTTACCGTTATCGGACCTCAGGATAACCAGCGGGCTAGACTGAAGACTCGCGGAAGATATCAAGTCAAGAAGGTTCTTCACGGTGTTTGCAAATCGTTCGGGATTCCCTTTGACACGTGGGTTAACCCCCTCTCGATAGAGATCTTGTCTCATTCTAATTTCGAAAATTTGTGCAGGGCTAAATTGATCCATATCGTCAAGTTCGTTGAAGACGGCACCGAAGTTGTGGAACAGTTCGAATGTGATAATGATGAAACTATAGCTTACTGCGGCATTAAGGAGAATGCGCAGCTTGCTGTGATCCTCCAAGAGGATGACGACGATTCCTATGATGAAGACGAAGAGTAGCTGACTGCAGAGCGCCGGTATATTTCTACTATCCAAGATCTTTTGTCGAGAGGTCGCAATGTTGTATGTATGTCTATTTTTCTTGTGCCAACTGAGAGCACTTCCGTCAGTCGCCGTCAATGGGACCGCCAGCTGAGTGTCCGTGGAGCTTTCACGCTGCAAATTTCAGGACGACCATGCGCGGCTGATATCATTATCTTCAGGAGGTTTAACGGCAGCAGCGGGTAAGTCTTTTGGCGACCCACTATGGCGGCATCCTCTCTTGCCGAAAGATATTGGAGTGGTGGAGCAGAGAATTTTTCAAAACGAATGTCCAAGACTTGCACGGAAGCTTGAGAGGACCAATGATATTCACTAGCTGCAAGGCCTATCCCTCATCTGGTACGCGCCCCGCCAGTCCCTCAATCTGTTTCCTTGATGTGCTTTACAAGTTAGGCTCGGAAGGTCCTCGGGTCCAAGTATATAGTCGATCATTGACGATTACATCACAACGCAAAGAAGCTTTAATCTGTGAAAGGAGGTTGGGCCCTCCTGAAAGCCAAAATCTTATATTCCCTGAGGGCTGCGCTCCAAGCTTTTTCATTCCCTTGGGCTCTCTCTTATATTCGCATCCACCATGGCCGTCCCGACCTCTCCTATCGATAGCACGTAGGTCCTTGCTGCGGTCCAAAAATATGGAGCAACTGAATGTTTGATAGGTTTGGGGCGCTCTTTATCGGTATGGTCTTGGCTGCTGTGTAAGCATTTTCCCACCTCAGCGTTGCCAGTTTTTGATGGGTTCCACTCGTGCTTAGGCTCTGGGGCGGTAAGTCTTATCTGTCCATACAGAAGACGCGGACTGATGACCGTATAGTTTCATGCGTACAGACGTGGTATTATTTCGATAACTACCGACACGACAGTATATTCCTGAAGGGCGTGGTACGTGTAACCCACCGTCTTTGGATCGGCATGATGTACGTTGACGATGTTCTAGGTTTTCCTCACCTGGCTCAGTGATACTATTCACCAAGTCTTGATAACGCATGTTTGTGAGTTGGGTCGTTTCTGAGTGTCTTGAGATGCTCATTCCCGTAGTGTACTACTACACTATCAGTCACTTCGGCGACACAGACGCACTCGAAAACATCGTATGGACTCTATACGTTAGCACCTTTTTTCAAGCTTTGGTTTCCTTATCTAACTCGCTCGTCTTAGGTCGAGGTCGTCTTTAACGCTATCACGGGATTCTTGGTGCAAAGTTTCTTCGCCTACCGTATCTGGACATGTTTGTGTTTTGTCCCCCAACGTCAAATTCGTACCGAATTGATTGACCTTCCCTAATAGTCCGGAAAAACTTCGCAGTCCTGTCTGTCATCGTAGGCCCATGATTATTGTCGAGTCTATGTCAGGTTTCTCAGCTTCTTTTGTAGGTGCTTTTGATATTGGGAGAAGTGGGGACCTCAGTAGGTAAGTCGTGACAAAGACCTTCGACATCGGAATAATAACATGTTCATAATAGCATATGTCGGCGGTGGCGCACACCTTCCTACGTTTACCGGCCTCAAAAAACTGAAACCGCTGTCGATGTCTATCAACGTACTCGCTGCAGCAGGAGATGTTCTCATATCGGTTGCCATCTGTTTCTTCCTTAACAATGCGAAATCGGGATTTGCCTGGAGTAACAACGTCATTAATCGACTGGTGCATCTCATTTGTTCCATTACGTTCGGTTTAATGATATGATCGTGCGCCATAGATGTTGTTTGCCATCAATACCGGTCTGCTCACCTCAATTTGTGCCTGCGCGTCCCTTCTTTTCGCAAGTTATTTCTTTTACTATGGTAAACAAAACACTCATGGCATTGCGTCCATAGATTCTTGCTCTCCCGAACACTTTGGTTTATTTCGCATTCTACTTCATGAGTACGCATTTGAATAATTCACAACAGATATTGACACTGACTGACAGCTAGTTGGTCGATGTATGTCAAACGTACGGCTACCACATGCGGCTATTACTAACACACCTTATTTCTAGTTTACGTCAATTCGCTGTTGGCAACGCTCAATTCGAGAAAGAGCATGCGCACGCCTGCTTCTACCGAAGCAGAATCGCACTCTCTTCAAGATCGCGCGCGCAGCACCTTCAGCGCTCGCCTCCGCGGCATCATGTCGACCCAAGACAATAATGTATGTTCTTCACCTTTATCGCTTGTTGCAATCACTTTATTCTATTGACAGAAGCCACACACGACTCCGCGAATCGAGGTGCAAATCAGTACTATCAAGGCTGACGACTACGGAAATGACGAGGCCAGCCTGCAACAAGATGAAGAGACTGCCGTTGTGGGGATGCAGAACAAAGCTGATGACTTTAAGTTTCCGTCGAATAAGTCCAGCGAGAAGGTCGTATAGATTGCTTCATACTAACATGGAGCGTCAAGGTGCATGTAATGTATTTATGGGACACAACATATGCATATGCGTATTGCCATATGTGGAGCGCATTGTGCGCGTTTTCATGATGCTACGAGGTGATGCAGTGTAACGCTACTGGCCGGGAGCGGTATTCGGGAACGGCCCTCAGTTCCATGGTGATATGTACTTTTCCGGTCTGCACAAACTTCTGTGTCCCAGTACAAGGTCCCATTCACAATTATGGAGTAAGGCCAAGTATTGCTTTCAAGACAGCTCTTCCATTCACACAAGCGTCCTTTTTTCTTTCAAGTTTCCAGTATACGCCTGGCCAGGCCATGTCAATATGTATCAGACGCCGCGCCTTCATGAAAGAATCGATGCGAATACCGTGCATAATAAGCCATCACTCCGCCGTTTCTGCGAATTATACAATTACCTCCATTTTCTCTGAAAGACTGCCGAATTCGATGATGGCGTCGCTTCAGATAAGGGCGATTAGAATGTGTTGCAGTCAGTGGCCGATCTGCGTGTAGAGGGAATGTACCTACGGAAAATTTCCAGCCGCCTGTGCTATCAGACAATGGGGCTACAGTTTTCCCGCAAACACTTGTCCTGGAGAGCTACTGAGCCTTATGCAATCGCCGCGAAAAACTTTCCGGGGGCACCAACATTCATTCCCATGAACTGGGTGCCAGCTTCCGGCGCTTCGGACTGAAACATGGTGGCATTATTGTGAAGGGTCCACATAAAAATAATTGCAGCATTCTATACGCCAGTCCAGGCTTTCGACAGATGTATATCTTCTGATTCTGGATGAACGACGCGAGCTCGTATAAAATCGTAAGCATTCAAATTTCAAAGTGTACGATACTACCTAGTACGTTTCAAACCTCGACTGCTTGTCAAGAGATTAAGAGTCTGCCTAAGAGAGACTACGACCTACGAGCAAAGAATACATGAGTTTTGAAATAAAATATTATCGCGTATGGAAGAGAGCAAGAGAAGAGAATTGTGTAGGATTCTAGGAATCGAGATGAGTGATCGAGGTCCGCGGAAGGAGATTACGACGAAGGTCCGCGGAGATAATCCAACCATGCCTCTCAGTTGCGATCCACCACCACTACCGTTCGTTTTTACCACCCTTGTGGTCTGACTACGACCCTTTGCTGAACTATCATGATCACGGATGCTTGATCTGGTCTGCGAGACCACATGACTATCATTATGTTACTGGTCTCCATCCATCAAGATTCGAAAATCTTCACATCTCGTTTACGACAAAGTCAATACCGGAAACTCATCGTGACTAACGAAATTTATGTCTGCACATTCTGTTGCTGCTGGTTAGTCTTTAACGTTGACGATACACCCTGGTTTTTCACCATCTGTGTGGTAGACGGGTCAGGTTTTCAATGTCGTCCTTGTTTGGACGAGGGCGATAAAGATACTAATGTCCGAGTCCAAGAAGCTAAAATCAAAGAGATGAAGACGGTGTTTGGGATGCAAGACCAACGAAAGAATGGTACACGTACTGATTTTTCTAAGATTCGTCAGAAGTCACCTGAATGTAATTCCAGGCAGCAAACAAAACGATGAAACTTTTCGCGATGCCATTTATGAGGAGACAGCGCCGAATGCAACGGTCTGGCAGACATATATGCGCGAAAGCACCCAGACTGATATTCGCATGATGGGAGAATGCAGAGAGAATCTGGATGTGCTTCTCGTTTTCGTGAGTCCCTTTTCCTTCCCCCGAATCCCCTTTCTGAACATCCTTAAAGGCTGGTCTTTTTTCCGCGGTCGTAACAACCTTTATGGTACAAACTTACCAGAACTTGCAACCGGACTACACCCAGGCGTCAGCGAAACTACTGTTCGAGTTGGTCTCCATACAACGCGCACTTGCAAATGGGACTTCCCTTGATATGATTCCGATGTCGGCTTCCAATCCTTCCGCCAAATTTATTCCTTCAAGTGGCAGTGTCTGGGTCAACGGACTGTGGCTCACCAGCCTTGTCCTCAGCCTTACTACTGCACTTATAGCCGTACTCGTCAAACAATGGCTTCACCACTATACAGCCTTGCCTTCGGGAACCCCGCGCGATCGCAATCACATTCGCCAATTCCGCTACGCAGGATTTCAAAAGTGGCAAGTCTTCGTTATCGTCGGGCTCCTTCCGGTTATTATGCATGTAGCCCTCGCCATTTTCTTCCTAGGATTAGTAGTTTTTTTAATTCCCCTCCAAGTCTCTCTGTCTTGGATCATTGGTTCGATCACCGTGTTCGTTTATGCGGCTTATCTGTCATCGATCGTTCTACCAATATTCTTTTCCCAATGTCCCTACCGCACGCCTCTCTCCAATGCCGCATATACTCTTTTCCAGATCATCTCCTACCTTCACACGTTCTCGTCCTCACAGAAGTGGCCGGAGACGTCGGCAGTGGCTCTGGGAGAAGCCGAATCCGCTGCAGTGAAAGCTCATGTAGACGAAATCTCAGTAGATGCGTTGCATTGGCTGTTAACTGCGTCCTCAGATTTCGACATTCAAGATATGGTCATACAGTCCATCGGCGGTCTGCCAATGTCATCGAAGCCGAGGGTAGACCAGGTCTTCCAAAATGCCAGCGACATCCGGGAGGCGCACATGATCCTCCTTCATAGCTCGTTTGAGAGGTCAAAAAAGAGACCTCTTCCTGGCATGGAGGTCGAAGTTGAACGGCTGCTCCGATTTGAGCTATTCATTCCTCCCCTTTTGTGCGACATGTATACCCTCAGGAGGAACCGCCGATACATCGACACGTCCAGTGCTAGTATTGAGCTCGCCGCATCCGTTCATGCTAACCCCAGTCTGGCGATGAGCGTGCACAAACCGCCTAGTTTACCTTCCCCGATGGTGTTCCTCAAGCATGTTCTGGATATCAATGCAAAGTTACCTGCGATAATTTGGTTCAATCTTGTTCAGAACGCGAAGCGTGATGGAGCTTTTAATGCTGTGGCTCCAACGGATCATCGATATCCACTTCCCATCTGCAAAAACATCATTTCAGTGTTCGGACACCAGCTGCAACCACCAGTCGCTTCGCCTTCGAACGCCGTTTATTTTACAGATGCAGTTGAAAACTACTTCCCAGGAGAGATGACGGACAATCTTTTGCGGATGTTCTCTGTCTTTGATCTATTTCGAGAGGGGCCCTTCTCAACACAGTTGAGAGTCGTTCTGGCTTGCACCGAATTTTGCTTACAAGCTGCACTTGACGACTCAGAGGGTGTCTGGGTGACGGACACTGTCCTGGAAACTCTGGAGAGCCATGTAGAGGCCGGGTCGCTTTCCGCGATGGCGAACGACGCAGTTTTTAGAACTGTTGTTCGCATCCTACAGGGGCCGCCATGGTCGCGATTAACAGTCTGGAGCCAATTCTATGTTCTGCAAATGTATGCTGCCATCACAATTCAAGCGCGAGTTTCATCGTCCTTCCCCGGACTGAAATCTTTGATCGAGTTCATGTTCAACGACCACCTCTCCCCCACCGACCCCATCAAACCGTTCCATCATTTCCTATACTCACCGTTCGACCTCGTATGCGTTGTCCTCGTTCGTGGTCTTCGTATATCTACTCAGCAAGTGGACCGCGCGTTTCACGAAAACTACTGCCTAGAGAATTGGGGACGGAACCCATTCCGGCCAAGCATGTGCGATATTGTCCAAGGGTACATTGCTGGTGGTATGGATGAGGAGGCAGTAGAGTACCTCTTTCGGGGCGAGAACTTTCTTGTAGCATGTCGGATTCTAGCCGCGGATGGTACGGGAGGGTGTCTTGATAGTATACTGACGCTTGCTCGACTGCGGTCAGAGGACCCCGGGTGGGATTCATGCCGCTTTGGACTACGGGAGTTGGTAGGCGAGGGAAAACACGATTTCTTTGCGTTGCAGCGTAAACGTCGACCGGAAAATGGACCTTACGTGGTGTTGGCCTGCGAAGACGTTGAACTGCAAAAGAGAAATGTCTGGGTGGCGGTTGCTATGCTTGATCGGTTTTTCGCCGGCAATCCCGTATAATCTCGCCAGTATTTGTTTTCCTTGCCCGCATTATTAGTTATTCTGAAGGACGATCTTTCTTGAATTTTGTAGTGGCTGTACGTAGATACTAGATTTCTTGCAAGTGAACACGGTGGCGTGAGACGCGTATGGAACTATATGCTAGCAGATGGGTAGGTTCGATGGGTTGTATCATGCAGTCTGCCTTCGGCTGGGGTGATGAGTATAATACTCATTCTGTACAAAGTTGACGTTCATTACCGAATGGATGTTCTTTGAATAATAAGCAGAACGCGTCAGTGACCAACACTGTTGGAAAGCCGAAATCCTCACCCTTTTACGTGCTCCTTCCTGCATACCAGCAAAATCTCAGCTGGGGCTATCGAAGGTTGTTCAAAGACTACCCTTCTTGGTTGTATCTCATTCATTATGATCCTTCTGTCATCGACCTCAGGCTGAGTGATAGACCTGACAGCAAACTCGGGCAAGGGCCGCAAGGTAATAATATATCGCCGTAGTTGAAGGCTCAGGTATTTCAAGCGTCTCTACGACTTTGTATACCACACGGAAAACTAAGATCTACCAACTCTACATAGCATACTGACCAAGCACAGCTAGGCTGAAACGGCGCAGAAAAGACCTTACGGCGTTTGCCGGGGTTCCTTGTCCTTAGCCCTCTCGATCCCGATCATTTTCGACCCTCATTGTGTCAGGCGCGTCATCACCTGGACTTACGCTCTTCTCCGAGGGCTTAAAACATCTTTGGAATCAGGCCAGGCCATCCGGTTCTGCCCCGTAAACGCTACTTATTTCACGTCTTTTGATCACTCAATCACATTGTAACCCTGCCCAACAGGCTTACGACTACGTGCAATGTACATCTATTTACCTAGACCTTTAGATACTTCATGGATCAACGATTCGATCGGTACACGTCTTTACCTTGTACTTTTACGATCCACGCGCAAAAGAGTCATTTCCTATTATTGCACGTGCTCTAGTGTTCCCGCCCACCGGCTGGGTTCCACACGTCACAACAATCACGCTATTTTGTGGGCTAACAGTACGGCAAGTCTGTCTTCTGCGCCGATTGTTCATTCAGGCCCATAAATTGGAATGGAGAACCTCATCGCAAGTACAATTTTGCTTCGAAGGAACTTTTATACTAATAATACAAGTTTTACTCAGAGATTGGCCAAAGATGGATCGTTTGAGGCAATGATGGCTTTAGTCGAACGAACTGTCAGCGACCGAAGAGCCCATCGAGCTTTCTTTTGCGTCATGGAAGAGAATCTCAGTTTCAACACCACCTCTGTCCAGGCTATGAAACGAGGGAGGCTACCGCTGGTTCCTTCGCTCGACCCCAAAGACAAACTAAATCTCAGTTGTATCTCACTCATCGCACTCGCTACAGGCATCCAAAGGCGACATTTCCCCCGATTGGTCCGCTTGGAAGACAATATTTCCTCCGTGCTCGCTCTCATGCCTGCCATATCATTCTGGTTGTGTCTCTTCTGCGAGCACATCATCTTACCTTCCCGAGCACCCGAGTTCAAGGTCGTTGATTTCCACCACGCCATGGTGTTCATCCTATCCCATATCGGAGGGTACAAGAAGTTCGTCGAGAAGCTCACGATAGAACCAAAACTCTTCACAGAGCACCTTCCGTATCTTTGGCTTAACCCTCCCTCTGGCTGTACCAAGTACAATCTCGATGATTCCCGGTCAGTCTTTGCTGCTGTATTCCATGCAGGTCTCGGCGCACCACCACCGTGGAAAGACAATTTCATCCGCCGATTGGAGGAAAACAGTACACTCACCGCCACCCTCATCATCCAGCGCATTCTGGAGGAGTTCGCCCAAGTCCCGGAGGAACCTGACGCTGCAATTCTCTGCGAATCTTTTTTGGTTGTCGTAACCTTTTCCCTCGAACTCCCTCTCAATGCCTATCCATCCAGACCGCTCTGCTGAAACACAACATTGCTCAACGGATCTGCCTTGTTTTCCGATTCTTCACTCGCCGCGCACAATTCACCAATGCGACACTGCGCGTATTCATGGAGTGTATGTACATGTGTTTGCTTTACATTACCAGAATCATGCAGGACGGACATTCGTACATCCATCAACTCCTGGGCTACAACATCCTTCTCTATATGTTCAAGGCGCTCAGAAACCTGCATACTTACCCCGAACTCGCCGATCAGCGGTACAAAGAACTCAAGACCACCATAGCGGTCCATATCGTGAACATTCTAAACAATGTCATATGCCATTTTTCCTACGCTTCGATTCTGAAGCGGTCCAAAAAGGCTATCTCCAAAATTCAACGACAGCACGCCGATGGATTCCTCGACCCTAAAGACCTGAGCTTGAAGGACGTGTACGAAACATGGTCACAGTTCGTAACCATCGCTTCGTACAGAAACAATATCTGGTCTACTATTCCTGATTTATTCTGCGGTAACAGCGAGGTGTGTAGTCCCATGTTGATGATGCTAGTTACTTTAACCTCCCGTCATAGTGTCCTGGAGCGTCGGCCGGAATGTTCATGGCTTGTTCCGGCTGCCGCTCTACACAGTACTGCTCGCGGACATGTCAAAAGGATGACTGGACCTCTGGTGCCCACCGTTCCCTCTGCATCGAAATCAAACAACTCAGGAGTGGTACGTCAATTCACCTTCCGATTCCTTCGTGTTCCTCAACGAATTTAGACGGTGCCCCCTTACCCATGTCTTCGAGTGATCAGAAAGCCCTCGAGAACCTCAATAGTCAATATGTCAAATATTACAGACAAGAGCCCTCGGAGTGGGACGCGCTGTTAGAAGAGTATATTGCAAAGAATGGAGAGCCAAATCCTTTCTGGCCCTTGGTTGTGGCACTGGACTACCGTGCTCTCGACGTTAACCCTCAAATACTACTCGAGTCTTCGGAACGGCGTGTCAAAAACCTCGAGATCGTAGCTCAGGCACGAGAAGGACGTGGCATCTTCGTGTATTGGACTATCCCAGATGGCTATCATCTTGTGGAGAAAGGGGAACTGGTTGTTTTGTAAACTAACATATTCTAGCTTGCTGCTCTCGCGACTTCGTCAACAGGTGAGGAAGAATGTGACACTCTGGATTATGCTCAAACTTAACGCCATTATCCGTCAGTTTATTAGATCGTTCTTCCTCTCTAGGTATACGCCATTTACCACTACCAAAAAATACCTATCTCAGTATTATAGCATAGTTGTGATCCACGGTCTCTATTTCCATCCAAATGGTCCATCGTTACGTTAACGCTGCTGCAGAGACGACTCGACATGAGTCTTGTTTGTGTGGCTTGACCGGACTGCTTCTCATCGTTTTACTCCAGGCGCACCTCTGTCGTCTTCATGCTCCAGATACGACTAATATACAGCCCGGCAAAGAGATGTCTTCATGACCCAATGTGTATCACAATTTCCACGACATCGTCAAAATGCATTGTCCAACCCGTCTAGCGGCTGGCATCTCATTACAAAGGATTCTTGCTGGTCGGTTGTCTAGTAGCATAAATTCAAAGAGAGCACAAGGAAATTAAGAAACTCCCACGCTGCATCCGCTGTATTTGCGGTCAGCGAAGCACGCACTTTTCTTCCGACCTTTAAATTCATCAACCACGGCATTGTACCAATCGTCTTTGAGACGTCTATTCTCTACTCGAGTTTCTTGTCTACTACTGGTATTGCGATTAGAACAAACTGGGAGTTCACAGGGCTGGCAGATTGCTGTTCAAGTATCAAGTTCTGTATGTCACGCTTGATCCTGGTGGCTTTGAGGACAGAAATAGGGACGAAGCACATATAAAGGACTTGGAAGTTACTAACAGCGAAGTCTCGGACTGATAACGTGTCTTGACTAAGTGGTTTACTTCCATTCCTTCATTCAAAAGGTTCAAGCCGGATGTCGGATGTTTACCAATTTTACAGGAACACGCATGATGCCTTTCTCAGCTATATGCCGTACTACAACGTAATACCTGAAGTACGACTTCCATCGGGGAGGAACAACATTGTTGAAATCTCGGTACGCCTTTGCGGAGTAAAGTTTCCTTTATAACAATACTATGTACTGCTCAAAAACTGAATGTTTCGGATATGGTGTAACGGCTAACATTGCCGCCTTTCATGTCTTTCCGGTCTTTCCGCGGCAGCTCGGGGTTCGATTCCCCGTATCCGAATAGTGTGCTCGTGTCTTCGAGTTAAGTTTTGCTTCCACGTCATAATCAGAACGCTACTGACCCACTGAATGTCAAAGAGTTGACACTCCAGAGACGAGGAGTTGCATCAATGTGTTCTAATTAAACTTTTCTCCGCATCAAATCCCGCGGGGAAGGCCCCACCCGGCGCCCGATTTTACCCGAGTCGGCAGCGGAAGCGGGATGGAGATTTCCCCCTGACTATATCAGGGCGTCATAATTTCATTTCACGTTTTCACTCCATTTACTTCTCTCCCTTCACCACTTACGACACACAATCCTGGCTCTCCGGCGACAAGAACTTGACGAACGTACGATACTTGGACGGACACGAAGACTGAGGATTGGGCATTGACACTGGACAGCTTGCACGTAACGTCAGCGGCGCTAAAGGAGGAATTTGTTTACCGTGCGTTTCGTCCATTGTATTTGCGCTCTTGCAGTACTTAAGGGCCACATTGCAGACTGTAGTTGGCACCAAGATCCCACAATAGTGAGTATTATTGTATGTTCTTATTGTGGCACAACTGACGCAGTCGTCAGGCTATTCATGGCTCTCTATTAGAACATTGGCCTACCCACTGGACAGGTCTGACCAACGACTGCGTGAGTATTGGTCTCTGTACCTGTTGTATACATGCTGACTTTCTGCTAGGCCTGTACTAACTCAACGCAACTCTATCATCGCATTGTGCCACCAAGCGTTCTACACTCAGCACAAGTGACAACCACAAAAATTGCTATACTCCACAAATCTACTACAATGATCGCCTCACCCGCGTCATCAGCGACGCTGGTCAGCCCAGAACCTTATCACCGCCGGAAGCTCGACTTCAATGTCGCCGCAAAGCCTAAGGGCCACCTCGAACCGCATGTAAGCAACCTACCGCGACGAAGGGTGGCGAAAGGGAGGGCTATCCTAGAGGAGAGCGAGAGCAACAGCAAGGGAAGCGCAAAAACACACTCTGCGCGCTCGCCCAGGGTTGAGGGAGAGCCTCAATGTCAACACGCGAGCATACAACCGTTGGGGGAAGAAACAGACGTGTTTGTCTCTTTTGAGGATGTAGAGGATTGGACTGGGGTCAAAATTCGCGTCGAAGATGAAGGAGAGAGCGATCGAGGCGTACCGACTCTGTTACGCTCGGTTTTCCTCAAGCTGATGATGACCACGTCGGGAAAGATTTTGGTTGTAGGGTCTGAGGGAAGAGTGAACGCATTTGCTGTAGCGCTGGGGATTCTTTGTCGGAGGAGCCGTAGGGATGTCATAAAGACATACATGGTACTGCATGATACGGGTGGATTAGAGGATTCTTGGAGGGGCTTGTTGAGTCGTGAAGGGTTAGAGTGGGTAGTCGGACAGCAGGAGTAGACAGACATTGTATTGATAGACGTAATGTGTATTCTTAGAATAAATACTGTTCAGATATGGCGTAACGGATACTTTTGGTTCGAATTCTCGTAACTGGAATGTACAGATGCTTTGACTTTCTACTTGTCTCCCACTTCTCCGTCCGATGGTATTAAGACCAGGCTGGAAAGCGCTCGCGCAGAGTAACTCAGAATGATATGCTGATACAGTCCAAAAGAAACAAGGTCGTTGAGCGCTTGAACGCCGAGACATAGCCTACTAAGTTCAAATCCACAGCGAAAGGTACCACATACGAATCGCATTGGAGGTATACAATACTATACAGATATAATGCTACAATTGTCCATTGTCATTTCAGAAGCCTCGTCGGACTTAGTAACTGTAGTGGGCGTTCCAGCAAGAAGTATCGTAATACTTGTGGTCATCCTTGCGGTCCTTGTCATCTTTCTTTCCGTCCTTGCCGAAGTCCCTGCTACCGCCATCATTCTTGCGGTCGTCCTTGCGGTCATCTTTCTTTCCGTCCTTGCCGAAGTCCTTGCTGCCACCATCATTCTTGCGGTCGTCCTTGCGGTCCTTGTCATCATCACAGTCATCCTCCCAAGTCAAGATGTCGATGATCTCCTCGAAGAGCTCGCAAATGAACTTCTCCTCGTTCTCCTCTTTCGAATAGGCTAGGAAAAAGACATCAGACACGCCCGAAATGAAAGGAATTATAATCAGACGTACCCTGGCAAGAGTTGCACTTGTCGTCCTTCTCGCAAAGGTTCTTGCAGTCTGAACAGTAAACGTGAGTGAAAATAATAAAATTTTGCAATGAGATTATACGTACCAATCTCGTAGGAGTCCTTCTTGACATCCTTGTGGTCGTAGGGGGTGTACTTGCCCTTGTTCCATCCCCTGAAGTCCTTCTTGTGCTCAAACACAGGCTCCCAGGTGCAGCCCTTGCGCTTGTGGTCCTTGTCGTCTTTGTCTTTGCCGAAGTCCTTGCTGCCGCCATCATTCTTGCGGTCGTCCTTGTCGTCATCCTTCCTGCCAAAGTCCTTGCTGCCACCATCATTCTTGCGGTCGTCCTTGCGGTCGTCTTTCTTGTCATCGTCCTTCTTGCCCCAGTCCTTGCTGCCACCATCATTGTGACCATAGTCCTTGCCGTAGTTCCTGCCACTGCCACCGTCGTTGTAGCCGTTGTAACCGACACTGTCATCCCTGGCCTGAACGGAGGCAGAGAGGGCGGGGACCGCGAGAGCGGCGAGAGGGATAAGAGCAGCGATTGAGAGACGCATCGTGATGAATGAGCTGAAGTAGATAGACGAGGTTGAGTTGTCTGGAGAATGCTGGCGATTTTGGAGACCTTTTATATCTTTTCGATTACCAGAAATTCCCTGCGACCTAAGTCGTTGTCTTGACCAACAAGTGAATCTCAAGATCGTCATATTGAAACAGTACCGAGCACAAGATGGTGGATATTTCTCAGCCAAGAGTAATCTTCGTCAAGACCTGCCAAGCTACAAGGGAATCTTCGAGTGCGGTAACCAAATACGGTCCAGGCGGGAACGTCGGTCTAAGATGTAGCGGGAGAAATGAGGTTGCCATAAATTTTGCTGGTGCAAGACATCACTGATCAGTTCAATTTTTAAGTACGACAAGGACAGTCAAGAAGGAGATTCTGAGAGTTAAGCATAGAACATTTCAAGATACGACTCGAAGACAAAACTAAGGCTGTGTGGATAAGTACGAAGAACATCCACGTCCAAGCTGCTGAGTGTTGAGAGTACGGAGATCGGAAATGGCAGCCTCGGAATGAAATCCGGCAATCCGCTGCCGATTGCAGCCGTCCCATCGGCACAAAGTTGCCGCAACCGCTCGGGTGCGGGCGTTTCACCCGTGTGTCCTTAGCCAGAGCCTTTCCTTCTTCGCATGACGAAGTTTCCATACGATATGGCTACCTGATACCCAGAAAATCATTAACGGCCAAAAATTACATCACTCAATGGTTCAATATCTGGAATACTGAGGGACTTCATCTGACATGTTTCGCTTTGGTATCGACGTAACTCAGGCTGCGGAGGCCAGCCACAGCGGCCGCGGGTCATCGAGGAGGATCCACACCTTATTGGACTTCGAAAAATCGTCTGGAAAATCAATCTACGTGAGGAGTTTCTAGGATGAATCCACTCGACGTCCTTGGCATATCTGAAATGTTCTTCTTTTTGACTATCGACTCTCTCAGTTCTGATGAGGCTAAGGGCGGCCTCTCTCGCGATTTCCCGGTTCCCTCTGAGACCGACGTTCCCGCCTGGACCGTATTTGGTTACCGCACTCGAAGATTCCCTTGTAGCTTGGCAGGTCTTGACGAAGATTACTCTTGGCTGAGAAATATCCACCATCTTGTGCTCGGTACTGTTTCAATATGACGATCTTGAGATTCACTTGTTGGTCAAGACAACGACTTAGGTCGCAGGGAATTTCTGGTAATCGAAAAGATATAAAAGGTCTCCAAAATCGCCAGCATTCTCCAGACAACTCAACCTCGTCTATCTACTTCAGCTCATTCATCACGATGCGTCTCTCAATCGCTGCTCTTATCCCTCTCGCCGCTCTCGCGGTCCCCGCCCTCTCTGCCTCCGTTCAGGCCAGGGATGACAGTGTCGGTTACAACGGCTACAACGACGGTGGCAGTGGCAGGAACTACGGCAAGGACTATGGTCACAATGATGGTGGCAGCAAGGACTGGGGCAAGAAGGACGATGACAAGAAAGACGACCGCAAGGACGACCGCAAGAATGATGGTGGCAGCAAGGACTTTGGCAGGAAGGATGACGACAAGGACGACCGCAAGAATGATGGCGGCAGCAAGGACTTCGGCAAAGACAAAGACGACAAGGACCACAAGCGCAAGGGCTGCACCTGGGAGCCTGTGTTTGAGCACAAGAAGGACTTCAGGGGATGGAACAAGGGCAAGTACACCCCCTACGACCACAAGGATGTCAAGAAGGACTCCTACGAGATTGGTACGTATAATCTCATTGCAAAATTTTATTATTTTCACTCACGTTTACTGTTCAGACTGCAAGAACCTTTGCGAGAAGGACGACAAGTGCAACTCTTGCCAGGGTACGTCTGATTATAATTCCTTTCATTTCGGGCGTGTCTGATGTCTTTTTCCTAGCCTATTCGAAAGAGGAGAACGAGGAGAAGTTCATTTGCGAGCTCTTCGAGGAGATCATCGACATCTTGACTTGGGAGGATGACTGTGATGATGACAAGGACCGCAAGGACGACCGCAAGAATGATGGTGGCAGCAAGGACTTCGGCAAGGACGGAAAGAAAGATGACAAGGACCGCAAGGATGACCACAAGTATTATGATACTTCTTGCTGGAACGCCCACTACAGCTACTAAGTCCGACGAGGCTTCTGAAGTGACAATGGACAATTGTAGCATTATATCTGTATAGTATTGTATACCTCCAATGCGATTCGTATGTGGTACCTTTCGCTGTGGATTTGAAGTTAGGAGAACATCGTACCAAACACGTTCTCAACTGATATCTGCTGTAAGCATCACTTAAGTGCGTGTAATGGCATTTCTGGCGCGTGCAGTTATAAAAGACAGTTGGATTTACTCTCAGAAGTACGTCCCAGTTCTCAAAAACTAACTTCATTCTAAGTACTATCACGTAACGGCCAGTGACCCTCCAACTCTGCATTGGGGTTGTGATCTATCTGTATTGCAAGATCTCAACGACTCGATCAAGTACTCGCTATATCATATTTTGTCTCCCCAAAGTCGTAGGATAATCGGTCGAGGAGCAAGGCATTCTATTTCACCTTCCCTGACGCTCCATTGAGGTCAATTATATTAGGGCTCTGGGCTGTATGATAGTCCTTCTTGGTAGTGCTTCGTACTCTCCGCATCTGGATGGTGTTATGCTTAACATGGATCTCTGTGATGACGATGGCTTGACAATTTCCATCTCATCGATTCAAATTGGATGCCAATGTGAATGCATCCACCACTGTATTGTGCGTATGAACAACCTCGAGATTAAATCTTATGAAGGAACTGTTATGGATATTGGGTATCCACTGATTCGGTGCATGAGTCAACACATGCCCGAACTCGGCCTTCTCGGTCTTAATACTGACTCGCTCGTACTTTCTGTCACTTTCTCTATTCTTCGTACTGATACTAGAATATTATAGAAATAGAACATTGTAGAATAATAATGACTCGAACCTTTCCTTAGTATATAAACTTGTAGATAACATTGTATTAGGGAGACTTGATCAATCTACTACTTCCAGTACCCTCACACTGCGTGAACCCTCAGTTACGCCTAGCGCTTGCTGAACAACCCATTGGATACGCCTAGCGCTTTCCAATACCAACCCGAAGGTTACGCTTAGCGCTTGCCTTCACCCACGGCCCGTAATAGCTTCGCGCTTACAGGCCTTCTATATCGGTAATTGCTCCGCGCTTACCGGCTACTTCCCTCAGTAATTGCTTCGCGCTTGCTGATTTCCTTTATTTCGCAAACCGGACCACTCAGGTCTCCTCACGAACCCTCGCCGGAATCCAATATATTCTCTAACGACGTACATCATTCCTAATTAATCTTACCTCACTTCGATCACCGCTCCTTGCCTCGTGCTAGCATATCCGGATTTCGGCAGATCCATAACAGGAACCAATTCCACCTTTGTCACTATACGCTGCCCGTCTGGGATTATCCAACCTACGATGGTTCCAGCCCCTCTTCGCGCCGCAACTACGATCTCCCAATCTTCAACACATTGTTCCGAAGACTCGAGATAGAGGTAAGGTTCGACATTGATAGCACGGTAATCCAGTACCAAAACCAAAGGCCACAAAGGATCAGGCTCTCCATTCTCTGCGGTATACTCGTCCAACAGCTCTTCCCGCTCTGAAGGCACTTCTTCGTGATACTCCACATAATGACTGTTGAGGGTCGCAATGGCTCTCCGATCGCTGAAAGACATAGGCAAGGGATCAGCATCTAGGGGACCCGTGAGGAAATGCAGAAGCTCAAAAACAATATGACGAACTGGTTCTGATCTCTTTAATCTCGTTGCAGAGAGAGCGGTGCCCAGTGGATGTCCGAGACCAGTCATCCTTTTGGCATGTCCGCGAGCAATACCGCGTGAACTGGCATCCAGAACAAACCGTAAACTTTTCGACAAACGTTCCAGGACACTATATAAGAGGATTAATGACAGTATTATCAACACGGGGCTGCGTACCTGTCCGTTACCGCAAGACGAATCAGATATAGATCTCGTCATATCAGATCGGTAAAAAGCAATGTTTACAAATTGGGTCCACTCTTCGCAAACCCTCTTCAAACCTAGGTCTTTGGATTCGAGGAATCCGTCAACATGCAGTCGCCGTATTTTGGAGATGGCCTTTCTGGTCCGCTTCAGAATCGAGGCGTAGGCAAAATGAGATATAACCAAGTGTAGGATCTCCACAGCATGATCCTCCAAGAGGGTCTTGAGTCCTTTAAACTCCTGGTCGATGAGCTCGGGATGAGCATGCATGTTGCGGAACGCCTTGAGGAGACAGGGGAGGATGTCGTAGCCCAGGAACTGATAGATGTACGAATGCCCATCCTGCATGACTCTGAGGATGTAACGCAGACACCTGGACACGCAATCCGTAGCTACGCGCAGTGCCACATAGGTGAATCGGGTGCGCCGGGTAACGTATCGCAAAACAAGAGCCATCCATTGGATACTATTGTTTCTCAGTAGAGCGGTGTGGATGGGTAGAGATTGGACAGAGAGCTGAAGGGTGGAAGCTGCGACGGTCAAAAAAGTTTGGGAGAGAAGCGTCGCATCTGGTTCCTCTGGGAGATGAGCGAATCCGTCCACAATGAATTGGACAACGAGTTTAGCGGTGAGTGTACTGTTTTCCTCCATCCGGTCAACGAGAATGCCTCTCCAAGGTGTTGATTCGCATGCGAGGACCGCATGATATACAGCAGTGAATACTGATCGGGCATCGTCGAGATTGTACTTCGCACAGCCAGGGGGAGGGTTAAACCAAAGGAAGGGGAGATAATCTGTGAAGATTTTCGGTTCCAACGTAAGCTTTTTTTGATTTGTGGTCCAGGCTAGGATGAATACGACGGCGTGGTGGAAGTCCATGAACTTGAAGTCGGGTGTTCGGGATGGTGTAATGATGCGCTCGCAGAAGAGACTCAACCAGAACGATATGGCGGGCATAAGGGCGAACATGGAGGAAGTGGACTCCGCCAAACATGCAGGCTGGAGGAGGAGACCGTCACGAATGCCTGTGGCTAGTGCGAGCATCGAAGTGCAACTCCGATTGACTACATCTTTGGGATCGAGTGAGGGGACTAGTGGGAAGCTTCCTCGCTTCAAGGCCTGGATAGTTGGTGTGTTGAACCTGAGGTTTTCTTCCACGACACGGAAAAAAGCTTGATGGGCTCTTCGATTTCTGCCAGCTTGCAAGGCCAGCGCCATCATTGCTTCAAATGATCCATCCTTGGCCGATTTCTAGGCAAAAATGGTAGTATGAAAAGTCATATCGACTCGCGGGATTGTACCCACGATGGATTTGTCCATTCGCGTAAGTGACAATGAAGATGGTTGACGAAGAAGCGGAGAGAATTACCAGTAATCCTCAGAAAAAAAAGAAAAAAAAAAACTGTCAAGACGCGACATTATTGAGTAATCTGTGAGTAATGAGAAGACGGAGACGAAGAAGCATCAACATACGCAAACTCGGTTAACCAAATGCGCTATTGTACTTGAAAATAGGCTTAGGAACTTGAAGAATCAATGTTGTCTCGCCATTGCGCAAGCATCCACTGAAGACGCGTCTGGTACGATCGTGTGGGGAGCAAGATCGAGATCAGGGGCGTGAGAACAGCTACTGATCACCGAGGCAGCCGGCAAGCCGGCCATCCTCTCGCCTTTCAATTCCGAACTTTGACTCTGCCGTTCAAGAGTTATCGGTACCAAGCGGCTGACAGCTTGACTTGGCATACTCATCGTCTTAAAACAAAACAAAAATCGAAGGCCCGGACAGGAAAAGGGAACTGCTCGCCACATCACACAGTTCAGCTGAATGAAGTAGAAATTCGGATTATCTGGGAGCCTACACCAAATCAGTTGGGAAAGACTATCAAGCAGACGTCGATCATTGTAAATTAGTAGACGTGTAACTACGTGTATCATTAATGACTATCTTAAACGCCACACGTCTCCAGTCCATCCTGGTTCAAATTTACCGTGCATTCTTCTTACGGGTCACTTCCGCATCATCCACTACTTCATGGTGGATACTAAGCGACTCAGCACCCAGACCTTTCTGCCTCTTCGTCTCAAGACGTTCCATCGCCGACGTACGCCTTTTGGAGCTTCCAAATAACTCATCCTCGCTGTAGCACCAGTCAAAGATCCCCTGTTGAGGCTCCTTCATTTGTTCGGTAGGCTCACACAAAGTGTCGCAAAGCCAAGTAGGACTGTCAAGTTGCATTTGTTTCGCGATATACTGGCCGGCTGGAAGGTCTGGAGCATCCTCCGGATGTGATACCTTCCAGGCTTCGTATTTTCGAGGTTGCTCTGCGGTAGGTTTGTCTTGGTATCGGACAACAAAAACGTTGACCAACGCCCGCAACAACTGGTTAAGACCTTGGGGGGTGAAGGAAGACATCAAAGAAGAAGAGGTTAACAGCGCGAACTTGTCCACGCCACGGTTGTGTTCGAACATCGGCGTCATTATGTCGTATAGAGCAACTGGGGAAAGCCCATGGCGGATATGCCGGAGAGCTACATATAGGAGAACCCAGAGGCAGGATTCCCTATCGTCTACAAGTGTGTGTGTATGTTGCCGGAGGAAGCCAGGAGCTGCGCAGACAGAAACTGCCATGTGCCCTAAATGATGATATATAAACGAAGGAGGTTGAGAAAATTGCATAGAAAGCTTACGGTTTTGCCTACACGTTGGTTGCCTGTTCTTTCAGTAAGGATGACGCAGTGATCCCAGTCGATGAGAGACCCTCTGTTGTTTGGGCTGATCATAATGTTGCCAACACTGATATCGCGGTAGTAAATACACACTCTGTCGAAAGCTGCTTGGTGAGCTGCTCCACAAAAAAAACCCATCAGACAAGGAATCAACAAAGGTGGAGTACGGCGTACCTTCCATAGCATCCGCGATACAGATCACCAAGTCCTTGGCGTTGAAGAAGGCTGTGAGATCTCTTCCAGTGGTCTTCAAGAAAATTCGGTGGCCCTGCAGACTAGGGAGACGGTAGATCTCGTTACCGGATGGTGAAGTCGACAGTTTCCGAACGTGATCTTGTGTGATCGTGACCATGTCCGGGACGTCGCCGCCAGTCTCCATTTCAGCTACATAGGGAACTTTGTGCTGGGCAAGAAGATGATAGATATCAGATTCTTTGGCAGTCCGAGAAGAGTCTTCACGCCAATAGTCCTTCATGAACAGCAGCCCTCCATGAGGCTTTCGGAGATCAGGACTATCCAAATCGATAGCCAAAGCTCGGCGCGTGGATCGTCCGAATGGTGAGAATGCGCCATCATCAAACTTCGGTGCACACACCACAAATCGACGAGCTTCACCTTCAAGGGCCAGATCCATACGGAACAGTTTCTGGTCCTCGACTTTAATCTCTCTTTTCGGTTTAGCCCCCGGCATCACATCCGTATCGTATAGGCTGGGTTTTTCCCGAGCAATTATGGCGTCGGGATCGTCGTCTACGATGGAAGAGATGGTGGTGCTCTTTACCCCGTTGGTTCGGTGATAACTGTGCGAAGCGCTTGTAGAAGTTGAAGAGCGTGGTCGTTTCCTCAGTGTAGTCGAACCGCTTGCTGACGATAGCTCCAGATCGGTCCCAGCGTATGAATCGAGCGAAGCGTCCACATAGTTATCGTGGGCCTTCAGCTCTGTTTGCGTTTCCATGAGCGAGTGATCATGGCGCGACCCTCTGGCATGTTGTCGGCGTCGTACACTCCAATATCGACTGCGAGATTACCGCAGTTTGTGTCTGGGTCACGAAACTTCCCAAGCCGGATGTGAATTGACAAGTAATCTGATTTCTCTGTATTCAGCGACGAGGGCCAGTTATGAAGAGCCTTAATCTGAGATTCGAGGCGGTCAGTGGATAGAATTATACCAACTCACAAGTAGAACGACGTACATATCTCCCGTACATGTCAGATTCGCTCAGGCCTGCCATGGAAATAAGTAACCCCTTTTTGGACTTGCTTGGTTGTTTTTGCTTGTAGTTTTTGGGAGTAGTGTCATTCCAGGGCATATACTGTTTCAGGAACGCCTTCACTGAGGGACCGTCGATAAAATGACCGCGTGTTTCGGCAGCAATTTCCCTGTGTCTTTTCTGGATTTCCGGTGACTCGGCAGAGAATTCGCTACGCCCTTGGGCCTTTTTGACGACGGGAGTGTGGTTCATGCTGTATGCAGGGTGCCGGGGACGGTTCGGAGGAGTAACGCGACTGGTATTGATAGTGATGGATTCAACTGAAGACTGAGTCGTTGGTAACGCCTACATGGGAGAAAAATACGTGAGCAATAAGAAATCATCAAAGTGTATAAAGCAAATGCTGACGCGGAGACGCCGACAACGTTTATAGAAAGAGAATCACCTAGATAGGGCAGTATCTTATCCTTTGCAGCGTTCTCTAGCCTGTATAGCTGATATCTTGACACAATAAGTGGCGTGGTGACCGTGGACACGGTTCCAGTTCAAGTTCGCGATTTCAAAGTCAGACTGGCACATGGTCGCGTGTCCTTATCACGTGCTGACGCAACTGTCGATTCCGCTTCTAAAGGTCCTCCCTTAGCCTATCCTTGACAACACGCTGGTTGTCTGGATTGTGAGCACCCAACTTGATTATATGTACTAGAGGGATGGTATAGAACCAGCCAACAGCTCGTTCGTTTTCGTTTTCTGATTCTAGAGCTGGGTACGACCAATCCTCCGCTTCTTTTCCCCAGAGTGACGCGAATCCCTCCCCAGAAGTGCCGAGGTTTGGACAATGGAGTTCTGCAGTAGATGTGGTGGTGGTGGTGGTGGTGGGGACAAGGCCGGCGCTCTTGAAGGGGTTTTCACTTGAGCGGCCTGAGGCAGAGGTCGAGGTTGAGAGAGCAGAGGTCGCTCGCGTTCGTGGTGATAAACTCATCAAAAGGAAGCCTCCTTCACTATGGCTCGGATAGGTGTAACGGCTATCATCTGTGGGAGAGCTGGGGGTTCGAATCCTCGTATCCAAATCCACCGAGTCGCGTGAGATAATTTTTTCCCTGCCTTTACGAGTCGGGATGACACGCGTTACTCGGACTCGGACTCGGTAGAACATCCAGCGAATCCTTCCTCTCTAACGCTCATATATGATGCTTCCTGCTTTGAGTTTGACGGTGGCCGATATATTGACATTAGTCTACAGGGTATGTGGTGAACGAGTATCGAGGCAGCAAGAGCGCCAGACTTGGGTTGGGAATGCGGATTACAGATAAGGAAGTGAGTATGATATAGACTATGGGCACGAAGACAAATCAGATGGAGCCGCAGAATGACAAACAGCGCGACACGACTCACCCCGGACGACTTGGTACACCCAAAAGTCAGCCAAAACGGGATCCTCCTTGACCAGCACATGGATCCTTCCTATGCCAGCTGAGAATACCAGAGTTTTGTAGGCGCTCCGAGTTCCAGCATGGTTTTGACGTGATCCTGGTACGACGCGGTGGAGGTGGCAGACAAGGCCGGAATTGTTCCCACGATAGCACCGATACTACCGAACCCTAACATCGCTCGCTCGCCCCACCTCCACAACTAACAGGCATCGTTCCAAAATGAACCGACGGACCATCGAGCATCGTACTGGCACCTCTTTCCAGCTCCATCACTGCCAATCACCGAAAACAAGGACCCTCGATACTAGGATGGCGCGCATCGTCTCATCAAGTTCCTCAGACCACCCTTTGCCCTGTCCTCGACGAGCGTCTCCGCGGAAGCTTGCACACATCTGGACTGGGCGCATCCCCGTGACCGTCAATGCAGCATGGAGTTTTACGAGAAACAGGACTTCCCAGTGCGGTTGGGCCCAGGACGACGTACGTGGAGTGACGGTCAATTTGGAGGAGGTCGGGCCAGCATACCCGATGAAGAAGGCATCAGAGGTCTGTCCGGGTGCCCCGCGTCTCCCATCCAGCAACTGTCATCATAGTTCTGTTTACGTTCAACGTTCAACGTTCAACCATTGAACATAACATTGGTTCTGTAAAATTTCACACCATGAATCCATGACCTCAGCTAACCTTTCGAGCCAGTGTATAGATGTCGCCCAATTCGGATTCGAAACTCCCACAAGAGCTCGTCGACGCTATCATCGACATCGTGAAGGATACATCCGCTTCACCTGTAGAAGCAACCAAAAATCTTTCATCTTGCTCTTTGGTCTCACAGGCATTCCTTCCTCGCACTCGATTGCATATGTTTAGAGACCTCGTAATGACCAAACCCAAGAAGATAAAGCACTACCATGATATATGCCTCGCATCTCCTATTATCCCAGCAGCAGCCCGGTCTGTCTCCTTCCAGACCCTCAACATACCTGTGATCCAAAGCCCACTGATCCCATCCATCCTGCGGCTCACCACTAACATTGACACCATCTATTTCGTTAACGTTCATTGGGACCGTCTGCCCCAGGAGGTACTCGACATCCTCAGCTCCTATCCTCTCACCAGAATAATCCTCAACACCGTCGTCATCCCATCGGCTCCTTCCTTCTTCTCTTTTCTTCGCCGCTGCGCCACTCGCGTGCCTATTGATCTTTGTATCGCCGGCTTGCTCCGCGTCGAAAATGTCGCAGAAGAACTTCAGGCACCGGCAGACATAGCATCTCCCGACAAACCTATTGCTCTTCGATCTCTGACCATTCGCTGCGCAGATCTTGCACGAAACGCGATTCGTGCTATCCTTCTATCCCCTTCGTCTCCATTCAATTTGCGTATTCTCACAACCATCGTATTCACCATGATAGGACACGACACTATGACAGACTATAATGCTGTTCTTCTACGCGACGTGATTTCATCGTTGACTCACATCCAGGACGCAAGGTGCCGCTTCGTCATGCAAGCACCCCCGTCATTCATCCTCCATATTCCCTCCACCATTCACAGACTTTCATTCGCCGTCACCGGTCCTTCCCATCAAGATCCGGCCTTGCAGTCGAGTTCGATCTTACGATGGTGGATTGACGGTCTTCTGCGTTCCAAGTGCTATTGCTTGGAGCAACTGGACGTTACGACCTCATTATTGCTGGATGTATGGATTATCGACGATGAAGCGCTGGATGCATGGGCCCACCTCGACAAAGAGCTTTCCTTGCCAAACTACAAGGTGAAGGTCATGTGCATTGATATAAGACACCAAGGACTGCTTGATGACCCCGCTCGTCATGCGGAGGTGGTCGATATTTTAACCAAGTACATGCCTGGACTAGCGAAAAGGGGTGCTCTGAAACTGGTATGTGACCCAGAACCGTCACCGCGGACAGGCGCGACATTGAGTTAGATGAAGGACAAATTGTAGCTCCAGGCATCTTTATCAATGAAAGAAGAGAAATTTCGCGAGAAGTGCGTTCGTCAGAGGGAGCTGGACATTGACCCTGACTAAGTAATTGAAGGTGTCTTGAAGTTGATACTGACCCAGTGCGGTAGTGGTGTTACCGGCGCCAGGTCCCATATACCCAACAGCTCGTTCGATCTCTGATTCCAAAGGGTACGACCAACCCTCCGCTTCTTTCCTCCTAGTGACGCGAATCCCTTCTTGGTTGAGGGGTGGTGGGAGACAAGGCAGGCGCTCTTGAAGGGGTTTTCACTTGAGCAGTATTAGTCGCTCGCGTTTGTGGTGATAAACTCATCAGAAGGAAGACTCCTTCAGTATGGATCGGATAGGTGTAACGGTTATCATCTGCGGGGCAGCTCGAGGTTCGAATCCTCGTATCCGAATCCACCGAGTTGACGTGACTTAATTTTTTCCCTGCCTTTATGAGTCGGGATGACTCGGACTCAGACCCAGACTCGGTAGAACGACCAGCGACTCCTTCCTCTCTAACGCTTATATATGATGCTTCCTGCTTTGAGTTTGACGGTGACGGATATATTGACATTAGTCGACAGGGTATGCGGTAAACGAGTACGCTGATAGTTGCATCGAGGCAGCAAAGGGGCTCGGATTGGTAATGCGGATTACAGTGCAGCCTATGGACAAGAAGATGAGACTACTTCAGTTAAACAGCGCAGAATGACAAACAACGCGCCACACTCACCCAGGACGGCGGACGCCTTGGTACTCAGCGCTCAGCGCTCAGCCAAAACAAGATCCTCCTCGACCAGTACGCGAATCCTCCTGAGAATACTGGTGTTTTGTAGATGCTCCGTGTTCCAGCATTGTTTCGTCGACGCGATCCTGGTACGACGCGGTGGAGGTGAGAGACAAGGCCGGAATTGTTCCCACGGTACCACCGTTCCTTATTGGGACACCACCACCACCACCACCACCACCGATACTAAACATCGCTCGCCCGCCCCACCTCCACAACTAACTGGCATCGTTCCAAAATGTACTGACTCGTACCGGCACCCCTTTCCAGCTCCGTCACCGCCAATCACCGTGCATATCGTCTCATCAAGTTCTTCAGACTGCCCTTTGCCCCTTCTCTCTCCTCCGCCAGTATGCCTTTCAGGATCGGCGGCTACTACATGTCCTTCCCCACAGTCTACAAAGTAATGGAAGCGCTTGAAATACCCAATCCCATGAACTACGACGACACTCTGCTCGAATTCGCCATCAACTATTGGCTTTGCAATCAGGACAAGGACGTCTTGGCTGCGTACATCTACTGAAAGGACGATGGGCCTGGGATGATGTTAGTGTCGAGCTTCAAGGCACGTGCCGCCAAAGCCGTACTATAAAATTGATAGACTCCCACTCTAGTATATTCCAGAGGGTATGCCCGATACCGGCGACTTGGAAGAAAGCGACAGAGACAGGGCTATCGCGAAAGAGTGGCTAATCAAAGGCGCAAGCGTCAAGACTGAGGAACTCAAGTGGATCACCCTGCTAGATAACTGGAGGATCACGATCAATGGGATACAACTGAAAAAGGTGGTACTCCGGAAGTCGACGAAGACTGCGGCTGAGGCTATGGCTGAGTTGATGGAAGCGGCGCGTAAGAGGGACTTGGAGATTGCTAGCGGGGTTTTTGACAACGACAGCGACTAACCTGTACATATTTTAGCATATATTTTGTGTTGCAGCATCGTTTCGACGCGATACTGGCAAGCTGAGTATGACGCGGTAGGGGTAAGAGGCAAGGCTGGATTTATTCCCACGGTACTTGTCCTTCGTTCCATACGACGTCGAGCGCTGAAGATGCACCTACCACTCTCATCTCGCATACGGAAGCTCGCACACGTACGGGCTGTTCGTGTCCTCGCCGTCTCTAGATCTCAAGTCACAAGTCACACCCATCGCAAAAGTATTTGAACTAGTCCCTCGTTCTCTGACCTATTCGCTCTCCTGTGGCGCACGAGGTCGAAGCCTATCGTATCAACGTACCGCACTTCTACGGTCATTTCTTGATGTCCGTACCCGATAGAGCCGTGTACGTCCTCTTGATGGCGCACATCGACAGGACAGGAAGGAATTTCGTATCAGGCTCGTCCCTGCAAAGAGAACGAATCGCACAAACTGGCCATTATCAGAGGTGTATTTGCGATCGAGGTCAGGCTTGCGGATATGGAGAAGAGGCTTAGAAATCGGCCATATCGTGTTGACAAGCGACAGCAGGAATACATCGAGCACTCGGTGGAGAACGAGATCCTACGCTGCAGGCAATAGCTATGGAATTTGACTGTGAATATATCCTCGTCCACCTCCACGTTGTACTGAGTGTCTGCTCTCAGCATATATTGACGCCACTATTATGCACCATCACACTCCACAATGAATCTTTTCGCTTCCATACGCATGGACGGAGGAACACAGCAAGTAACCCTTTTCCAGGCGTGGGCTACGAGGGTTGTGCTTACGCTATCACTTTCGACTTTCTTCGAGTCGAGCCGTTGAAACTTGACTCTGGGTAAAAATCAACACGCTCACTACTCCCAGTGCTGCGCGCTCGTTCGTTCCTCTTGTTATACCTCGAGAGACAACTCTGTATGCCTAGGGAGGACTCTAAACCATCCGAATCTAGCACAACGGATGGTGTCGCTGCTTCGTGGGGTTCGATTCCCCAGCTGGATGTCCGAGACCAACGAACATGTTTTTGTACACCCCCTACTGAATTTTATTCCTATCTGCAATGAGTTGGAAGGTTCTCTCTCGTGAGGCTTTCGATGAGCTTCTCATCCAGCGTGGAAATAGATTCGACTCTGCTCTGACTTCTTCGACTCCTCACTTGAATTTTCCCGGGATCTTCGCTTCCGACTTGTAGCATGCGGAAGCTCTCACACACGTGGGCCATCAACATCCCAGCCATCTCTAATTGCAAAAATATTCGTTCCCATGTATTTCAGTGACGAGTACAACTCATTCACCAGCCCATTCGCTCTTCTCAACATATGAGTTTGAAGCCTGCCCTTGTCTCAAAGGCACCAACGTACCATACTTATTTCCTGACACCTCTACCCTCTTAATGAAACAGGGATGCACACGTCCAGCACATCGACAAGAATGCAAAGAAGACGGCGCGCACTAACTGGCCATAGCCTCTTACTTGAATTTGGACGCCTTTGCACAGACTGTCTGGAGCGGTTGGTGGAGCGTCGGTTGATTTGGAAGAGGTCGGGCTGGCGGGAGCTTACCTCGCCGACCATACATAGCCGCCACACGCAGCTTTACTCCTCCACCCATAATCCACTGCGGGAGTATCAGCATGCTAGGCGTGTCCTTACACAGGGAGGATGGCTTGCGCTTTCGAGTCGGAAATGTCGACGGGTCAAGAAGGGGCCTTCGTCACATCCACTCTGACACGAGGCTCATGGTCCACATTTCGGGTAGCTAGAGCACATGTAGCGAAGTGTTGCTTGGGTTGCAGAAGAAGACGTCATAATTGCCCGGATATTGCCTAGTGGTCGAAGTTTCTTGCTTCGTGGTGGGGGTTCGATTCCGCATGATAATCGAGTATAATTTTTCTAGAAAAGGTTAAAACAATTGGTTGGTGGGCGGCAGCAGAAATACCTCGAGGAGGAGATCCTACGCCGCGGGTAATGGTAATAAACCCTATTGCAAGCACCTCGTCCACCGCCACGTTGTTGTTATCAGCATATATTGATGCCTCTCCTAATCAGCTACCGCCAGGGCTTGATATACCACGGAAGGAGGAATGCAGAGACCAGCCCTCGTCCTATCATCGGTGCGCCGGGCATAGGAGGTGTCACTTCTGACCTCGGCGGCTTTCTTCGAGTCGCCATCGGAGCTGTTGAAACTTGACGTTGAGAAAAACCGATTCCGACACGCCCGGGCGCTAGTTTGCTTCTCTCGCGAGAAGGCCTTGCATCCGGATATGGTGTAACAGATAGCGTCGCTGCTTCTTCGTGGGGTTCGATTCCTCAATTCTGGATGTGAGGCAGGTGCACGTTGAATTTCATTTTTATCTGCCATTTGGAGTTGGACAGATTGAAAATCCAGGTTTCTGGCGAGCTTCTCATCCGATGTGGAAATAGATTCGATGTGCATTCAGTTCTGCTTTGGCTTCCTCCGACTCTTTACTTGAATTGCCCGGGATCTTTCGTTTCTGGGGTATACTTTTGATGGGAGTGATTCGTTTATAGGACGGGTCATTCTCTTTGACTGGCCCATGCGAAGTGTATCAACTCGTTGCTCTCACTTGCTCCATTCCACTTACCCAAGAAGGGCTCTAAACCATTGAGATATGACGTACCGGATGATATTGTAGTTTCATGGGGTTCGATTCCCCAATGCTGGATTTCAAAGTCCACTCGACGTTTTCTGTACATTCACTACTGAATGTTATTCCTATATGCAACGAGTTGGACGATTCTGAATCTCCCCGGGACCAACAAAGCGCTTCCGTGGAAATCCCATTCAGTTCTTCCTCCACCTCCTCACTACCCGGGATTTTCGCTTCTAATAAATCGACGGTGCGCTTTTGATGGGATATAGATCGATTAGGTCGTTCTCTTTGACTTACTCGCTGCTCTGACATCCTTCGTTACCTTTACTGTGATTCGCACAACACTAGTTTTCCAAGTCAACAACGCATCATGGAAAGTAGGAAAGATCACACACAGAGGCAGTAAAGACCACGAGATAAATAAATTGGGAAGCCCTCGACAGAAAGGCAAAACATTCTCGACGCATGTCTATATCTCTGTCATGATCTGAGTTGGGGAATCGAACCCCGACAGCAGCAGAAGTGTCGGCCATTGTGCCGTGAGATTGTCAATTGCGATCGAGAAAAGACGGAGCATCACACAGACACCCGTATCGACGGTTTTTACTCCTTTGCTGCGTCGGCGCCGGGAATATTATTGGAGTTACGAGTTTCGAATCCAAGTTGTTTCCTGGAGATAGAAACTAGGGATGATACCTTCACAGACGTTTATGGTCGGGAGTCGGGACCGAGGAAATTCGTACTTCCGTCTAGGGCTTCGCACCGTACCGTATACGGTATACGGCCGTATCACCACAGTACAGTGACGGGCGACGGCTGGTCCGTAACCGTACCGTCAAGGCTCTTAGAACTAGGTGGACGGTACGGTACGGGTATATAAACGGCCGTTGAATAATACATACCTGATATTTGGGGCTTCGGAGCAGCTTCAGGTCCTACCATGGGCATGTCGTCATCTGCATCGTGATAAAATTTGATTTTCGAGGGAGATTTCAAGTTTCCGTTGGCATCGAGGGCACACTGATCTGTCATGATGCTCAAAATGTGGTCGTAAGTCTGCGAAAAAAAGGACCATTATATACTCTTTTGTGAACTCCTCTGGCTTAAAATTCAGCAGTATTTGACCGGTGCACAGGCCAGCGGGGGGCAAATTATTGCGCAATATGTGCGGGTAGTCAAACTCAAAGGATGAAACAGTAGTAGAATAGAGGCAGCAGAAGCAGGAAATAGAAAGTATTCTATGCTGGTAAGGATTAGAGCTTGAGTAGAGCAAGTGAAAGAAGATCGGGTGGTAGCGCTGAAGAGCTTGCGGTGCCAGCACATCGTGGTACGATGTTAAGTGTATGGCAAACACGCGTACAGCGTGATCTGATGACGGTTATTTTTAGATACATACACGGCCGTCGATTACCGTATGACGGCCGTGTTTATACGGTTGCTAACGGGATACGGGATGTCCGTATACCGTCCGTCTCTGAGCAAGTTATTTCGCCAGACGGAACGGGTACGGTACCCGTATGACGGCACCCGTATAACCGTACTATACGGTGACGGTGCGAAGCCCTACTTCCGTCAAAAGAAAACCTCTGACCTTTCACTTTTTTCCCCTCTCGTCCTCAGTCCATTGACCGATGTCGTGGAAGTGCCGGATTATGGTACGCGCTTCACAATGACGGGATAAATCCTAATGAATTGGGAAGCCCTCGACAGGGGCAAACTATTCTTTGGTTATATACATCGCTATCATGTTCTAGATTGGGAATCGAACTCTAACAGCAGCAGCAGTCGGCCGTTTTGTACCATGAGATTGATTTACGATTGATCTCTCTGTCTGACTTTGAGTTCTCTCCGTCTTGCTGTGTAGTGCCGCTTCTAGTCTCAATATCTTCACAGATCTAAGCAGAGGGCTTACTTAGATTGAGTTTTTTGTGTGGGTCATCTGAGTCTTTTTCTGGCAGGCATTCTGATGATGTCGATCTCTGCGCGCCTGCATTTGTCTGGTCGGATCCTGGCAAACGCAAGGAATTATTCAAAAACGTACTGCCATTCGTTCATAACCGGGCTTGGAGCTGTCCCCTCCTCCTCTGAATCTGAATATGACTGAGAATTCTCCATTGCTGCTGTATTATTCGCGATCGGCGTCTCGGATTTGTTTTCATCAGAGGTCTTTGGTTTTCTAGAAAGGACAGAGTCGGACTTTGAGTACGATCTAGCGAAAACAAGCAAACCTACCTTTCATCTGATGAGGCCATGCATGTGGATCGGTTGTAAGATGCGGATCGCTTTCCTGGATCCGAAGTCTTGACTTGTTTTAGGCACTTGCCGAGAATCTATGGGTATCGTTTCTTTAAGAACTCAAGCTTAAGCGCCTATCTTCACAAAGAAGCTAGGAACCCACCCACCTGACTACCCATCGCTCTCAACATATAATTGGACACTCCTGCATGGATGTACTCCCCTCCACGTTCAAGCTATTGACTCAGTTTCAATGGGTTTCTGATTAGAGACTCGGTCAAGAAATACCCAAGCACGCCACTATTTAGGAACATGCCCTCCATAAATTGACCGCGCTATTACTCTTACTGCGTGCCCGACCTGAAGACTTGGATCATCGTTGCAGACGGGAGATTGTTTGCATGGAGAGCGAAGAATCTGAACTAGGATTCCAACGACGCGAAGAAGACGCGTCACTACAGTCAGATAGCTTGGAATGAACAAGGAATGAAAGGAAAAAATGACCCTCATGCCTACGTCGCAAATGACGCGAATCCTGTTTGTCTGGCAGCGAGATCAAGGAGTTCTGCATAACGGTGACTCTATCCCAATACAATACTGGGATTCTGCGGTGAGATCTTGAGGACATCCGTCGTGTGGTGGTAGTAAGAGCGCAGGCTAGAATTGTTCTCATGATACTGATCCTTCGTCCGATACTGCCGCACTCTCTTGAAAAACATCGAGCTTGAAGACGACAACTGAGAAGAACGACAAGCCGCTCTCTTGCAACTCGCCTCTACAGATAACTGGCATCGTTCCAAAAAGGACAGACGGACCTTGAGCATCTAACTGACTTCTTTCCATGTTCAGTCAAGAATATTCGATACCAGGATGGCGCACCACATCTCATCAAGTTGGAAGATCGCCTCATCGCATTAAGACATCCATTGACCGTAGCATACCCTTCCAACCGACTTCCTTCTAAATGTCCCTCGACGAGTAGTGACAACGACGCCATTATTCTTATCCCAATACATGCATCAATTAACTGGCTGGATTCTTCAACTTCAGCAATTGAACGAAGTACATATTTCATTCCGCTACTCCCCTCAGTGGAAATATCAAGTGAAGAAACAATGTTATAGAGACAAACTCATCGGAGATTGTGGACCAGCCACACGTACTTTAAATGAACAGAATCTAAAGCGGAAAGTTCGGGCTCAAAAAAACCACTTCCGTCCTCCTCACCACACGCTTTCCGTCGGGGAGGTTCCAAAAAACGAAGGTTCCACCATGTTCTTGCACCGAGGCAATCACCCCTGGGTCGACTTGTAACTGTTCCGAGGACACCATATGAAGGTCAACATTAGGAGTACAGTAATCCAGCATCAAGACCAGAGGACACAAAGGATCGTGATGTCCATTCTCTGCAATGTACTTGTCCACGAGTTTGTCCCGTTCTGCAGGATTTTCTTTGAGATATCTCACGCGTCGGAATGTGAACATCTCAATGACTCTCTCATCGCTGGAAAACATGGGTAAGGGTCTACCATCTAAGATCTTGTTGAGTAAACACAAAGGAATTAGAGGGTGAACTGACCAACCGATTCTGAGTTGTTTGATCTTTTTACAGAGGGAGCGGTGATCGCCAGATGACCAATCATCCTTTTGGCATGTACGCGAGCAGTACAGGGTGAATTGGCAGCCGGAACAAGTCATGAATTCTCCGACTGATGTTCTAGGACACTATATGGAAGGTTAAAATGGCTGACAGATTGACACAGGATCACGCACTTGTTTGCTACCACAAAGCGAATCCAAAGACTTGGAGATGTCAGGTCGATTCAAAACGATGTCTACAAGCCACGTCCATATCCTGGAAACCGGCTCTGAGCTGGAATCTACGAAATCATCCAAGTGTCGTCGCTGTATTTTGAAGGTTGCTTTTTTGGACCGCTTCAGAATCGAAGCATAGTAACAATGGGATGCGACCATGAACAGGATCTCTACGGCGTCATTCTCCATGGAGGTCTGGAGTTCTTTCAATTCCTGGTCGATGAGATTGGGATGAGCATGCAGATTGTGGAATGCCTTGAACATATATAAAAGGACGTCGTATCCCAGAAGTCGATGAATATACGAATGCCCATCCTGCATAACTCTGAGGATGTAAGGCAAGCATCTAGACGCACAATCCGTGGCCATGAGCAGTGTTGTATGGGTAAATCGCACACGCCGGGTCACGAATCGCAAAATGAGAGACATCCATTGCATACTGTTGTTTTTCAGTAGAGCGGTGTGGATGGATAGAGATAGGCCGGAGAGCTCGAGGGAAAAAACAGTAGCAATCCAGAGAGTCTGGTATGGGTGCCTCATGTCTGATTCCTCCGGAATATAGGCAAATTCGTCCATAATAAATTGGATGATGAGTCTAGCAGTAAGCATACTGTTTTCCTCTAGTCGACCAACGAGAGCCTCTCTCAATGCTGTTGATTCACATCGAAGAACTGCATTATATACAGCAACAAAAACCGATTGGGCATCGTCGCGATTGTATTTCGTATAGCCAGCGGGAGGGTGAAACCAAAGAAATGGGAGATAATCTGTGAAGAGTTTCGGTTCCAGGATAATCTCGTTCTGATCTGCGGCCCAGGCCAGCATGAAGACTACCGCATGGTGGAAGTCGATTAATTTGAATTCAGGTGTTCGAGAGGGTAGGATGATGTGCTCGCAGAAGAAGCATAGCCAGAATGATATGGAGGGTAGGAGAGCGGTCACAGAGGAATGGGTGTCTGCCAAGCACATAGGCTGGAGGAGGCGTCTGGTTCGGAGGCCTTTGGCAAGTGCGAGCATTGAGGTGCAACTGAGATTGATTACATCTTTGGGATCGAGCGAAGGCACTAATGGAAGCCTCGCCTGGATAGAGTCTGTGTTGACGCGGAGATTATCTTCCATGACACGAAAGAAAGCATGATGGGCCATCCGGTTGTTGCTCGCTCGTTTGAATAGGGCTTCCATTGCTTCATATGAATCCTCCTTGGCCGATGTCTGAGCAAACGTATTAGTACAAAGAATTATATTGAGTCACAAATTTGTAGTCACGATGATTTTCTCCATTAATTTGTAATCCTGCCTAAACAATGAGCGCAGAACACAAAATTGATAGTCCTAGACGAGAATTTTTGGTGAAGACGCGTCATATAATGATTGTGTAATGAAACAGACGAGGAACGAAGAAGCGTAAAACCGAGCGAGACACTGATCCAAACGTGTTTTGAGTACTCTACAAGGGGTGCAGAAGAATGTCGTCAGGATGGTCGCTCAAAGCATCAACTAAAGACGCGTCTGGCGCAGTGGAAGTAGTGTGGAAGGGGATCAGGAGCGTGAGAATAATACCGGATCCTCAGAGTCTACAGCCGGCCATCGGCATCGAAGCGTCTTGATCTTGGGCCATACCGCGAACCATCAACTTTCATCAATCCACCCCAGCCTGCATTCTCTCTGACACGAGGATTATCAGTTTGTGTGGTCCACGTAACGTTCGGCTCTGCATGGTAGCGAACAATCCGTGCCGTGATTTGATTTAGGTTGTCCGGATATGGCCTAGTGGCTACTCTGTGCTGGCTGGGGTTTCGATTCCCAAGATCTGGATTACAATGCTTTGTGAGCTCTTTTACTCGCTATCGGTTCTAAATTGTTCGCTGTACGCTGTTTCTCGAGCTTCATCCATCATCGGTTGGCTACCTTTCGTTTTTGGGTACCTCACTGCGATATCTCCCTCGCTCCCATGTACATGCCTGGATGTGTACCCTGCAAAGAATCTTTGCTGTTCCAAGACGCGTGAACACTCTCTGTCTTCTGATACCCGCTACTCCCGTACCCGATAATTTACAACGCGACCTGGGTGATATAAGAATAGGAGAAAGGCCGGGTGTGTTGGTGATCATGGATACGTGCTCGCTTCTTCCAAGTATCTCCGAGTGATCAAGTCTACTAGCAACTTTCAGGCTCCTCATGAAATGACAATCTTTTATAATCAGAGGAATATGTATTAAGCAGATCACATATTCAGGCATCATTTCCAACTCCCTCCTTCCGTCCTCCCTCAAATCTCAGCCAAAATCTCAGTCGGTGTCTTCTTCGATTTCACAATGATAACCTTCCGAGGCTGTATCCCCCCGATCGTGATCCTCCGGTTATCCAGCAAAGTGGTCCACTTGAGCTCCTCCGCCCCCACCCCCATCAACCACTCTTTCGCAATAGCCCTATCTCGCTCGCTTTCTTCTAGGTCCCCTGTATCCAGCATGCCATAGGGAATATACTGCATGTCAATTGAATTTTATCATGTGGCTTCACGGTTAGCAGCACGGCGTACCTTAAAACTCGACACGAACATCATCCCAGGCCCGTCGTCCTCTCAGTCGATGTACAGGCACCGCAGCAAAAGCGCAATGACCAGACGACCTTTCGGAGTCAGTGTACTATACGCGCATGGGTGTGCCAGCGTCGATTAAGTGAAAGACCAGGCCGGAATGACGCCTCTGGCGAAAGACTTTGTACACACAACTATCCAGATATGGCATAACAGCACGATTCCATGGTGGGGTTCGATTCCCTGTATCTGCATAAAGAGCACATAAAGTCGTTCCTTTTTTGCATGGCGTCGAATGGATACTGCTCAATGTCAAGTGGTTTAACTTGAAAATCTAATTTCTTCGCTTAGTCCTGCTCAATCATATGGAAGTTAACTTTAACCCTCACGCGCGCGGTTCGTAGCGCCACCAAATATGGTTAAGCACTGAGTCATTCTGAGTGAACTGCTTTTATATTGGCAAGAAGGCGATACTTCATCGGAGTCCGGATTACAAGCCATGTACCCCTCCACACAGCGAAAGTTCCTCTAGATAGCGGTATCAAGGGTACTTTCTCCGTGCCCTTGCTAGATGAAATCGTACGCGGTAGTCGGTAGGCCATCCTCTCGTCCCTGTCCCGAAACTATCAGTTCCATGTCGCACAGATAAGAGTGAAGGATATAGACTCGGAGACATGCACGGTCGCCCCGCTTGGAGGTAAGAACTTAAAGTCGACGAGGATGTTCCCTGTTATGAATTCGACAGTGCGAACGTGACAGGTAGAAAAAACAGTGGCATGCTGATAGGCAGCGAAAGGAGATGCTTTGAGTGCCATACTTGTGCTCTGAATATTATGTAATGCTAGGTTTGGGCGTGCGGATCGTTGTGCAGTGCGGAAAAAACATGTGGATCAGGACAAGAATCTGGAGCCTATGGACAAGGGGACAAGACCAACAGTCAAACAGTGCAGAATGACAACAAGGTGACACACTCACCCAGGATGCATGCAAACAATCAGACGAAACGGGATCCACCTCAACCGGTGACGCGATTTATGCCTATATTGGATCAACAGATCGTAGTCCTGGAGACACTTAGAGAATTCGGCATCGTTTCGACGCGATTCTGTCAAGCAGAGTACTACGCAGTTGAGGTGAGGGACAACGCCGAGATTTGTTCCCACGCTCTCGGTCTAGCGTTCCGATACTACCGAGACCTGACCATCTCTCTTGAACATCGAGCATTGAAGACGGCACGATGGGTCGCTCGCCTGCTCCACCTCCACAAGTAACTGGTATCGTTCCAAAACAGACGGACGGTCCATCGAGCACCTACTTTTCCGGCGCCTCTTTTCAACTCCATCCTAGCGAACCACCACCAGTCACTGAAAACAAAGATCCTCGATACCAGGACGGCGCTCAGCTTCTCATCAACTTTGAAGATCGCCTCAGGATAGCCATTGACCGTCGTCTGCCACTCTCATCGAACTCACTCTCAATGTCTCTCAACGAACGACTCCCTTGCAGCATGCGGAAGCTCGCACATGTCTGGACTGTGCACGTCCCCGCCGTCTCGGAAGCCACACTCGTCGCAAAAATCTTCGACCCAGCGTATTTCAGCGATGAACACAGCGCATATACCGACCCTTTTGCTCTCCTCAACATATCCGTATCACAAGAAGTCGAAGCCTACCGTCGTCTCCAAGACACCAACGTACCGCGCTTCCATGGCCATTACTTGATGCCCATACCTACACAAGGCGATAGAACTGTGCACGTCCTGCTAATGGAACACATCGACGGCAAAGATCTCCGAATCCTCGTCCCCGTTCCCAAAGCCAAAGACGTCTGCGCCGCCCACAAACTAGCCATCATCAACATGGCCCTCAACTTGAACCTGGACGCTTTCGTACGCGGTGTGTATCCCCAGGACTTTCAGCCTAGGAACGTCATCTTGCGGAGACCTCAACACTGCGTAGAGTTTTGCGACAAAGATGACTGCCCGGTGCGCTCAGAGGTGGATATGGACGACGTTCGTGGAGTGTTGGTCGATCTGGAAAAAGTCGGGCTGGGAGATCCGATGAAGAAACTCAGAAATCTGGGTTATAGGACAAAGGTCATCAATAAGCAGCGACGGAGGTATCTCAAACGATGGTTGGAGAATGAGATTCGGCACTGGGGGCAATAATCTGACTGTGAGTACCTCGCCGTCATCCCTCGGTATCATCAACTGCCATCCTACATGCAACTTTTCCTACCTTGAACGCAAATCCCGTCTAATCATCCGCGTCGACACAAAACCACCAACTCCACAGTCTTAGCTACCTCTCGCGGCGTCAGTTGAATAGTCACCTGTGAAGGATGCAGGACGCCAAGTGGAAGTAGCACTGGCAGTGTTGCATTGGTCGGGAAGAGCGTATGCACACTGCACTCGCAAGGGTTTCCCGCTCACGATACTCTTTTTTGACCAGTGATCTGAACGATGCTCCGAAGGCTTTCTAACGTCCCGCATGTTCATTACTAGGAAAGTTTCTTTAAATCAATAAAAAATAAAGTTTGAGGAAACGGCGCCACGTATCTAACCAGGCTACAAGCTCAAGAATCGGTGTACAAGAAAACACATATTTTACGTTCCCTCTTGAGTCCACAACACCGAGATTAAAAAGATCAGGTCCATCAGTACAATGGCAAAAATTGAACGTACTTCACACAGAATCTCTTTTGGGGAATCGAACCCCAGCAGCAGCATTAGCTGTTGCACCATAGGATTGACATTTGAGCAGAGGCTGGGGTGCCATATTAGATAGTAAATTGAAACCTCCTTCCTTTCGGTGGTTGGTTTTTCTCTTTCTCGACGTCGCCCGCGAATACTCACGTCCCTTCTCCTCTTCAGTATATGAGTGGCAAAATATACTCGAGTATCTTTTGGAGCAAACTAAACCGGGACCATCAGGGAATCGAACCCTGAAAAGGAAGCTACTAAGCATCCCTTACACCAGACCGGCATTGTCATCGAAACTCACTTTTCCTCAGTTCACTATGAAAAAGGAACTTGTGTCGGGTAAGAATAGACAAATGTGGCTTGGATGCTGAGCGCTGCTTCATTCGAGCGAGTCTGGATTACAAACCCTGGTCATCTAGTGAGAGTTCCTGTAGGTGTGACAGTCGGTAGGTCATCCTCTCATCCCTATCCAGAAACCAGCGGTGCCGGGAGTAGGCAGACCAACTCGTTCGCTTTCCAAAGAACACTTCGAGTCCGCTTCTTTCCCAAGAATGCAGGCTTTGCGTACATCCGACCTAAGGACGTGGTGGTAAGGCTGGCGCTGTAGAGCTTGAAGGAGTTAGGTCGAGGTCGAGTAGGTTGCCTGCGTTTGTGGTGACGGTCCATCAAAAGGACTCGTAGGCCTGCTTCATTGTGGTTCGGATATGTACACTCAACGGCTAACACCGATGCCCTATTATCTGCGGGGTTCGAATCCTCATATCCTCAATGAACGAAATTAAGATTGTGATTTTTGACCTGCCTTTAGAGTCAGAATAATATGCATTTCTCGGTGAGGACCGTCGCTAATTAAAATTTATTTTCCTCTCCTTCTTCGCTAAGGCTCACACAGTCCCTTATCCAGTTGGGGACGATATTTGCTGCTTTGAGTTTAACGGTGGCCGATATATTGACGTCAGGAAATCTAAGAGTCTACATGATATGTGGCGAACAGGTAGATAAGGGAGATAGATCTGGATTCTGGACAAGGCGCTGCAGCCTGCAGACAGTAAGCAGCGCAGAATGACGAGCAACGCGATTCGGACAATTTCACCCAAGTCAGTCAAAATGAGATCCTAATCAACCGGTATGCGAATCCTCCTGAGAATACCGGAGTGCTCAGTGTTCTAGCCTGCGATACTGTCAGGATGTGCACGACACATGAAGGTGAGAGACAAGGCGGGAGTTATTCCCACGATACCGGTCCGTCGTCCGACGAGCACTGAAAACGGCGACTGCGAGATCCTCCAGTTGTTTCAGAATCAAAATGATCCGGCGGATCTTCTGAGCATTTACTTTAGAGGTGCCTTTTTCCAGCTTCATCGGTATCGATCATCCTTACAAACCACCACCAGTTACACGATAACAAGACGGCGCACCACACCTCATCAAGCCAAAGATTGAGTCAGGACAGCCATTGGCCCCCGCCTACCCCTCTCGTCGACTACGCTCAATGACTCTTGACGAACTGCTCCCCCGTAGCACGCAGAAGCTCGTACGCCCGATACCACCACACCAAATCACCGTATTCTCTCTATCACACTCGCCGCAAAAGACTTGAATCCTGTATACCTCATCGTTTGCTGAAAACAGGCCAAGGATGTATGCGACGTGCACAAGTTGGTTATTGTCGACAGGGTACCAGACTTGGATTTGGACGCTTTCGCACACACATGGTCTTTCGGCCGAGGAACGTCATGTTGCGGAGACCTCGGCGCTGTGAAGTGTTTTGTGAGAAGCAGGATTGTCTAGCACTTCTGGAGATGGCGTTCATTGGGGGTCAATCGATCTGGGAAAGGTCAGACTGACGGATCTGATGAAGAAACTGAACGATTGGGCGTATCAGTTAAGGGTTGTTGAAGAAAAACAGCAGAATACGTTGAGCAGTGGATAGAGAACAGGATCCTACACTGGGGCAATAAACATGATTGTGAGTACTTTGTCTACCACCAACATATATCGGGATTTACATTCTCAAACGCAGCATTGAATCTCATCCTCCGCCTACAATCGCCCACTGTCATATTCCACCAAGATCTCCGTAATCTGCCCCAGACCACAATGGGAGGCACATCCTTCGCCGCATTCACTCTGACACAAAACGTGTATGGTCCACGTATCCGGCTCTATCTGTCTTGGAGTCGGAACCAAGTGAAAAGCTAGCGCTGTGCTTCTTCTGTTGTTGTAGAGTGAAGGCTCAAAGTTGTCCAGACACGGCCTAGTGGACAAAGTTGCCGGGGTTTGGGGTTCGCGAAGCCTACCGTCGTCTTCAAGGCACGAACGTACCACACTTCCAATGCCCGTACCCTCGCAAGGAAACCGGACCGTGCACGTCCCCCTGATGGAACACATCAACGGCACAAACCTCCGCATCTTTGTCCCCGTTCCCAATGCCAAAGCCATCTGTGACGCCCACAAACTGGCCATCATCAACATGGCCCTCAACTTGAACCTGGACGCTTTCACACGTGGGGTGTATCCTTTGGAATTTCAGCCTAGGAACGTCATATTGCGGAGGCCTCAAGTTGGACGCTGCTTTTTTGAGAAGGAGGACTGCCTGGTGCGCTCGGAGGTAGACTTGGACGACGTTCGTGATGTGCTGGTCGATCTGGGAAAAGTTAGGGCTGCGCGCCGTAACCGTATTGTACGGAAATACGGCTTCCGTGTACGGTATACGTACCGATGCCGTGAGCGCCTCGAGCCATACCGTACAACACGGCCGTCGACGGCCGTATATTTGTGGCAGCGCTACAAGGGGGGAGCACGCATTTTTGAGTCCATAAATGCTCTTGAAAACGGACTAGAATTACTCACCATCATGTTCTATGGGTCTCCAAGTCAGACGCGACATATTGGGCGCCTTCGCGAGTTCAAAATATTGCATGCAAAGCACTATGACATCACCAATGACCCCTCAAGTCTTGTGAACTGGGCCAAAATGGTCAATTTCATGACCAGAATGTGCTCTGACGATGTTGAAATGTACGGTACATTGATTTTCATCACATTCAGCACTAAAATCAAGTCAGTTCTAGAAACATACCCAGTAGCCATGAATACGGCCGTAATTGTACGGTCCGAAGCCGTCAGCGCCCTTGACCATACGGTTTACGGACGGTTACGGACGGTGCGCAGCCCTAGGAAAAGTTGGACTGGCGGATCCGATGAAGAAACTTAATAACTCCTGTAGGGCCCGCTGAGGGGCAAAGCCTGCTACGTCTGATTGTATTTTAATTTAATACATGATACACTATGATTGTCTATTGGATCTTAGTTGCGTCAGTTCCTTTAGTGCCTTTTGGTGTGCGGCGTCGATCTCTAGTACGAATGCCAACAATGCTTCGTCTTTCTTCAACAACTCATTTAATTGCTTCTGCAATTCCCGTGTGTTACCGATGGCGCAATGAAGATCAGCCATCACCCTTGCTAAGTGTCTTTTGCATGTATCGGCGTCCCAATCTTTGATTTCCTCCAACAGCCTGTCATATTCATCGTGGCCTGGACGACCATGAGGTCGCGTAGGGCTCATATTGGTCTTTCCAGAGTGGAAAAATTCGTTTGCGAGTGTCGGAAATGTGTTTTTTGAGGGGTCATCTGCGGTTGGGGTTGGTGATCTTGAATCGTGTATGGTCAAGGATCTGCTGGCAGGTACAGAGAGCATAGGACAGGTGATTATAGATTCATTTCCTATTGTCGTATCGTCGCCTCTTTCGTTTAGAGGAACAGGGGGCATGATTACAGGTGGTGATTTATCTGACCTCGTTTGTTGGATTTCTGAGAACGGTGTCGGCATTTCAGGGTTTAAGGAAGATGATGACGGGCGAGGGGAAAGCGTGATTCTGGGTGTCAACTGTGCTATCCGCTCAGCCGAACCCAAGTTCTGATGAGGAGTGACTTTGGTAGGGTACAACAATTTCGATGTACTCGATCTCGTCGCTGGAGTTTTCAGTGAGTCCATCTTCTGCAGGGTTAATGTGGGTCTAGGTCGTGTCAACGTGTTCAAAGCTTCGGCAGGCGGATCTAGCATTTCATCCTGTGAATCGACCTCGTCGTCTTCATCCGCTTCTAAATCTACTTTGACGCGCCTTCGTGAGGTCGAAGGAGACTCGGAGCTGCGTTTTCGTTTTCGCCCCCTTTTCATACTATTGCCACTAAACGTGCACCGTTTGGCTTGCAGATGGCACTCCCGACATTTCGAATGGTCCTCCGAGTTTGGCCAATGACAGGCGACTTTATGACTGCAAGTTTTGCACTTAGAAAAGCGAACATCAGTTGTTTAATGTCTCATTTGAATATCCAACACTCACAGGCATGTTTGCTTCTGTAGGAATCAAGTCCCAAGTGGAAATGTCGACTTTTGATACTTTGGTCTTTGATAACGTGCGAGAGTTACCACGGTGTACGTTCAAGAAAACCAGTTGGCACCAAAGTTCAAGCCCGATTTTTGATATAACCTTGTCCTTGTTAGCTGGGCCCAAGTCAACGACTAAGTCTCGTAATTGGGTAAGCCATTCGACAGACGGCTGTTCTGATGGGGTAGCGTTCAATGAAAACTGTAGACGGTTTAGCTCAATCACATTGATCACTTATTGACTCACCTTCTTCCATAAGTCATCCTCGTTCGCTTTCTTTCTGACTTTAGGAGGGCCAAAGCGTAGCGGTACCTACAAAACAAATAGGTGGTTTAATGCCAGCGAAAAAGCAAGGAGATGAAACCTACAGCATTCGACAACACTCCCGGCAGTTCCTGTGGTTTTGGTGGCGGTTTTGGTGTTGACGCACAAGTACCAATCCCCTTCAAAAAGTTGTAGTCATTACACCGTACACGAAACTGAAAATGACAGCTCGCACCAATGTATGAGAGGCCGCCATAGACGTCGTCGTCTGTCTTCTCACCGCCTTGGATCTGGTACTTTGCCCATTCTTCATGCTTCCTGTCGGAGTAGATCCTGTTGACGATCTCTTCCCCATGCCGGGTTCAGTGTTTTGAACAATTTGTATGTCTGTACTGGCGCTAGGAGTTTGGATTTGTACGACTTTGGGAGGAGGCGCATCCCAGAGCACATGTCCCTCCACAACGCGAACTGAGTGTAAGCATTGTACTGCCTCTGTGACTGTGTTCTTGAGATGATGCTTCAGTTAATGGCCAGTCTCGGAGCGTCGAAGTTTTACCTGAGCAGCAGTAACCAAGTCCCATTGCACCGATGATCTATTTGATTCCAGTTCCATCCTCTTTTCAACGTAGTCCCTGATGGCGTCGTTGATCTTGTCAATATCGTTGGGCTTCGTGCCTTGCTTAAGCAAACCTCGCATTCTAAGTTCATCTTGTCCAACCACACCAGGAATGCAGAAATTTGGGAGCATCTGATTTATCTGCCTGTATGTAAGATTTTGGGTGAAAAATAAGACTGACTGATACTGGTAGCCATATTAAAGGTTCAAGAAGGCCTTGAATTGTCCCTGGAATGTAAGATATCGGATGCGAATTCAGTCTGCCGTAAATGAGTCCCGAAAACAAAGATTCAGGAATACCCTGAACTCGTGACGAAAGCCCCCATTTGGGGTAGAGTTTCGGCAGACGGTAAACCTAAAGTTCTCAGGCATCCAAAATGTATGCCTAGACTTTTGGTTCCCGTGCCGAGCTCAGGCATACCGAAACTAGGACTCCGGGACATCCTATTTTTCCGGGACACCCCAAACCTTAGTTTCGGCTTTCCCTATTATTGGTCACAAAATGAGTATTCCGGATCAGATTTTAGTGGCACTCATATCTATGGTACCCATTACGCCGAAACACGTACCCAGATGGATACTTCCGGCATCGAATCAGGGCAGCTGGGAATGTTCAGTTTGGAGTCGAGTACAGGCGCCGTGTGATTTATTCCTTGTTTCTCTGATTTGGGATCGATTTCACAGCTTGTCGGAACTTTTGGTATCGGACCGAATTTCAGTAAGTCCTATTCTCCTTTCCGAAAACTTAGGTATGGGTATTATAATCAGGATATCCTAAATTTCTGGATTCCCCGTGTGAACCATAACGAAGGTTTGGAGTTCCACCGCATGTTCAACGACACTGGCGAGAGTAGTCATGGCAATCAGGAATGAACCATTGAAATTCAGAAATATTTGCCACATCCATCATGTTATCGGAGAAATAGTACCGCTATGACCCGCATTGTCGCCGCTACTCCAAGGGAACGACTGGACTGCATGTGTGATCAGAGATAAATTACTACTAAAGACCGATACACTTACTGAAAATGTCTCAAGATCAACACCATCCATAAGATGAAGAACTTTGATGAAAATGCTGACGCTGAACGTCGGAATAGAAGCGCGACTGCTCCCTGGTACGAAGTACTGTCACGAGTAACAGGAGTCACTGTAAACAAAGTGACAAACAAAGAAACAGCCACACCGAAAATTTGACTTTAACAGAAATTTATGTGTGGCGCGCCGTTCAAATTCACCACACATAGAAAGTCCGATGACATACGGCTCGGGGAGCTGTCAAAAACTCGGCTACCATCCATCCTCCCTAAGACCTTCTACTAACGTAGCAGGAACAATCTGGCTTATGGGACGTTAACACCGAGTCCACAGTCTTGGCCATCTCACGCGTCAGTTAAATATCTCTTGTGAAGGATGCATAAGTCCGTTGATCGCCGCCTGCCACTGCTATCGCTCCCGACGAGTAGTGGGTGGCACGCGCCACCCTGCCATCGCTCAAGTCACACCCCTCACAAAATGATGTGTTTCAGCGATGAATGCAGCTCATCTTCTGACCTATTCCATATCTGTGTTGCAGGAAGCAGGAGCCTGTCGTCGCTTTTGTGCACATCCTCTTCATGGGGGAAGGGTCAGGTTACTTGTCCCTGCAAAGAGCGCAATCACTACCATCGTTAAGACCTTTAGTTGAGGACTCAACGCGGTGTGTAGTTTTGCGACGAAGAGCTACCTCGTGCGGTTGGGAGATGGATTTGTTCGGCATCCGTGTGATTTGGAAGAGGTCAGGCTTGCAAATCCGGAGACGAAACTGGGCATATTCGACGAAAGCACGAGTTCTATGCTGGAGGAAATAATAAAAACCTAACTGTAAGTTCCTCGCCGTCTACCTACGCGCTATACTAAGCAATACATCATCACTTCATGCAGCTTTACTCATCCTCCACCACTATCATGTACTATCATAATCCACTGCTGCGTCCGGAGCATCAGCACGCTAGGTATGCCCTCATACAGGGAGGGTGGTCTGCGCTTTCGAGTCGGAAATGTTGACGGTCCTGGAAGAAGGGCCCAGATATAGCGTAACGGATAAGTGATGTCATTGCAGGCAGGTTCGATTCCTCAGATCTGGATGATATGGCCTCGTGTTTGTTTCTTTTATTCGTTGCCCCGGAAGGATTGACGATTGGATGGCCTTGACGTCCAGGCTGCATCTGGTCGACAAAGATCTCTGATCCTCGAACCCGGCTTGCAAGGGGAGATGTGGTGCTGCTCACCCTTCGTCGTATTCACCCTGATACGAGGATCACCAGCACGGATGTCCTTGATTCTGAACCATGCAGTGAAGTATTATTTCTGGTCGGACTGGCAAATCTGGAAAAGAAATGGAACGATCGAGCGTATCGAGGAAAAGCACGGGCGGAGATGCATCAATCACTGGTTGGAAAACGAGGTTACGTCGAGGTCCAACGCTGTGGGAAATGAAGTTGAGCGTAAGTATATCATCATCCACCTTTGTACTATATTGCTGAGGATCTACCATCAGTACATATCGACACCTTCCTTCCTACACGCAGCTTTAGTGTTTCTAGGTTTGCATAGCGAGATCTCCATAACCTTGAACGCAATCGACCCTAGCCTGAGATGGGAAGATCGGCCCGGCAGCCCCATCCTTCGTTGCATTCATTCACTCTGACACGAGGATCATCAGCGTGTATGATCGATCCATCGCATTCGGAGCGAACAATAGGTGTTGTGTTTCTTGGGTTGCGGTATCTTGCTCAGAAAGAGACGTCAAACTTGTCCAGATATGGCCTAGTGGTCAAGGTTTCTGCTTCGCGATGGGGTCCGATTCCGCAGATTTGGATTGTGAGAACCAAGATGCAATTCTTTTCCTCACCGTCGATTCTGGCTTGTTCGTCTTTCCTAGAAGAGTCCCGGTCGCTTTCTCCTGCGGCCTTTAACCGGTGATTCCGTCGACTCTTCAGCGTCCTCGAGCGTAATCTGCCATGATGCACAATGTGAGGAGGAATGCAGCGACCAACTCTTCATCCTATTAACGATTATCATCGGACCGAAGCCGGAGGATACTGATAGCGACGCATAATATTTACTGGTTCCTATTATAGATATTTCGAACATAGTACTCTTATAGATGATCATCTTACATGACCGTGGACGTGGATGTGAGCGAGTCCTTCGGCCTATCGATGTCTGTTAATCCTCGGATCTCATTGTCCACGAAGTTTGTGTGACACAGATTACTGTTGCAGGGCAGCTGTTGCACCACCACTCACGCCGGCTGACAAATCAGGGCCGAGTGTGGACGTGTGCAGTAGTGGTTCGACAACTTTCCCGCCTCACAACTTGTGGTTGGTGGGAATCTCTAAACTGAATTAAGCAATGACAACCATATGTACGGAGTTAATTTTCTCAATGTCTTGTTTTTCTTTTTTTTTGAAAACAAATTTGGAGCAAATTCGTACATCTTTGAGAATCGAGATTCGTAGCAGATGGATCAGATCTCTATCTGTCGTTCTGTTAAAAGTGGAAGTTGCCGCCACGGACTCAAAGAGGTTGGAAACCCTAGTAGTAATAGACAGGCGGGTGTGTGTAGTGCTCCAGCACTTTATCATTCAATGATATCTTAGGTACATATATAAGATGGCATCCTGTCAGTGGAATATTAATGAATAGGTAATTATTAAAAACCGGATTCATAGATTAGGACAGTGGCGAGAAGATAGACTAGGGTGCCAAGGGAGCGGATGTAATAATAGTATAGGCCCGGGAAGAAGAAATAAGACATCTTGAAAAAGAAAGCTGAGGATAATTATGACTACTCAATAACCACGCGGCCACATTTGCCTCTGATCAGCGACTGCGGTTTCTTGGCTTCGAGTACGATGATGAGACGATGTGAGTGAAGGGGAGCCATGGGCGTCCGGTGGAGGAGAACGAGACATATGCAACGAGTCTGACATTGATGCGTTGCCTTCGTAGCCACCAGTGGACAGATGTGCCATGTCATCGACCAGGGGATCGCCCTGAGACGCCATAGAAAAAGACTGGTAGGTACTTGATGATGACTGCCTAGTTTGCCTCATCGACTGTCTTTTATTTTGGAACCTGTAAAATTCGAGGGCTGGTAAGTAAAAAGGTGATGATCGTAGCGGAAACAACACGAGTACCAAATCTGGACGCTTCTCGTAGACATATCCAATAATTTAGCCAACGCAAGGCGCTCTTCCGTTGACGGGAAAGCGGTGCGGGCGTAGGTCTCGTTGAGAATTTTGAGTTGTGCGGCGTCAGCACGTTTTCGTTTTTTCTTGATGGTTGGCGAGTCATCAGCGGAGGTAGGGGATACCGGTGGCGGAGTGTATGAAGGCGGTGGAACATGAGATAAATTTCGCCCATAGGGAGAGGACGAGCGCACATCAGTCATGGCTGTATGAGAATGAGAACTCATCGGAATGTTAGATAAATCAGCCATCGACATGGCGTATCTGTAGGAGCCAGATGCATTCGTCGGATAATTGTTGTAGGCAGCCGGATAGGATGCTGTCGGTGACCGAATATGACTGCCACCGTGCATCGTCGAAGACGCTGAGGGATAACCATGTGGAGAAGTATTAAGGGGGGGTAATTTCCTAGAATCGACTGCTGTATCTGGGATCATGGGAGAAGTCCGAGATGAATACACCGGATATGTATGTTGAAGAGATTCAATGGCTGCGTCTGGCAGCGATTCTAATCCGCAAACTTCAACGACGGCGGCAGGTGATTCCAGTTCACAAAATCCAGTGTTGACAAGTGATAAGACAATCAAAATATTCTCAGTGTTTGGCCGCCCGCATGGCACAGTCATGAGACATGCTGTTACAAGTGACCATAGTCTGTCGTTGGGGAAAACATTTGCGGGAGGTCTTGGTGGACGACTCCCATTCATTACCTTGTGTATAACGCGGGCATCATTTTTGATATCACTGAAAGGTGGCTTGCCAGTAAAGACCTTGGAAATAATGTCATAAGAGTGTGGCGACAGCTCGGGCGCGCTGCTGGACCTACCTCGATAACAGTGCATCCATAGGCATAAATATCCCTAGCGGTGAGGTATGATTTGTCGAATGGTGTAAAATCTATATACTCAGGAGCTAGCCAGCGAAGGCTTCCTCTGGTCATCCTAGGAGAGCTGTCGAAAGCCTGTGATTCCGCGAACAGGGAAAGGCCAAAATCAGCCAGACAGCAACATAGATCATCCGTGACAAGAATATTTGCCTATGACAAGTCTATGTCAGAGGGGGCACGAGGATTCAGGAAGATGAACCAAGGGAACGGACCCCACGGATGTCGGCATGCACTATGGGAGGATCATGATTGTGTAAATATTTCATCCCTTCGGCGACCTGAATCAGCTGAGGAAATGTAACTTCAGCTCTCGCTAATTTCACATAAGGTCTGGCATACCAATGTAAGGCGATCATGATCAGGATGGGCTTCAAGATAAGACATGATATTTCCATTGACCATCCAGGGAGATATCATGCAATAACTGGGAGCGAAAAGGTCTTTGCTGACTCCCAAGAAGGGAAGGATATTAGGATGGCGGAGTTGCCTCCACATGAGAGCTTCATGACACAAATCCTGCAGTCGGTCAAGATGTAGTTTAGCTTGGACTATATGCCTACGACTTACTCGAAGAATCTTTGTCCGAGCTTCTTCAGTGGCAAAAATCCGAAGAACCTTCAAGCAGACTTGAGTATCACGAAGATGTCCCTTCCATATGTCCTGCCAGGTAGCCCGTATATAGAACTAGAATCATCAACTAAGAGTAGATGGACGCTTACTGCATATCCGCCACCGCAGATGGGATTTGCTCCTTCTCTAGTCACATTTTGAGAGAAAAAGGAAGAGGGCAAAATGTTCTTGGCCTTGGACAGCGCTCGAAGACATTTCAAGCAGGCAGTTCGATACTCATCGGGACAAGACACATCATCCAGTTCCTGACAATTCATTAGACCCTCCATAACGCTGATTAACAACTCTACAGCAAACACACCTGCTGCAATACATCCATAACTATCGTTTCCACCGAAGGGGGTATCGACTCCACGGACCTCCAAGGATAAGGGACATCTTGGATTACACGCTGAATCTGAGTTCGTACATCAGTTTCCTTGTCGTCAAGATTGATTCGAATCCAGCTGTGCAGACTCGGATGAGACAGATCTGTCGGGAGAGCGGTACCATCGTTAAGTGTAGGTCCCTCGCTGCCGGGTACTGTCATGGTCGTGTGTGCAGCATGAGGCATAGGCGCTTATCCGGCAATGATGTAAATGCCGTGCTCGGCCGTCCGAAGAAGGTGCCAATGAAAACTCTGTTCGGAATACTGTACTATTACGACTGTAAGTTCACCTCAAAGGGGTACCGGGATTGCGGACGGTCCACACCGGTGGTAGGTAGGTTGTGCCCAAAGGGCCGCTAATTTTTTTTGTAATGCATAGTTTTGATGCTATACAGTCGCCTCTGAAGTAACCCATACTCTGCTGTAAGCCATAGGTTTCATTGTCCACTGACCCCGTTCGCAGGTAAAACGAGTGCATAACCCATAAATGCACAACTTTGCTGTAAAGTACGAGGCGGTGGAGGTAAGGGACAAAGCCGAATTTGTTCCCACGATACCAGCCTAGTGTCCCGATATCGCCACTCTCCTGAAGAGTCAGACGGCACGATGGGTCGCTCGCCTGCCCCGCTTCCTCAAGTAACTGGCATCGTTCCAAAAAAGACTAACGGACCGTCGAGCCACTGCCAGTCACAGAAAACAAAGATCCTCGATACCAGGATGGCGCTCAACTTCTCATCAACTTTGAAGATCGCCTCAGGACTGCCATTGATCGTCGTCAGCCACTCTCATCGAGCTCTCTTTCAATGTCTCTCGAAGAACGACTCCCTTGTAGCATGTGGAAGCTCGCACATGTCTGGACTGTGCATGTCCCTGCCATCTCAGAAGCCATACTCGTCGCCAAAATCTTCGACCCAGCATATTTCAGTGACGAACACATTGCATATGCCGACCCTTTCGTCCTCCTCAACATATCCGTATCGCAGGAAGTCGAAGCTTACCGTTGTCTCCAAGACACCAACGTACCGCACTTCCATGGCCATTTCCTGATGCACATACCCTCGCAAGGGAACCGGACTGTGCACGTCCTCCTGATGGAACACATCGACGGCAAAGATCTCCGCGTCCTCGTCCCCAAAGCCAAAGCCAAAGACGTCTGCGCTGCCCACAAACTAGCCATCATCAACATGGCCCTCAACTTGAACCTGGACGCTTTCGTACGCGGGGTGTATCCCCAGGACTTTCAGCCTAGGAACGTCATCTTGCGGAGACCACAACACTGCATGGAGTTTTACGACAAGGATGACTGTCCGGTGCGCTCAGAGGTGGATGTGGACGATGTTCGCGGAGTGTTGGTCGATCTGGAAAAAGTTGGGCTGGGAGATCCGATGAAGAAACTCAAGAATCTGAGTTATAGGACAAAGGTCATCAATAAGCAGCGGCGGAGGTACCTCAAACGATGGTTGGAGAATGAGATCCGGCACTGGGGGCAATAATCTGTTTGTAAGTACCTTGTCGTCATCTTCGGGTATCGACTACAATCCTACATGCAGCTTTTGTTATCATCCGTGTTGACACAAAACCAGCGCACGCCCAAGTCCAGCTTGCACTTCAGTTGACCAGTCTCTTGCGAACGATGCAAGGCGCCGAGGGGTCGTTGATCATCGCCTGCATCTCCTGTCGACTTCCTTCTGAATGCCTCCCGAGGACTGGGCATCGCTCAAGTGATACCTCTCACAAAATGGTGTATTTCAGCGACGAATACAGCTCTTTTTCCGACCTATTCACTCCCCTCAACATATCTGTCTCGCAGGAAGTCGCCGTCGTACCCATACTCTTCTTGAGGGAGGGAATTTCCCAATCTCGTCCGCAATGGCTATCGTATCCCAGGGCACCTCTTGTTGACCGACGCGCGTGGAGTCTTGCGAAGAAACAGCGTAACGGATAAGTAATGCCTCTGCATTGGAGGGTTCGATTCCCTGCATCCGGATTGTATGGACATGAGGAATATTTTATTCGTTGTCCTGGATGGAATGACGATTGGATGTCGGAAAATGTGCTTATCTGCCGCAGCCTGCCCACCCTTCGTGTGTATGTCCTCAACTTGGAACCATGTACTTTCAAAACAAAATTGATGGTGTATTTCTTCTCTTGTGCCTAGAAGGAAGACCCAAAGTTGTCCGGATATGGTTCAAGGGACCAAGCGGCTGCTTCGCGGTGGGGTTCGATTCCCCAGATCCGGATATCGGCTAGGAAAAACATGCCTTTTTGTTCGCTGGTAGGTGTTCTTCGCGATGATTCTCAATTCGTCAAGTCGTGGTCGGAGTTGTCTTGGTTTACTCATTACCCAGATGTCGCATGGGGTTCTTCTTCTTTCGCCTATATGTTTGAAAGAAAAGCCCGGACATGGTCTAGCGGCGGATGCCGTTGTGTGAGGTTCGATTCCCCAGATCCGAATTTTCGTCCTATTTCCTTTTACTCTCTGCTGGGTGTTCTCTGCGACAATTCTTAGCTTGGTGCAAGTGGTCGGAGTTGTCACATTCTAGACGTTCACACTGTGGGGTTCGACTCCCCGGACGGGGATGCTTTTTCGAGGAACGAGCTTTGGCCCGTTGTTCTCACTCATGCAGGGGGTTGTTGGGATGCAGAATGATTTTTTAATCTCAATGTCGATGGCATGGGCTACTCAGCACCAGTCTGCGTCATTCTCTAGACAATCATTTGAAGCATTTTGGCTGATGGGCCATGCAGAGTTCACTACAACCCGGGGGTGGGAGTGGAATTATGGCAACTGCAAATGAAGGGTACAGTGCGACGAGAAGCTCGATTTCGGATTTTCTGCTCCCGAAGAAGACCGGATATGACACAACGGATAACGTCGTAGCTTCTGAGTGCGGTGGGGTTCGATTCCCCGCGTGATCAATACAACTACAATCAGGCCCAGGTTTTTCACTCGACACCGGTATCATTCCCGCTGATAGGCTTGTAACTACTAGCCATATCATTCGACTCAGTGTCATTGAGAGGAATTTTTTTTTACGATGCTGTGGCGTATACACCCACCCCAGCGTGACAGGCTAAGGCATCGGAAGTCTGACTGCAGCAGACCTTGATGGGAATGTATTATAATACGTCGAACACATATAAGCGACTTTCCGTGCAGAAAATATGGCGCGCCAGATGGCAAGCGCCGCTCTGCGGTGATCCGATTCTCCGCATCGGGATAGCTCTTGAAAGTCAAAAGTGAAGTAGTACTTTTTTACTCGCGTTTTCTACTCCCTCCCCTCTTTGTACGAGCCGTATAGTAAAATCCAGACTTTATTAGTTCATCGATTAGCTCCAATTGCAACCTTCTCGGTATGTGGTACGTCAACTAATATCTTTTTACATATATAGTCCATACTCCAAGTACTTGAGTGGTGAACGAGCAATGTACAGTATTATCCGATATGTACCATCAATGGAAACACGCTTCAGATACTGTCAAAAGAAAAGTAAACTGTGTAGTATACGACAGGAGAAAGGGATGATACGGGTAACCAGTAAACATAGAAGGAGGGACTGTTCTTTGAGCTTTTCGTGGACGTGAGGGCACCTCTTAGCTGGTGATCCGACGCGCTTTGGTAAGATGTTGGAAGCGGCGGTCGTCCAGGTACTGCGAAGGTAGTTTGGGGTACCGTTTGCTTCTTCGAGGACGTCAGGGTGTCGTGCGTTCCAACACTATGCCCGCCTAGTGAAGAGAAGAGAATGTTAGAATGAACAGATACGCACCGATTGTCCTTTATAACCAGCGGAAAATGAGTTTCAGGCAATACCCCATGAAGCTGAAATAAGCACTTCTTCGCGGGTCTTGGTGTTTGCGACAAAAGCAGAAGGATTGATAATCAACGACCAAGGACTAGGATTGCAGAGCCTGAGGGGAAATCAATGATAAAGTTGAGATAACCGTAGGAAATACGCAAGTTATGCTCTGCCCAAAAACAGAGGATAAAATAAAGACAGGCTCGTATACCCTATCACTCTATCAGAGCTTTGCACAAGAGAAAGTAATAGGGACCCACAGTAAGACAGCTTTGCATTTTAAAAAAAGGAACAAGCTCAAAAGGAGGCTTGAAAAATTCGTTGTGGCGGGCGCTGGCTCACCAACAACAGGATATCAATACATGGTACCGACGCCGTCTTGGCTGCAGTCCGTGACAGGACTACCGTCGCGAAGCCTCAAGGACTACTTAGGCTTGGGACTTGAAGTCGGTCACAGTCAAGCGCGCCGACAACAGCCTTCTGGACATCGGCAGGCCAATAACGAATACAAGACAAATCGAACTGACAATGCCGTCTGGGCTGCAGTCCATGACAGGACTACCGTCGCGAAGCCTCAAGGACTACTTAGGCTCGGGACTTGAAGTCGGTCAGCGCCGACAACAGCCTTCTGGACATATGTCAGCAATGAACACCACAATCTCTTATAGACCATGGTGAGAGAGAATGCCAGCGTGCTGCCTTAAAAAGCTGAAATTTGATGCCGACCTCGGCATGTTATGCCGGCATTGGGCAAGGGTTGCTATCTCGGCGCTGGTTCTCAGCTTTGCGAAGTCTTGAGGTTCCGGATAGCAACTCGGTAAACGCCGGATTTTTTGGACATTGACACAATATTGAAGCTTCGATGATAGCAAGCTATCCGAGTATCACCAGTTATCACGAGCGGGAGACCATGCGTAATTAACCAGTCAAGATTGGTGTCGAATTCAAGTCGAATTTGTACAAGAAAACAGAGATTTTATGCTTCCCTCTCCGTCTGCAACACCGAGATTAAAAAAGCAGTACAGTGGCAAAAATTGAACATCCTCCACACGCAATCTCTTTGGGGGAATCGAACCCCAGCAGCAGCATTAGCTGTTGCGCCATAGGATTGACATTTAGGCAAAGCTATATTAAACAGTAAATTGAAACCTCCTTCCTTGTGGTGACTGATTTTTCTCTTTTTCGACGTCGCCCGCGAATACTCATGTCTCTTCTCCTCTTCAGTACTGAGTGACAAAACTTTATACTCGAATATCATTGGGACCAACTCAAACCAGGACCATCAGGGAATCGAACCCTGGAAAGGAAGCGACTAAAGCGACCCTTACATCAGACCGGTGTCATCGAAACTCACTTTCCCTCTGTTCATTATAAAAAAAGAACTCGTACCGGGTAAGAAGAGTCTAATGTGACTTGGGCGCTGAACGTTGAACGCTGCTTCATTCGAGTGAGTCTGAATTACAAACCCGATTCCTATAGGTGGAGGTACTGCGGTTGTCATTAGCCCGTCCTCTCATCACCGTCCAGAAACCAGAAGTGTCGGGAGTAGGCAGACCATTTCGTTCGCTTTCCAAAGAATCCTCCGAGTTCGTTTCTTTCCCCAGAATGCAGGGTTTGCGTACATCCGACTTTGTAAGGCCGGCGCTCTTAGGTCGAGGTCAAAGCTTGAGCTTAGGTTGCCTGCGTTCGTGGTGACGATCCACCAAAAGGACTCGTAGGCCTGCTTCACTACGGTTCGGATAGGTATACCTAACGGCTGAGATTGATGCCTATTATCTGCAGGGTTCGAATCCTCGTATCTGAAATAGAACATATCAGATACACTCATTTTTACCTGCCTTTGCGGGTGGGAATGGGCCGGCATACATTGCGACCGTCACCAATTTGTTTTCCTCTCCTTCCTCACTAAGGCTTATACAGTCCTTTTGGGGCGATCTGTCCTGCTTTTGAGTTCAATAGACAGCGGCCGGTATAAGACTCCCGTCTGGGAGTCTACATGATGTGTGGCGAATAGGTAGATAAGGGATCTGTATCTGGACAAGGCACTGCAGCCTGCGGACACGAAGATGAGAGCAAGTAGGGCAGAATGACAAGCAACGTGACTCGAACACACTCACCCAGGATGCCTTGATTCTGAATAGTCCGCCCCAAAAGTCAGTCAAGACTCAAAACGAGATCCTGCTCAACCAGTATGCAAATCACCCTGAGCATATCGGGTGCTCAGTATTTTCCAGCATTGTTTCAGGCAAGATAAGTATGATGCGGTGGAGGTGAGAGACGAGGCGGGTTTTATTCCCACGATTCCGGTCCGTTGTCCGATGCCACTCTTGAAGGCAACGTCGAGCACGCACACGTCCGCGTCCCGACCATCACACTCATCGCAAAAACCTTGGATCCTAATTACCTGATCATTCGCTGAAAACAGGTAAAGGATGTATGCGGTGTGTACGAGTTGGCTATCACCAACGCGATTCAACGGGATACCAGACTTGAACTTGAATTTGAACGCTTTCGCACTTGGAGTGGCCGCGCATCCCATGTAATTTCGATCATCTCTCGGAGACTTAGACGCTGAAGCGCTGACTAGGACTGCTCAGTACGTTTGGAGATGGGACTGGCGAATCCAACGAAGAAACTGAACATTTGGTTGTCTACTACCAGTATACTCCTGTATTTATCGATTGATCCTCCGCCTACATCACCCACAATCATATTTTTCCGAGGTCTCCATAATCCGCCCTAGCTCGCAACGGGAGACCATCCTTCACCACATGCACTCTCTGTATAGTCCACATATCCGGCTCTATCTGTCTGGAGTCGGAACCACGTAGTGAAAAGTTGGCGGTATGTTCTTCTGTCTTTTGTTGTGCGGAAGGAAGGCTCAAAGTTGTCCAGACATGGTCTAGTGGACGAAGTTGCTGGGGTTTGGGGTTCGATTCCCCAGATCTGGATGGCTAGGCACCAAGTTTTTCTTTATTACACTTGCGAACGGTCTTAATCTTTCCGTCTTTCCTGGAAGAGTCCGCGCCGCTCTCTTGTTTCTTAAGTGGCCTTCAACCAGTGATTTCGTCAATTCTCCGGCATCCTCAAGCCTAATCTACCTTGACACGCAATGTCCGACTCTTCATCGTCCATGAGGATCATCAGTGCGTTCTGTCATGGTCACCCTGAAAGGTTGACGTTGCAAGGGAGATTCTCGGGGAAAGGATGTGATAGAGGTGCCTTGCGCAAACGACCTTGACACACAAGGAGGACCCCAAAATATCCGGATATGGCATAACAGCATAGTGAGGTCGCTAATTCGTGCTGGGGTTCGATTCCCCAGGTCTGAATTATAGACGATATCTGAATATCTTTACTTTTACTCGCCGCTAGGGGTATCACCTCACTCTGCAATGAGCGGACACGTATCGTCCTCTACGCTACAACACATCGCGCTCTATCACGATCTGCCGCGGATGCGTATCCTCTACTCCCACCTCGCAATAGGAGGAGTGGCGCAATGTCCCATCCTTGGTCGCTTTTGGACCACCTATCGAGCCGTTCTATCGTGTTGGGCTCTCCTCGGCGGGCCGGAAAAGAACCAGGGTCATCATGCAAAGGAAAGACTCAAAGCTATCTAGATATGGCCTAACGGACAAAGTCGCTGCTCTTGTGAATTGATAGGGTTCGATTCCCCAAACCTGGATTTGACTGTTTGAACGGCAAGTGATTCTTTTACTCGCCTTAGGGTAATAATTTGTTCATCTTTCCTGGAAAGAGTCCGTGTTGTACTCTCCCTTTTCTCTCATTTTTGTCAGTCTTTAGCGTCCTCGTCAATGGAGGAGGACCGGACCTTGGTCTTATTCGCGGCGCACCAGGCATGTATGATTCTACGAGGGGTGTACGCTGTTCTACTACTTAGTCGGGGTTGGGGAAAGGTCAAGGTCGAAAAATCAACACACTCGCCGTCGAAATGGATGTCAGCTTCGTTGCACAAGGAACGTTCGGTTATGGCGTAACGAATAGCGCTGCTGCTTCCTGGCCGTGGGGTTCGATTCCCCGATTCTGGATTACGAATCCTTTTCAATCTAACATGTTTCAATCCTTAATTTTATTTCCGAGTTGGAGTGGATGCCGGTCGCTGTATTTTCTGGGGCAGAATCCTTCCAGCTGACTTTGACTTTGCCGGCCGTGTACCTAACGTCAGCTGGTGGGTGTCGTTTTGACTCGTCCATCAGACAGATTGTATCACCTCGCTCACTGGCGTACAGTGTATTGACAATTAACCACTCTTTGTTTTTTTTTTCACTATCGCAAAGCATGACTTGTCAAAAACTTGAAAGGCCATCTCGAGCGGACCCCGAACTCGAGGGAAACCGGAACTTCCTCCTAAGCAGCCTCCGTGACAATGGGTGGAACGTACCAGACTACAGCATGGGTGCTGGATCCGTGTTAAGAGAACACAGATTTCATGTTCCCTCCGAGTCTGCAACGCTGGGATTATTGAAAAAACCAGGTCCTTATTTAGTACAGGGAAAAAAGGTTTCTCGACGACAGTATTTGTTTCGGGGAATCGGACCCCAGCAGCTACGGTTGCGCCATGAGATTGACTCGAACTGGGGGTGTTCCAGCGATAGAAGCCTCAATTCCTTTTGTTGGTTATGCATCGACAGTCTTGCTCCTTCCCGGCGTGGTTATCACCAACGACTTTCTTCGAGTCAAAAAACATACCCCGGTAGAGAGCTCATGAACAATGCACTTTGAGAATCAGAGAATTGTTGTTACCGCAATATCCTAACGCCGTACTTCAGCTAAACCGGAACCGGATGTTGAAGCCTTCAAGAGGAGACATGAAAGCGATGGAGAATGTCACCAAAATGATAATATAAACATTACTATCGGTATGTAATGTCCCTTGAGAGGATGGATTTATTACCCAAGAGAGACACGATCATCGGCATTGGATAATTTATTTTTCTCAAACCAACATCAAACGATGAATGACATTCAACATACGACACTGCATACAAAGTCCCACGAGTCCGTATAACCATGATATAATATCATACTTGATGGTATAATTCAACGTTATCGGGCTTAGTAGCTGTAGTGGGCATTCCAGCAGGAAGTGTCGTAGTACTTGTGGCGATCCTTGCGGTCCTTGTCGTCCTTCTTTCCATGCTTGTCATCCTTATCCTCATCACAGTCATCCTCCCAAGTCAAGATGTCGATAATCTCCTCGAAGAGTTCACAGATAAACTTCTCCTCGTTCTCCTCTTTCGAGTAGGCTAGGAAAACGACGTCAGACACGTGCGAAATGGAGGTAGTTATCATCAGACGTACCCTGGCAAGAGTTGCACCTGTCGTCTTTCTCGCAAAGGTCCTTGCAGTCTGAACAGTAGACGTCAGTGAAAACCCCTCGTAAACGCGGTTAAAAGAGTGGGCTTACCGATCTCGTAGGTATCCTTCTTGACATCTTTGTGGTCGTAGGGAGTGTACTTGCCCTTGTTCCACCCCTTGAAGTCGTTCTTGTGCTCGAACACCGGCTCCCAGGTGCAGTCCTTGCGACCGTTGTCCTTCTTGTGGTCGTCTTTGTGGCCGTCGTCTTTGTGGTCCACATCGCCGTTCCTGGCTTGGACGCCGGCAGAGAGGGCCGGGGCGGCGAGAGCGGCGAGAGAGATGAGAGTGGCGACTGAGAAACGCATTGTGATGAACGAGCTGGGGGATGGATGGAGAATCATTTCAGAGCCTTTTTATATCTGTTCGTGCACCACCAGAACTTGAAATTCCCTTACGGCGTAAGTGACTTTTCGACCAGGTGAACTCGAAGAGTGTCATTTTGAAACAGCCTAGAGAGACAGCTGATGGCCAAGCGTGAGTTACTTCGAGACCTGCCAAGCCGCAAATAATCCTACTTCGAGTGATAGTAACCAAATAGAGCGTAGGCGGGAACGTCGGTTTCAGACGCAGCGAAGAAGATGGAGAGGCCTTAATAGGATGGGAGATATTTGAAGACAGAAAGCATTTTACAGCTCAGGTTTGGCGAGAACAATCGATAGAACGGGATTTGTGAGTTTCATATATACCTGCAGCTGAGATTTCGGCAAGACGAGAAGATTACACACGCGCGAAGAACCTCGAGGTGGTTGAAGAAGCAGAACCGGGAACTATCGGCTGAGTATAACCGGCAGTCGGTAAAATGATCGGGCCGGCCTTCCGAAAGCCAACACCGTACGGCCGCCAACCTTTCTTTCGACACAAACTTCGACGGGTGGATCACTTGCTTATCCTTTACTTTACTGTTCAAGTTTCCCAAGTCACGTCAAGAGCTCTCCCTTCCCCTTCAGCTACTCTGATGAATGTTTTACTGCAATATGGCGAGATCTGCAATGTATTCCGAGGGCCGTATTGAGCAACCTTGCCCAATAGTTCTAGGCTTTTCAGTTCTGCCGTACGAGTACTGTAGTACTTACTGAGCGACTCACAATTTTACTTGGCATGTTTCGTTTGTCTGTGGATATCCTCAGGTATGATGAGGATCACTTGTTTTCATGGATTTTTCTCGTCGAACCATGGACTAAGGATTCAGCGTTCATTTTCCGTTTGTCACCCTTGGCATGGGTGAAATGTCTCTCCCTCATGAGCATCGACCAAGGCTGGCTCGCTGGGAGCAACGTCTCTAGCGTTCTTGCTAGAGGCTTGGCAGGTCTTTGGTTCACCTATGTACGGCTACAAACCGCCGTTCTGCGCTGTTTTTGATATGACGCTCACTCAAGTCGGTCTAGACAGCCACTCAGATTACAAAGAAATGTTCCTGCGTCCAATGAGGTTCCTGTGTTCAATGAGATATAAAAGGGCTCGTAAATCACCGGCATTCTCCAGACAACTCATCCTCGTCTATCTACTTCAGATCATTCATCACGATGCGTTTCTCAGTCGCCGCTCTTATCCCTCTCGCCACTCTCGCGGTCCCCGCCCTCTCTGCCTCCGTCCAGGCCAGGGATGACAGTGTCGGTTACAATGGCTACAACGACGGTGGCAGTGGCAGGAACTACGGCAAGGACTATGGTTACAATGATGGTGGCAGCAAGGACTGGGGCAAGAAGGATGATGACAAGAAGGATGACCGTAAGAACGATGGCGGCAGCAAGGACTTTGGCAGGAAGGACGACAAGAAGGATGACCGCAAGAATGATGGTGGTAGCAAGGACTTTGGCAAGGACAAAGACGACAAGGACCATGGTCGCAAGGGCTGCACCTGGGAGCCTGTGTTTGAGCACAAGAAGGACTTCAGGGGATGGAACAAGGGCAAGTACACCCCCTACGACCACAAGGATGTCAAGAAAGACTCCTACGAGATTGGTACGTGTAATCTTATCGCAAGATTTTATTATTTCCACTCACGTTCACTCTTCAGACTGCAAGAACCTTTGCGAGAAGGACGACAAGTGCAACTCGTGCCAGGGTACGTCTAATTATACTTCTTTTCATTTTGCCTGTATCTGATGTCTTTTCCCTAGCCTACTCGAAAGAGGAGGACGAGGAGAAGTTTATTTGCGAGCTCTTTGAAGAGATCATCGATATCTTGACTTGGGAGGGTGACTGTGACGACGACAAGGACGGAAAAGATGGAAAAAAAGATGAAAAGGACGGAAAGAAAGATGACAAGGATCGCAAGGATGACCACAAGTACTACGACACTTCTTGCTGGAACGCCCACTACAGCTACTAAGTCTGACGAGGCTCCTGGGGTGACAATAGACATTTGTAACAGTAGTATTGTATACCTCTAATGCAATTTGCATGTGGATTTTTATCGTTGCGGTGCAGATCAAGAAGAATCTTTATTCAAGGCTATGAACATCGTATAAATCAGCGAAAACGATGACTGGACATCAATTCTAACAATAGTGTGTCATATTCTCACGATAAGTCCAGGGTAAGATCGCTGAAAATTAGTTGGGAGCTCTCCCATGAGATTTTGTTTTCACCTGAGTCCGGTGACTTCGACTGCAATCTCCCAATGCCACTATTTCACCGCATCATTGATATCAGTTTTATGACTGATACTAATCTTGGATCTCTCAGTGTTTGTCGTCGTCAAGACTTGTTTGCATCTTGCTACAATTTCGGCAACTGATTTCGTCAGAATTTGCTTGGAGTATCGCAGACTATATATAGAGATATTATAAATTGGAAGCGCTTTTCAAGTACCGCACACCGAGAATAATTGGAGATAAACAATGAACTAAAGGCTGGGTTTTACTGAAACGGCAGGGGAGACAGAAAACGCGAGTAAAATCGAACCACCACAGAGCGGCTCTTAGTGTACGACATATTATAATATAATTGCACCAAGGTCCGCCTCAGTCGGACTTCCGATGCCCAACGCGAGTCCCCGACCCTTAGCTCATCCCCGAAAGAACGCGCTGGGGTGGGTGTAAGCATACACCACAGTGTCGTAAAAAAATTCCTCTTAACGACGCTGAGTTGAATGATATATTAGTAGTCACAAGCCCAGTAGAGATTCGCGACTACTTCCGCTGGGGTTGTGACTGCTAACCATGTGTAGAGTGAAAAGAACTTTCTAATAAGACTGACATGAACACGCGGGGAATCGAACCCCACCGCGCTCGGAAGCTACGACATTATCCGTTGCGCCATATCCACTCTTCTTTGAGATCATAAAACCTGAGGTAGTACTTATGGGATTCTCGCCGCACTGTACCCTTCATTTTGCAGTTGTCATACTTCCACTCCCGCCCCAGGTTGTAGCGAATTCTGCACGGCTCGTTAGCCAAACTGCTCCGAATAATTATATAGAGTGGTGCAGGCGGCCAAGTAGCCCATGGTATCCAACATCAGGATTAAAAAGTCATTGTGCATTCCCGGGCCAAACCCCGTCAATAACCCCCAATGTGAGCGAGAACAATAGACCAAACTCGATCTTGAATATCCCCTTCCGGGCAGTCGAACCCTACATCGTGAGCGTCTAGGAAATGTGACAACTCCGACCACTTGCACCAAACTAAGAATTGTTATAGAGAACACCTAGCAGCAAGTAAAAAGGAACAGGACGAGGATTCGGATGGGGAAATCGAACCCCACACAACGGCATCTGCCGCTAGACCATATCCGGGCTTTCCTTCCAAGTATATAGGCAAAAGAAGGAGAAAAACCTCCAAAGTATTACTGCTTGGCCATTCATTTTGCATGTCTAGGTAATGAGTAACCCAAGACAACTCCGACCACGACTTGACGAGTTAAGAATCGTCGCAGGGAACACCCAGCAGTGAGTAAAAAGAAACTTCTTTTCGGGAAAGGTATTCAGATCTGGGGAATCGAACCCCATGCAACTGCTAGACCATATGCGAGCTTTCCGTCTACTCATAAAGGCTGCATAGAAGACGAAGAAGAAGAAATACAATGCCAGTCCTTCCGTCATTTCTGCCTGGGGTCATCGCTTGGGATATTTGCCGGAATCTCATGTAGTAGAGGGAAAGACTCGGAGGTGGGATATTCACGATGGAGTCATTTCTAGAGCAGGCTCTCAAGGCGACTTGATATAGTGAGTCAAAGGAAAAGTGATGTCACCGAAACCGTTGTTGAGTGCTGTACCGACCAAAAGAGCTATGTGCGTCCAGATTGGAATGGGATTCGATAGCGAATACGAAAACGGTTCAAACAATACTCAGAGGATCCAGAATGGGGAATCGAACCCCACGAAGCCGCGATGACATCCGTTACGCCATATCTGGATGTTTTTAAGGCAGTCAGAGTCGTCTCTCGAGAAAAAAACACGTTATGAGAGAGATGCAATAAACAAGTTAGTGTCCGGTCTTGCGGGGAGCGTGTTCATTTTTTGACCTCGACGATCCCCAACTTCGACTCGAAAGAATCGGAAGCTGGTAAAGCCCTTGTAGATCAATATGGAATGCCTGGCGCATCGATGGTGATCGAAAGGCTGGTTCTTGCATGGTAGAGTAGCTGATAAATTTCCGGTTGAACTTGAAGGACACATAGGATAACAACACGGCGGACAAAGATGAGCAGAGTACGATGGTGAGTAAAACCGTTAATTCCGATGACAATATCCAGATCTGGGAATCGAATCCCACCGTGAAGCAGCCGTTTGGTCCCTTGAACCATATCCAGACAACTTTGGGCGTTTCTTCCAAGCACAAGAGAAGAAATACAAGGGTCATTTTCTTTTGAAAGTACATGGTTCCAAGTCGAGGACATACACACGAAGGATGTGCAGACCACGGTAGATAAGCGCGTTTTCCCGATATCCAATCGTCTGTCCATCCAGGACAATGAAATAAAAGAAATCAAAATATACGACTACCCGTACTTATGATCCGGATCCGGGGAATCAAACCCTCCAAGGCAGTGACGTTACTGATCCGTTACGCTAGGTCTTCGCAAGACTCCATGCTGTGTCAGTCAAGGAATCCTCGATTAAAGGTGCCCTGGTATACGATATCTTTGCAGGGACGAGATTACGAAATTCCTTGTGTGAAGGCGACTTCTTGCCAGACAGATATGTCGATGACAGTGAATAGGTCGGAAAAAGAGCTGTATTCGTCGCTGAAATACACCATTTTGTGAGAGGCGTCACTTGGGCGATACCCAGTATTCGGGAGGCATGCCAAAGGAAGTCGGTGAGAGGGGCAGGGGGCGATCAACGGCCCCTCGGTGTCTTGCATCGTTCGCAAGAGACTAGTCAACTGATTGGGTGAGCTTTTTACTTGGGCGCGCGTTAGTTTTGTGTCGACACGGATGATAACAAAAGCTGTATGCAGGAAGGTAGAAGACGGTGAGTCGGTACCTGACAGATGACGGCGAGGTACTCACAGTCAGATTATTGCCCCCAGTGCCGGATTTCATTCTCCAACCAACGCTTGAGGTACCTCCGCCGCTGCTTATTAATGACCTTTGTCCTATAACCCAGATTTCTGAGTTTCTTCATCGGATCTCCCAGCCCAACCTTTTCCAAATCGACCAGCACTCCACGAACGTCGTCCAGGTCCACCTCTGAGCGGACCGGACAGTCCTCCTTGTCGCAAAACTCCACGCAGTGTCGAGGTCTCCGCAAGATGACGTTCCTAGGCTGAAAGTCCTGAGGATACACTCCACGTACGAAAGCGTCCAGGTTCAAGTTGAGGGCCATGTTGATGATGGCTAGTTTGTGAGCGGCGCAGACGTCTTTGGCTTTAGGAACAGGGGCGAGGATTCGGAGATCTTTGCCGTCGATGTGTTCCATCAACAGGACGTGCACGGTTCTATCGCCTTGCGAGGGTATGGGCATCAAGAAATGGCCATGGAATTGCGGTACGTTGGTGTCTTGGAGACGACGGTAGGCTTCGACTTCCTGCGAGACGGATATGTTGAGGAGAGCGAACGGGTCGGTGTATGCACTGTGCTCGTCGCTGAAATAAGCTGGGTCGAAGATTTTTGCGGCGAGTATGGCTTCTGAGATGGCAGGGACATGCACGGTCCATACGTGCGCGAGTTTTCGCATGCTGCAAGGGAGTCGCTCGCCAAGAGACATTGAAAGAGAGTCCGATGAGAGTGGCTGTCGACGGTCAATGGCTGTCCTGAGGCGATCTTCAAAGTTGATGAGAAGCTGAGCACCATCCTGGTATCGAGGATCTTTGTTTTCTGTGACTGGTGGTGGTTCGCTAGGATGCAGCTGGAAAGAGGCGCCGGTAAAGTAGGTACTCGATGGACCATCAGTCTTTTTTGGAACGATGCCAGTTATTTGTGGAGGCGGGGCAGGTGAGCGACCCATCGTGCCGTCTTCAGTGCTCGATGTCGTGTTCAAGAGAGAGATGGTTAGGTCTCGGTGGTTTCGGGACGCTAGACCGGTATCGTGGGAACAAGTTCCGGCTTTCTCCCTCACCTCGACCGTGTCGTACTCAGCTTGCAAAAATCGCGTCAAAACAATGCCGGATCTTCTAAGTATCTTCAGACTACGAGTTGCTGATACAATATAGGCAGAAGTCGTGGTCTCATTTGGCTGACTTGGGGTGTCGCGTTTGATGATTTCGGGAAGGGGATGAGAGCTGAATATCGTGTAAATTTTCACTCAGCAAGAGCATGGAGAAAGAGCACCCTAAAACTGATCTTACCGCTATCTAGGGGAACTCTCGATGTACGGAAGACTAGATGGCTCGTAATCCAGCATTGCCTTCGTGCTGATATGAAAGTGACCTAATTCCCGTTCAGTGGTTCCGCGGGTACATAATAAAGACGGCTTGCCAGGCTAGCGACCCATAAGGGTTACCTTGCCTCTCACGTGTTGTACTCATCTTGCTAGTATCACACTGAAACAATACTGGATTACTGAACATCTACAAACTCTGATATTCTCAGCTTGTATAGGAAGGATTCGTGCGCTGGGCCGCTAGCTTCTGAGCCTTTTCACTGTACACAAAAAGAAGGCATCGAGCACCTCCACATTTCATACCCTAGTATACTGCCCTTATTGCTGCTCCCCACATCATCCATGATGCTACGCTGGCGACGCTCTGGGGAATTACTGTCGTATCGGACACGAGCGCTGTAGCGTCCCCGATATAGGATCCTTACACTGCAATTATCTCACTGCGATGTCTTTCCTTCTGCTGACTGTTCATTTCATTTTCCCGACATTTCATCCTCGCTGAGGTTCGCCAAAGCAGGAAATGTGTCAGTGACCGTTTCTCTAGTACACCTGGCTTCGACACGACTACCTACAAACTGTTCACATCACTGTCTGATGATGCCCTTCTACACTTCTTTAATATCTGTCTTGATCTATGTTCTGCTCCACGCCTCTGGATGATCGCTATCCTTATCGGAATCTTGAACCGGGAAAGGACTCGGCGGACCCCAGATCCTATCGGCTGATTGGGCTGGAATCCTGCCTACTGAAGGTTTTCACACTACTTTGGGTTCCGGCAGACTGTTGTATGTTGTTCTCCCAGACCTGACCAACGCCTTCCCTTCCACTGATCACTCTTCGTTATGGGTCATGATGTATAAACGCGGAGCTGCTAGTCCACTTTTTCGACCGGCTCCGTGCCATGTACTATGGGATGAGGTACTATGCCAAGATGGATAACACACTCTCCACCCCGTTCGGATCCGATATTAGCATTCTTGCTAGTGATGGGACCTCCCCAAGTGTCTGGGACTTCTTTGGGTCTGACTTTCGGCCTTGCCCCCATCCAGACGATGTTCATTTTGGAGATCACCAGATCCTGAATGTAGAGCATGCCGATGATGGCGTACTATGGTCTACTTCTCCAGCAGGCATCCAGATGCACTGCAACGACTATGGTCCTTGGGCAAGCAAGAAGGGCTTGCTGACTAATTTTGAAGAAAGCAAGGTACCTATGCTTGCACTCCGGTCTATGGCTGCTCTCATGCTCACGCACTGCCTCTGTTACAGGCATTGATTTTCACCACCGCTATCTCCGTGATAGCAAAAGTAACGGCGACCAGTGCTAACACACCCAGCGCCCTCCACTTGTCGACCGCCCCGTTGCCCCCAACTTCTAGTAGCCACTCAACGCCGGTGGCTTCCCCTGCCCGCCATGCTTCTTCGAGGCCAACGCCACTTTTCGATATCTTACCATGAAAAAATCTAGTGGTGGTGAGCACAACAGAAATCGCCGTCAACACGTTGGGCCACTAGCCTGGCCGGGTTGGATCTGAGGGCACTCACGAACCGGCTCGTTCCAAATTTGCCTTTTCTCGGCGGAACAACTGCCTAGCAAGGCTTCAGCCTGCAGTTGACCGGTTACATGCTGAAGGCGCACGAGTCTTCAACGTGCAGTTGATCAATCTAGATTGATCGATCGCGTTGCATATGTATAAAACTGGGGTCTCTTCCTAGCATTGGACCCATATAGATCAATATAAGTGCCGATGTATGTAAGTCTGGAGAAGGACGTGGGAAGACCCGGTTGATGAATCTTTGATGTCGTATAAGAGATACCATAGGAACATCCAAACAGACTGTCCCTTGTGCCAGAGTGCCATCGTACTGGCATATCTTGGGCTGAGGGAATACTGTTTGGATGCATACCGCTGAGAAAGCGGAGATAAGGAGATACAAGGCTATTTTGGTTAGATTGGTGATACTGTTTTCACAGTTTCGCAGCCGGAAATCGAGAATCAGGGTGATGGGTAGCGTATTAGGAGCTCTTCGACCAGTTTTGGCAATTCCGCATTTGTTTTACCCGACTCCGCACAATTTCAAACGCAGCCGGCGCAAGGTATAAAGTGAGCAGGAGCCCCTTGCGTGATGAAGCTTAGATAGCTTTCCTCTTCTAAACCAATTCTCATACTTTCAAGTTTCGATTCATGTCGACTCCGAAAGAGGATTATTATGCTAGTCTTCGCGCTGGCATGTCAAAGTGTCCTTATTTGAGGCAGTTTCAAGACAGAAACCTCGTTCACATGCATCAGGGTGGACTCACAGGTCGGCTTTTATCAATATTCTTGAAGTTTTCACCAGAAATTTACAATCTTACTTTGAGTAGCTCCCACAACGCGTCCTAACCACTATTCTCAATATTTTTCCTCTTCGGAAAGATGTGTCTGTGCTTCCCACTATTCATGCCCGTGGCAGAAGGACGATGCAAGTAAAGCCCTGAAATTTCTTCCATCATTCAACTCAACATAACCGCTTAGTGTCTTCGTATGACCGTTACGATACTCAATATAATCGATACAGCCAATGTCTTCATCAGACGCATACACGGGCGACTTCTCCTGGAATTATCCCAGACGCAGCCATTGAGTCTGGGAATTTGCTTCAACCTAGTAACACCTTTCTACCCGTCGACCACCCCGCAACACGCGAGAGGCTAGACGGAAACATTCCTATCTGGTCACCGACCGCTTTCTCTTACTATCCAGTTGATTACAACCATTATCGACTACCTTCAACCATAGTACCGTACTACATCCTACCAGCCAGCGTCATTTTCATCGGATCGAACATGTTTGCAAGCGTCCCGATCTTGTATCAGTCGCCAGAGACCCATCAGTCTTCAAGCACTTCTAGCAGGGCATCGAAGCAAGATCTCCTTGTCAATGGCATGACGGTGAACCCAGATGCTGTTGGTCACAAGAGCTCTATGCGTCCTAGTATGGCGGGCTCATTATCGGATATACCTCGTTCCCCCCGTCTGGACAGTGCCTTGGAAAATCACACAATGAACATGTCGTATCATTGCTATGATCCTCCAAATGAACATGCGGCACCTGCCAATTGGATGCGATTTGAGCTGGGAAATGACGTGACCTTGAGTACTAACGATATGGTATGTTACCTTTTGCCATCCTTTGAGCCGGCAGCACCTTGACTTTGGACTAGGGTGATAAGCAACGTGCTATGTTATCACAGTTAGAAGAACTTTCCAGAGAAAGACGACCACTAGAGGAGCTCGAGATGCAAGTGCGACGGCAGTTGGGGATGAGCGAAGATGCTGACTCAACCGAGGTTCTCCGAGTCCTTAGGACCAGGTACGAGGTGACGCACAACGGTGATCATCGCTTCTTGGAGGTGTTAAAAAACCTCAACAAGCTCTATCATCTTCGCCTTAATACCAGTCGCATTCAGTCGAAGCTCATTAAAAATTTCAAACTAGAAAGATATCCTCTTCCATCAGGCGTAAGTGAGTGTCCTTTAGCGATAGGCCTTTGTACTGACTAGTAGTGTTTTAGCCCCCACACCGTGTCGATGCTTCTCGATTTTGGGCTGTGCTCATTGGTATTGACGATTATGCGTCCTACCCGCTGCATGGTTGCGTATCAGATGCTAAATCAATGGAGAAGTATTTGATCGACGACCTCGGTGTGCCTAAGGGTCGCATCCAAGTCCTTCTCGGGTCGAAGAAGGAAGTTTCCCTTGATCCCACAAAGAATCCTTCCCGCGCCAGCATCATTCGCACACTTCTCAGTGTCATTGGCAATCCCCATATCAAGTACGGCGATAATATCATCATCTACTATGCCGGACATGGTTCTCGCTATTCATTTTCGGAGGAAGATGACGAGCAAGCAGAAATGGGATTCGTCGAAGCACTGTGTCCCATCGATCGTGGTACCGCTGACTCCAACGGTATTCCCGTCCCTGACATTAGTGACCGGGAATTTAATACCATCCTAACCCTGATCGCCCGAGCCAAGGGACGCCGAATCACAGCCATTCTCGACTGTTGCCACTCTGGTGGTGTCACTCGAGATTTACCTCCGCCAGAAGCGCGCACTGCTCCTCCACTGGACCAGACTCGGCTTCAGGCTATGTTCCTCGCCGGGCACGAATATCTGAAGCGTTATCCTGGCTATCGCTCCATTTTAAAGGATGACTGGTACCCGGATATGAACTCTTTCGTTATGTTGGCTGCATGTGAGGATTACCAGGTTGCGAAGGCGAAGAAGGTGGAAGGAGGGTACATTGGTCTGTTCACGGACTCGCTTTTGCGTACTCTCCAGGTCCGGATACTTGAAGAAAGACACCACGTACGCCAACCTTGTTCATGCTTTGGACAAATGGGTTCATCAGACGCCGCGTGCTATTGGAAACTGCAAGGACATGCGTATCTGGTATGAGGATTAGATATTGAGGAGATTATGGGTTGTTCTTTTTTTTCACGTTTCGGTGGTAGATGACTAGGCTGTTATAAATTAGTTTATGTATCGCTTTCTGTACTGATAGGACCCACATTTTAATGACAATATTTATACCGCCATTTTTAAGGTTCGTGCTGTTCTCTCGAGTATCACAGCCTCTACGTCCGACGTTCTTCAATACCCGATAGTCGGTTCTGGGCAGGGACGGAGCATATTTTCTTATACATATACCTCATTATCGGTCGTACATGAAGTTACATCACGTCAACAGGAAGGCATGGCAGTAGTTTTTTGGCCAAGGCACTGTACCATCCGGAGTTGGAGAGTCGAACCCCACGATGCATATCCGGACGATGTAAGGCCTCATTGTGCGCACAAAGTCATCCCTTGAGGCACAAAAGAGGAAATGTGATGCTTCCGGTCCCGATAGTGCTGCAGCAGATGCGTAGATTTTCTCCCTGAGCTTTCCTCTCCGACGTGAAGAAAGCCAAGCGCGCGGCGAAATCACCGGTTAAAGACCGCAGGAGAAAGCGACGGGGTGCCTTAAGTTCCAGGAAAGATGAACAAGCCAAAAATCGATGGCGAAATAAGAATCGCGTTTTGGTTATAAAGGCAACGAAGGGATGGGCCACCGGGCCGACCTTCCCTTCTCAGGCTAGTCGATTGGGTTCAAAGTTAGAGATCCCGTTATGTAAACCTAGAAACACTAAAGCTGCGTGTAGGAAGGCATGTGTCGATCTGTACTGAAGGCAGATCCTCAGCAATATAGTGAAGGTAGACAATGAGGTACTTACGCTGAACTTCATTTCCCACCGCGTTGGACCTCGTTCTCCCACCAGTGATTGATGCGTGCTTTCGCCCGATACGCCCGATTGTTCAATTTCTTCGGACTGACCAGTCCGACCAGAAATACAATACGAATTCTTCGCTGCATGATTCAGAGTCAAGGACATCCGTGCTGGTGATCCTCGTATCAGGGAGAATACGACGAAGGATGGGTACTATCATGTACCATCATAATCCACTGCAGCATCCGGAGCATCAGCATGCCCTCATACAGGGAGGGTGGTCTGTGCTTTCGAGTGGGAGATGTCGACGGTCCCGGAAGGACCTAGATATAGCATAACGGATAAGTAATGTCACTGCAAAGGGGGGGTTCGATTCCCCAGATCTGGATGATATAATATCGTGTTAATTTCTTCTATTCGTTGCCCCGGATGGACTGGCGATTGGATGTCCTTGACGTCGAGAAAAGCACAGGCTGTATCTGGTCCACAAAGATCTCTGATCCTCCAACGCAAAAGGAGACGTGGGGCTGGTGGAGGATGAGTAAACCTGCATGAAGTGACGATGTACTACTTAGGATAGCGCATAGATGGACGACGAGGAACTTACGGTTAGGTTTATTTCCTCCAGCATAGAACTCATGCTTTCGTCGGATACGCCCAATTGTTCAGTTTCGTCTTCGGATTTGCAAGCTCGACCCCTTCCAAATCACCCGGATGCCACGCAAATCAATCTTCCAACCGCACTGGGTAGCCTTTCTTCGCAAAACTCCACACCACGTCATCGGTTGGGCCATCCTCAACTAAAGGTCTCGACGATGGTGGCCATTGCGCTCTTTACAGGGACAAGAATACGAAATTCTTTCCCCCATGAAGAGGATGTGCATGGTATGGGCACGAAGGCGACAGTAGGCTTCTACTTCCTGCGACACAGATATGTTGAGGAGAGTGAGTAGGTCGGACAATGAGCTGTATTCATCGCTGAGGGGCGCTACTTGAGCGATGGCAGGGTGCCGCCGACTACTCGTCGGGAGCGATGGAAGCGGCAGGCGGCGATCAATGGACTTATCCCCCTCGATGCCCTGCGTCCATCACAAGAGATTATTCAACTAACGCGCAAGGTGGCCAAGACTGTGCAGTTGGTGGTTTTGTGTCGACAAGGGTGATACCACTGTATTTGCGTTCAAGGTAGAAAAAGCTGCATATAGGATGGTAGTTAATACCTGATATATAGGACAGCGAGGTGCTTACAGTCAGGTTATTGCCCCCGGTGCCGAATCATTCTGCAACCACCACTTGAGACACCTCCGCCCCTGCTTATTAACGACCTCTTCCCAATATGCCAGATTCTTAAGTTTCTTCATCGGATCCGCCGGCTCAACCTTTTCCAGATCGGCCAGCACACCACGAACATTGTCCAAGTCCACCTCTGAGCGCACGGGGCAGTCCTCCTTGTCGGAAAAACAGCGTTCAAGCTGTAGAGGTCTCCACAAGATGACGTTCTCGTTGTATGCGCTGTGTTCATCACTAAAATAGCCTGGGTCGAAGATTTTCGCGATGAGTGTAACTTGAACGAACACGCGCAATCCATGCGACTATTGAGAAATGGCAGGGGATGTACCACCCGTTAGAAGAAAGTCGATGAGAAGGGTACGCGGCAGTCAATCAGGGATGTCTTGAGGCGATCTTCGAACTTTATGAGACGTGGTGCACTGTCCCGGTGTCAGAAGTCCTTTTTTTGGTGACCGGGGGTGGTTCGCGCGCGTGAGGATGGAGGCAGCGGAAAAGTAGAACAGCGCCAATTACTACGGGTGATAGAGGGCTAGGGATGGGACGCCTCTTGATCCGTTACAGTCACCATCACGAATATTCCCACGGTACTCTACCACCGCTCAAAGGGATTTCGAAGGGCTAGCGAGGATAGAATAGCGTATATAACTTCTGTAAACTCTCACAAAACTCAACATCAATCAAAATATCAATGTCCGGTGGCTCGGACCCACCTGACAACATAGGTGACGCGTCTTACGACACGACAACCTCGTCAAAAATGGCAGAAATAAAGCAAGGACACCTGATGAAACTCGAATCAGCAGCCGAAAGCGTAGGAAAAGACTACGGCAAATACGTGGAAATAGAAGGCACAACAGTGAGTGCCATATACGATGTCATGGCCGTTCTACGACACATGGCCAAAACGGAACTAAAAGCGACGAAATCGGTTACCGCGAAACAGATTCGCGTGATTCTTAACATGGTTGAAATGTTGGAAGCTTGGTTGGACCTAGATGAATACAGAGCTCGCCAGGATGCACTAACGATTGCGGGACTGATGAAGGAGAACTTCAAAACCCTGCAGGAAAATACTAACAACATTAAATCCACTGTTGATACACAGAAGGCATACAGCATAACCATCGAGGAACAGCTCCAAGAGCTCAAAAAGAATGTATCGGACATCCAGGCAGCAGCAGCTGACATCCAAACTGAAGCAACACGACCACGACCACCACTCCTGCCCAACTCCCAGCCCCACACGGCATCATACGCTGATGTAGTCACCAGACCAAGCCCATTCGCAGACCCACGTCACGCAGACGTTGTTGCAAAAGCCAAAATTGCAGATCGACGCGTCATTGTGAAGCCGCTGACAGAAACCGCAAAGTCTGCAATGACCAAGTCCAGCGAGAAAGACCTGGTCACCGACATCAATAAAGCTCTCTCCCTGGCAATGACTACAGTTGATGGAGACTTGATCATTGCCCCAGAGGAACACAGAGTCGTTGGATCACGAAAACTTGCAAGCGGAGGAGTGATGTACGTCTTCAACTCCGACGATGCAGCGGCATGGCTACGCAAGCCTGGGGTACCAAGCCTGATAAATCAGGCAGCTGGGGAAGACACCGACGTAAGTCTACAGCTGAACAATGTCGTAGTTCCATTTGCTCCGACCACAATTGACGTGAAGAACACTGAAACATGGCAAGGTATAGAAAACAGCAGTGGACTAAACAGCGGGACCATCCGCAGTGTGAAATTCCTCAAACCTGCGGAGTTTCACCACGAAGGACAGCGAGAAGCTCACTTGATTATAGGTTTTGACTCTAGAAGTCAAGCGAACAAAGTGATACAGCATGGCATCATCATAGAAGGGAAGGAGCTCCAAGCCAACAAGGAGCTACCAGACGCATCCCGATGCATCAATTGCTCTGACCTACCCCGGAACCACGACGCGAAGAACTGCCCTAATACCACGAAATGCGGGCGATGTGCAGGTGGCCATGCAACCAAGGAATGCACAGTCACAGACCGGAAGAAATTCCACTGTGTAAACTGCAAAACATCAGGCCACGGGGCTGTGGATCGGAATTCATGCCCCTCATTCATTAGGGCCACTGATACCATCCGCAGTCGATACCCTGAAGCGAAGTATAAGTACTTCGTTACTGAGGACCCCATGACATGGGTGTCCAGTGATGTTCAAAAACGAGCAGAGTCTGAGCGCCCACAAAAGCTGCTGAACAAAGGGATAAGGCGAGCAGCGAGCTCTCAAAACGATGCCACAGCAACATCACTTGGAAGCGTCAACATCTCGTCCCACCCAACAAGGAATCGCCGAGATGGTGGAAGCACAAAACAAACCAAGACCCGACGTACAAACCCCAATAACATCCCGCTCACATCCGACAAATACCAGCAACCAATGCTCAACCAATACTTCACAGCAAGTCAATCACAAGCCAGATCGACAAGTGCAGCATCATCTACGAGGAGATCATACCAAGAGGAAGACGGGGAGATTCCTCAAGGAGGGACCACAGAAACGAACGAGGAACAACGAGCTCACACACCGCCTGTAGACCTATGCTGAGCCTCAAAAATACTAATACTGCAGACCACAAACCACTGAAGCTATACCAACTCAACGTCAACAAATCCCTCACAGCACACTCATGTCTCATACACCAAATCCATCAAGACGATGACATGATACTGGTGCAGGAGCCGTACATCAGCAAACAGGGAAAGTCCAGAGCTACACAAGGCTGGATAACTGTGTATCCAACAGGACATAATCAGGATCCCTCACAGACGAGGGCGGTAACCCTTGTTAATCGAGCCGTCTCTACTAACTCTTGGTCTAGCATACCATTGATTACCCAAGATGCTGTTGCCATCAATTTGCGAGCGCCAGCGGAATCCATAATCATCGTCAATGTCTATAGCGACGGTGGTTCCACAGCAATCTGGGAAACTATTGACAAACTTTTCAGAGAATATACTGCCAAACGGCATGATGAACGAGGCCTCCCATACCGCTTCATCTGTGCGGGGGACTTCAACGCGCACCACCCGTTATGGGATGAACCGTGCAACTCTCACCTTTTCACAGATCAAGCTCTGGAACGCGCAGAGCACCTACTGCAAATAGTAGGTCACCACCGCCTCAAGATGCCACTACCAGCACTCGTACCAACATTACGAGCCTTCTCCACCGGAAACTACACACTGAGTTGACAACGTATTCTGCTCTGATGAGCTCCTGCCAGCATTTACCAAATGCATTGTCGACCATGCAGCACAACCACCACGTACAGATCACTTCCCTATCCTCTCCACCATCGATATCTCCCCCCCACGGAACAGCTTTGAGCCACGACGGAACTTCCGCAAAGTAGATTGGAAGAAATTCTACACAAAACTGGGGGAGAAGCTAGATGCCCTACCACCCCCTCGAGAAATCGAAACAACAGCACAGATGTACAAGGTGCTAAATGATATAGACCAGGTAGTACAGGACATCATAGAACTATACGTGCCGTGGACAAAACCCTAGTCCATATACAAAGCGCTGGTGGACGGACGAGCTAACAATCCTTCACAAACAACTACGGAAGATTCAGAGGAAGGCGCACCAATACAGAATGTTCACAGACCACCCGATACACAAGGAGAAACGACAAGCACAGAATGCATATGCAGAGATGATGGATAGGTCCAAAACGAGGTGTTGGACAGAATGGCTGGAAAATGCGAGCGGAAGCAGCATATGGGAGATATGCAGCTTCATATCACAACCATCAACAGATGGCGGGAGATCACGGGTACCAGACCTCGTTGTCAAAGAAGGAGGAGGAACAACACGACGAATCCAGGATAACTCGGAAAAGAGCGACATCTTCCGAGCGGCATTTTTCCCGCCCAAACCAGCTAACTCAAGCGTCCCCACTAATACCGAATATCCACCACCAGCATGGAAGTTCCAGCTCATAACAGATGAGCAGGTCGAAAGAGCTTTCAGACATATGAAACCACTGAAGGCCACTAAGCCGGGCACTGTGCCCAATTGTGTACTGTTACGCTGCGCCGACTTACTTGCCCCTCATATAGGTCCGATATACAGAGCAACATTCACCACAGGTGTATACCCTCATGACCTAAGTGCGACGAACACCATTATCCTTCGCAAGCCCGGAAAACCAAACTACGAGGACCCAAATGCGCACAGGCCGATCATACTATCAAACGGTTGGGGACGTGGCCTCCACGCCACTCTCAATCAGGACCTGGTAACGTGGTGCGAGTATCTGGGTATACTACCAGACAGACACTTTGGCGGCCGTCCGGGTCGATGTACAACAGACTCAGTGCATCTAATGGTATCTTCAATCAAAGATGCATGGCGTAAAGGTAATGTAGTCACCATTCTATTTCTTGATGTGAAAGGAGCCTTTCCGAGCGTTGATGTGGACATGCTCATACACGAAATGCTAATGCTGGGTATACCCAAGCAGTATACCGAATGGTTACATCGACGGCTGAGCGGGCGTAAAACGATACTCACGTTTGACGACTTCAAATCAATCATCTTCGAAGTTACTAACGGGCTCGACCAAGGTGATCCGTTATCACAGATTTTGTATATCATATACAACTCTAGCGTGCTGCGATGCCTGCAGAAGACCGAAGAAAGCTTCCTCTTCATTGATGACAAGGCGATCCTAGTGTGGGGAAAGACTTTTGCGGCAACCCACCAGAAAATCAAAGATATCATGGAGCGCCAGGGAGGGATCCTGGAATGGGCGAAAAACCATAACTGCGAATATGGTATGGAGAAGTTCCAACTCGTAGACTTCACACCGAAAACAAGAGACCCCCTACCCAA